GCCGTTGAACCAGGTCTATTATGACAAAATTTCTGCACATAGCCAGGATAGCAATGTCGATATATAGGCAGTGATGATTTGAATGAAAGTGGTAAATTTTAAGCTACAGTAAAGGAAGATGTGTGAGTGTGTGTGGAAGATGTGTGAGTGTGCCCATCAATACTCGAACTTACGACCACCTGATTAGTACTTTGGACGTGCTACCACTGATGTGATTAGGCCGTTTAACTATGTTCATGGTGACAAACTTGCTGCATACTGCGAGGATAAGAATGTCGATATGTTTTAACCTGATGATTCAAGAGAAGGAAGATGTTCTTCAGTAAATGACATAGGTATACTCATGGAAAGATAGGAATATCCGAGTGCTCCGCATAGTTGTCGAACGTAGGGCGCCCAACAGGACTCCAACCTATGAACTTCTAATTAGTGCTATGGACGTTCAACTTCTGAGTTAGAGTAGATTTGTGGCAAGTTATACCGATTAACTAGGTTTGTGGTAACAAACTTCCTGCATATTACAAGTTTAGGAATGCAATACTCGTGCGTACTGATGATGTAAACGAAGATGGTAAATTATATTGCTAGTGACTTACAAGTGAAATAAGGCGTAAATGACACAGGCGTACTCAGAGAAAAAAGGGAAAGTCTGAGTGCTGCCCATAGTTGTCAAACGTACGACCTCACAAGTTCCGATAAGTACTTTGGACGCTCTACCAGTAAGCTATAGGAGACTTGTATCAAGCTAGTCCGTTGAACTAGGTCCATTCCTATCTCCACATACTGCGAGGGTAGGAATGTCGATATGTGGCGCTTATGAGTAATAATGATGTAGTTGAAGATGGTAAATTATAGTGTTAGTGAAGTAAGATGTTGCTAAGTAAATGACACAAGGATAATCATCGAAAACGAGGGAAATTCGGAGTGCAGCCAAGAGGACTCGAACCTACGATCTTCTGATTAGTGCTTTGGCCGTAAGGCCGTTCAGCTAGGTCCATGGTGACAAACTTCCTGTGTACCGCTTAGATAGGAAAGTCGTTATGTGACGCTAACATGTACTAATAAATAAGAAGACTACTCGAAGAAAATTTTACTGCCCCCCGTCAAGAACTTCTCTGTTGTTCAGTGAGTGACACACAGCTCAGCTAAAATTGGTTGGCTATACAACGGTTGGCGGTTAAAAATCTAATAATTTGATATTTCAAGATTACTTCGAGTTATATTTTGGCTCTTTTACCGTTTTAAGTCTTTAATCGAACCTCTAATACCGGCTCGTGTAAAAAGTTGTACAGGATCATCCGATTGGTGCACCTGACCCTAATCCAAATGCACTTAAATGTGATTTTGTTCCCATTAAGAGAGCGGTTTTAATAAAAGGGACTGTGGATGAAACGTAATTTTTTTTCCAAAGGTTATTAGTTTTGATGTATTGTCCTGTATTTTGCAGGTAAATGGTAGTTTAACAAGACAAAAGAAACCAAACAACGGGAAACTGCTAAAACAGAGTGCGAAGGAATCAAAGGCATTTTTGAACCAGAAGTGCCCTTGGTAGTGCGCGGTAGGTCGTTTACCTCGCAGAAACGAAAAACGCTATCTGCATGTCGCGCACCCAATAGCGAGAGATAACCATGCATTAATGTTCACAAGATGTAACTATGTGTAAATATGCACGCCAGAAAAACTCCATTAATTATGAAACAGGATACTTTTAACCCTTCTTGATAATTATCAGTTATTGACAGCTAACTCCTTATCAATCCCAGGCGATCCGCCAAAGTGTCTGAGGTCGCGCTATCGGCACGGTGTGAAATAGCTTTCATATATGCTTTGATTTTTGGAAATTCTTAGTCTGCATTTTATTTAGTCAGCGTTTTATGTTTAACGATCAGTCTGGCTCTTATCACGGCAAATCTCTTTATGCTCAGCTAGACACGATACCATAATCCCCGTAAATTGAAAAAGTTTTCACTCGTAAATTATAATAAAAGTATCTGAGTTCCAGCATTTCCGAGGTCTAATTGCTTTTGTGCTGATAAATATTGCAATTATCAGTTCTTGTAAAGTAACAATGCATCAGCATTGAGAGAGTAATTAAGAAAATAATGCAGTCAAGATAATGATGTAGTCTATTAAAAGCATGTCATAGGACATTTCGCTAATGATGATGACATTTAGTTGCCTTGGTTACATTATCTAATTATGTTTATTGCTGTTTGCTCTTAAAAGTGTTCCATGCCGAGGACAGGTAGGGTAGCTTTAAGACTCAACATTGCACAGCGTGAAATGTTCTGGATGTCAGAATGATCAATGGTTAGGTCAGGACCGTGGGGTAATCCTTTATGTTATTAGTAATCTTCGCTCAAATTTGATTTTCACTCAAACTCCTCGGTCAATTACAACAGGTTTCTTTGATTTCAATAATTTTACAGTTGAGTGCGAAGAACGGTAGCAAAATTATGATCAAAATAGGCGGGGTCAGTGCGATGACGCTACAGGTGAAACAAAAGGATTATTGGCTCGAAAAGTTGAAGAGAAAGTCTAAGCCGACAGCTATCGGTAAATATCATCTGTACGGTGATCTTTGTGCTGATAACATAGATGATATATGATAATGATGATGATGATACGAACATCGTTTGGTAGACAGGGGTTGATAGAATCACAAAACTACTTGGGATGTACAGAAAAAGTTATTTAATCAAACTGGGACTAACATTTGCTAATGAGGCAACTTGTTGCCTGCGATGGGAAGATGGGAAGATATGAAGAAAGAGGAGAAAGAAATGAGAATGAAGACGATGAAACCACAGAAAAAGACTCGAAAAAAAGTACTTACCAATAACTAATAAAGTCACAACTTTTACAATATTGTTTCGTGTTTTTGTGGAAATTAAAATGATTTTTTAGCTAATTGAGAATCAGTATCGAGACCATGCAATACTTCAAGGAGTACTGCAAGCTCACCGACTTGAATAATTGTCGCTGTGTAAGGTTTAGTGTACCTTAAAATCCTGTAATCAGATCAATTTCGTGATTACTTCTTCCGCGTCTCTTGTTAAGGTTGGGCACATTGGAAATATTAGCGAGTAACATCTGTTACAGCTGTTTTCTTTCATCACTTAATAATTACGGGTTCAGGAATCACGACCACTCTTGACCACTAATACTATTTGAGATCAGTTTTTCTTTCCTTTTCCGATCAGGAGCCAACGAGAATATCACATGTCAAGTCTGATGGCGCCTGGGTGACCAACCCCAAACTAAGAACCGCTAACGTCCTATGGTCGAAAACACAGATAAAATTGAATCTGTTTGTGACAGAAGAAGGCGATTTATGTACTCTAACATTTCTTAGACTGACAAGTTTCACCAATCTATTACCCTTGGCTGACGTTTTTTATGTCATCTGTTTTGTTTTCCGCATCTCGTTCTATGTATTCACCTTAAAATGAGGACTCAAAAAGTGTAACCGAGGAATGTAAGAGCTGAGTTAGAGTCCAAGAATGCAGTTCATGATATGCAACTTCTAACGCTTATTGCAATTTTAGTTCTCCGCCCTTTGTTATCGAGCCACCCTCTCTTAATTTTCTTTAGTATTGTTGAATACCGTGACACTGAATGCCTTTTGAGGGAAGTTTGATTTTTAAAGGTCGTTTTGCGTGCAGAAATAGCTTTTCGTCTATGAATTTGTAATTTGTAAGTACGGCATATCACAGGACTTTGTTTCCGTAGCTGTGTAATACGCGACATGTAATTGTCAACAACAGCGACGCCCTAAGAGGTACAAATTCAATAACGAAGGGTAATCCTTGAAGCATGCCATGATATAATGAAAGCTCTTGAACATAAACGCTTGTGGGCCGTAGTATTCTGCGATTCAAGTAAAAAATAGTCAGTTACTCCCTGTTTTGTAATAGAACGCATATTATAGTCCAGTTCCAAGAGAGTGATGTATTTAATCTAATCGGCTCAACTGTGATATTTTTGTAAATTTAGACCGCGAGAAATAATAGCTCAGTTAATCGCATAATCCTTCCGCTCAATTCCCGCAGAAGGACTTCAATTAAAGCCAGGTGACTCAACCGTTTTTTGCTCTTAATTCCGAGAACGGATGGCGCTATCAGTTGTTCTGCACGAAGAGCGCCATTTTAGGTTGCATCTTTTTCGTTTGGCTCAATGCTGCTTGACCGAGCCCACAATTACTTTGTTTGGTTACTTTATGACTCACATCGGCAAGTTGATACGGCAATGATAAAGTCTTTATAAAGAAGATCTCATTTTCAGTCGCCTATACCTATTATTTCAGAAGATAGTTGTCCGTACTGCCTTCCGCAACAAGGAGTTTACAAGAAGCATTAAGTTACCAAAAATTTCATCGCACCCACATCAATGCTTAAACTTAAATTACCTTATTTATTTGCAACCCTCTGGAGTTAAATTTACAAACATATAGCATAAAAACGTACGAAGCTCACTCTAGGACTGAATTAACCAATATGTGTGTCTTTCCAAATGAGTACATACGTGATATCGAAGCCAATATTTGCAGTGTTTTTAACGCAACCGTATCAGGCGTTCGTTTATAAATCATTTTGAGAAAGAAAATTAAGAAAAAAAGTCTTATTTCGTTCATTATTGAAATTTTGGACGATCTGTATCAATACTTAGCTTTTCCTATAATGCTTTGTGGCAGGTATTTTACATTTTAGTATAGCTTCACAAATATCTCGTTGATATGCTTGCCAGAACAGGCTGATCTTGCTCTGCACTCTTCAGGTCAAAGTACAATGCTTGAAAATCACAGAATTTCCCTTACGTTCTGGTAAAGAACCGGAAAGTTCAAGATATAACAATTTGGATAACAGTTCGAGTTAGGAGCCATCTAACTTTAGAGCCACGAGGTCCAAGAAGGGCTTTTAGCTTAGCATGGCTAAATCAATTAACACCAGTTTGATAGAGTTCAAGTGAAATACCTGTCTGCCACCACACAACTTGGTTTATTACACTATGAACATATCCCTTTGAAACAAGTCTGTGAAAGCACGAGAACTTGCCGCAGGCGCTGACAATTCGTCATTATAGGAACTCGTTCCCGACAAATTTTGCTGACAGTTCTTGTTCGTTTGAGATACTGTTGTGACCACTTGATCCTTTATTTCCTTTCTCCATTTTGTTCTTCTATTTTGGAACCACGTTTTCACTTGTGTTTCTGTAAGACCCAGCTCTGTAGAGAGCTCTGCACGCTTGGTTTCTGTGATGTAACGATGCTTTGCAAACTCCTTTTCCATCGTTTGTACTTGGTTTTGGGAAAATAGTGGACGCTGCTTCTTCTTTCTAGAGAACCTTCTGCGTCTTGGAAGATTTAAATATTGGGGAAAACCTGCCAAAGAAATAGTGCAAAGTTCCATTTATATATTTTTTAAACTGATTAATGTGAGTAGCAAGGGGAAAAATGAAAGAACTCAAAAGAAGGAACTTTTAAGAGAGGGCTGAATGTTGTAATTCCCAAAACTATCTATACTTAATTAGACCAAATGTAACGAGACTTTCAACTTCACTAATTTTTCAGTTGGGAGAAACATCATAGACTATTTGAGAGCTCAATAAAAACCGAATTAAATCCCAAAATTTAATTTAGTCTGTTACTATAGTTCAGACACTTCTTAAAAATATGTTTACATTTTGCATTGGAGGTTACATCCTTGGCAGTCTTCGTGTGTTAATCTCTTTTCTTTTCCGTTCTCTATTTGCGATAAAATTATCAAGTTTCTTAACTCGGCTCCGAAATTGGAAACATTTATTAAACAAAGGTTTTCCCATTTTAAAGAAATCTGTTCGTCAGTACTTTCTTAAAGCCTATTGCATTCACCACAAAGACTAATCTTAGTATTTTGACAGGGCCTTGGCTATGGTCTAGATATATTTAGTTGTTTGAACATAAACTCGTAGAGAAGGTGCCTGTTGTAAACAAGTTAGTTCTGTTTCAATGTTCAGCGCTAATGCTGATGCTACAAGAGTTCGGTGAATGGAACGTACTTATTTGTCAGGATGTATTACGAAACTTAGAAGGAAAGGTTGTCAAATACTTCTGTGTGCTTGGCACCGGATTTAGTCAACTCAGAATATTGCGAGTGTACACTCTCATCATAATTTGCAGCCACGCTATAGCATAATGTGCCGTAGATCTTCTGTACAAAGGTGTGCTCTATGCCTAAGTTCAAATACAACCACAACACGATTGGGTTCGAGTATCGACGGTTTCAACACCTTGGAATTTTGACATGCAATTATTCAAACGTGAGAACTTGCCAAACTGTGAGCAAACCGCTCTGATGGCCACTCACTCGGAGGTCAATCGTAAGAGGAAACCAGCTTCGCACGGGTAAATTTTGCGCTCAAATCACAATACATGGACAAGATAAATTTGCTTTTGTAAGCGGTATGAAAGAAAAAAAATCAAAGGATTTGTCTTTCTATCCTAAAAGAGTGACAGTTGTTGATACTCTTTGGAGAATAATTCCTGATCAAGTAGCTATTGTTTCATTTTTGTCGATTCACTTGAAGAATCAAGAATCTTTGGCCAAGGTGTTTTCATCTAAAAACGATTGTTGCTTAACATTGCTTTCATCGAAGTAAAAGACTGAAGTGTCGGTATCCTATCCCTCAACTGGTAAGTTAACCTTGCACTTATCAACCATTAGTAGAGAATGCAAGCTGCGGAAAGAACTGTCGCAAAATCAAACCAAAAATTTACACGGCTCATTTCTTGTTTGCTTGCTTCTGTTTATAACAACAAATTTCCAGGGAAGGGAAACTCATTACAGCCTGTAATTCAGTTCGTGTTTGTGAGAAAATTATTCAAGTTAATGCGAAGCAGTAACACTTTACTTACCATTGAAATATTCATAACTTTGCAGAAAACTTGTGTTGCAAATCCACGTAGGATAGTTGGCTTGTGCAGCGGGATCTACTGGCCAATTCAAACTGATGCCACCCAGTGGAGAGACCAGACCAGCATGAGGATACCTCATTAATGGTGGTGGATTCAGGGCATGAGTGATTGGAGTCACCATGGGTCTCAAAAGGGAAACTTTAGAATCTTCTATTTCTTCTCTTGATACTCTCGGGAACGCAGGTAAGGCTCTTTCATCTTGGAGGTTAAGAATGTTCTTTATGGAAAACGAACTTCTTCTCGGGGCCTGAAAATAGACATCTCTGGTTGTCAAGTCCATATCGCAGCTGCCAAAACAAGGGTGACTTGGTGGGCAGTCCGAGAAACTATGCACCCCGACCTAATGTACTCCTTCTAAATATGTTGCAGACTTGACGCCTGCGTACTAACGCTTAATTAATGATATCAATCAGTATCAGGAAAACTTAATTGTGTAGAGCACCAAGAGAATCTTGTCATCTTCTTTTTAAACTGGTTTGAGTGATGACTTAAAGCTGTTCAGAGAATTTCAAATGATTGAAGTCAACAAATCAACTCACAGTTTTTATATCCTTTTCGAAAACTGCTGACCATTCAGATAAATTAAAGCTGGAAGCGTCTGTCCCCGTTTGCTTCCGGTTATCGTAATTTCCGGTAGGAAGAGGCTGGATGCAAAATCTCTATAATCTAATATAACGACCGGAAGTAGCGAAGAAATAAACATCTCTTTAGCGCTTGTAAAAAAATTCACACGTACACCTGAGAGAGCTGATTCATTTGGCAGCTAATATCCAAATTATTCATAACAAGTTGAGAAGAATCGATTCATCTTTCGCTGCACTCAATTGAAACTAAAATGCTGCAGCATAATGGTGTGCGATCGCATTAATTCGACCTTAATTGGTCATATTTTAAAACGACACGTGAGGATTTCCTTAAGTCTGATTTTTCGTCAACACACCAAGTACTATAATACGGTCACTTCCGGTCAAATAGTTTCTGTAAACTGACGAGGCACGAAAAGCATATTTCCTCAAATTAGGAAAAAATATCTTATTTTGATGAATCTCTCTGCTTCTTTAAAGTCTCAACTTCATGCTGAGTTCTGGTGGCCCACTATATAACCAACCCAGTGAATGGAATATAAACCACACTTTGATACCTAGACAAGCCTATCGTGCAGTCGAGACAGACAGTGCGCAAGAGACAGGCTGGACTGCCGATGAGGAACACAATCAAGGAAGGCTTATAAATCTTCACTGAATTACGTCAATTGAACAAATCCAGCTCCAGCACAAAAATGTTGTTTGCGTTTAGCGGTTTCTTTTATCTTGGTTCGACATAAAGACCTATTTTATTCATAAGAGACCTTTAATCGCTCTCGATTTTACGATCATGGATTGTCAGTTGAAGCTAAAATTAAAAAAAAAAAGATAGTAAAAAAGTTCAGAATAAACAGCAGACAAGAAGTTTCCCCACATTGTTACAGTGACTTTGCTATCCACATTTTTAATGTCTTTCCTCCTCACAGAGTCACGCCTTTCTTTCCTTGGTAAGCGGTAATTACGAGCTTATTTTTAGAACTGCTGACGTCCTTTGAAAACCACATATTGTGAAAGAAGGTGGAGAAAGGCGGCAAAGGGAGGGTCTTGAGGGAGGGCCTTGGGAGGAATTTTGAAGAGCACACCACTAAATAGATTAAGGTCTCATCCCTAGGACAGCTTCATGAAAAGTTCTGTCCATGAGCACCAACAGATGCATTTCCAGATATGTAAGCTATTGCTAGAATTTTCAACCGAGCTTACATCAGGAGGAGGAAGGGGTTCCTGATCACTTTAATATGAAACATTGAGCGAGCATGTTATTCTAAATCGACCTTTTCGACTCATTATCCTTCATATTTTTCCGTTTTTGTTATTTGAAGCGATTTCTGGATGACGAAGAAAATGACCTGATATCCTGGATTCAGCCTCCCAAGACAAAAAGTCTTTAAAATGTAAAAAAATAAAAGAAAAAATAGAGAATCGAGGAAGCAGATACTCCACATAAAATTAACGCACAAACGTTTTGATGCGATTGATCTGTGTTTGATTTGGGAAGGCTGAGAAACCTCCGCCAACTGGCGCGACTGTTGCCTTTCTAAGTTTATCGAAGTGGTTAACAATGGCGGATGGCCCAACATTAGTGTAAGGACACAATCTGAAAGAAAGTTTACCCAGTGGAGTGCTGAGACAAGGAATGAAATCGTTGAAGGTGAACGGTCACCGGCTTTACAAGCCAGTTTCGTTAGTAGTCAACTGATACTGTGACAAAGTACCACAAACTTGTTTCCCAAGGTCGATCAAACAAATGTTGATTGATAGGTTTGAAATGCAATCGCCCAGTTTGTTTTACTCCCGACTTGGTCAAGTATCTTGAGTGTGAACCTCTCATAGATTTAACTATCTTGTAGTTAGCCCGTTTCAGGCTCTTAGTCAGCGGAATGATCGAGCGAGCAATTCGAGCAAAATCGGTATTCGTATTTGATAGGAAGACAGTTGCCTGACCCTTTCCCGTGTTTTACTCGCCGGCTCTTTCCCACGTCTTAAATGACCGAGAGCCCGGGTTAGGCTGACATAAAATCCACCGTTGAAGCTTATGTGCCTCAAAATAAGATTGACGATTGATTCTCTTTAATATGAAGTGGAGGGTGGAGAGGCTAATAGAGACGCCTGCAATAAAGAAATTATGCTACCACATAATATGCTTTTAAATACAAATACACCTTCTAAAATCTATTTGTGATGTGGTTCTGTAAAGCTTAAAGCAATTGATTAAAACTGTTATAAGACCCATAACTGTACGATGATTAAGTTCACTCTTTGTCCTGTGGACTAACTTTGTCAATCATTAGACGTCTGAGAGATCCATCATAGCGAGAAACAACACCCTTTTCAATCACATTGTTAAGAATAGAAAGGTCCAGATGAAGAATTCACCAGGAATCGCAGTAGCGTAGATATTCTCTCGTTTTACTGTTCTGGAATCTTCTGAAATTTTCTTTCAGATTACTTCGTGATCTTAGGAAAAAGTCTACGTTGCAACTCCTCATGTGCGATAAGAAAGAAATACTAGTGGGATCCGCGGTGTAAATACACACCTTTGATTAAAAAGACTTGCATTGGTGTTCAAATAAATAGTCATTAAGGCTTAAGTAGTGAGGAAGTCTCTACGTCGCTCTGCACCCACGGTATTTGTCATGCCTTAACTTTGAATACTTGCTTATATCTATCAGTATTGGTTTTATCTACAAGACAAGTTTCACAGTTAAACTTTTTAAATCACTCATCTCAAATTATTGAAAGAAGAAATTTCTGGGACGCTAATTAAACGTATTTGTTCTCTGTAATTTAGCGCTGTCGGTCCTTTGATGCTTTCATGATCTTTTTATCAAGTTATAACATGAGAAGACTCCTTGCAATACCTTTTACCGGTTACCTAAACTTTCAGACACCTGGATTTAATTCAGCTTTTACTTTGTTTTCTGACGAAATAAAACGACGATCGCAACTTTCGCTTTTTAAGGAGCGAGTCAGAATTGTCCTGTAAAACCAAGTTAGTTCACTAGCAAATGTCTTGCTGGCAATAATATCATGAGAAATTTCAACTGCTATATGTAGCAGTTGAAAGCTATGCATTTGTAGCAAACAACGACTCCTTCAAGGAAATCATCTTAAATTCTCCGAGAGGTATTGAAGATTCCTTGTTCACCGCAGGCCTTTCCGGCCTCAAATGTCCATATATTTAATTAATTATAGTCCAATAGAGGATGACGATACGCTTTACTTGCACCATATCTGTAGCTCAAGCATTTATTGTCGCTTGAAAGATCGGTCTTACTTCGTTTCCCTTTCTCCAGAGGGAATGGGGGATTTGAATTAACTCGCACAATTCAAGGGGGAGTTTCTTCAGCTCTTAACGCCAAAAAAATCACTCTGCATCTATAATTTGTTGACCGTGATCGCCAGTAGCACCTCGTACATATTTGTGGCTAAAATAAACTGATATTTTTAGCAGCTCGTCGCTTTAAATCTTTATTCGAAGGATCAAATTTGCGCGATTTTGTATGCCCGGCTTAAAAACGCATTCCTTTGTCTTGCAGTTGAGGCGAGTAATAGCACAAATTTATCAGTATTTTGTTTCATCAAAATTAAAAGAAACAAAACGATAAAAAACTCCAAGTAATTTGTTACCGCACCCTGCATGATTTCCGGTCATCACCAAAATAAATCTTGTCAACCATACCAGTCTTAATCTTAAGCAGATTTCCATCCAGTATCATATGATGCAGAAAAGATCTTGTAATCAGTGAAACTTGCACCTTTTTGTGTCTTAAAAAAGCCCATGGAATCTGTCCTAGTTTGTGTGATTTTGGTTATTTCCTTTTTCAAGTAACGGAAACCATTCCCATAAAGAACGAAGAAAACTTCCCGTCTAGTGGTTATTGAAGACACAGCGATTTATCACTGAAAGCTACTTGGTCTTATAACCTTTTCCTGTTTGTAAAACCGGTCACGGAACACAGTCATGATGAGAGGGCTGCATCAAAAGTCTCATTGTTGTCTCAAATATATGCAACATAAGCCGCCGGGCCTTTCATTCTAAAAACGCAAATTCATGCCTTTTGCTGATGAAGGAGGAGAGGGAATGATATAAGTCTAGCGCAAGATAAGGCCCAACTTTCTAACTGGATGTGCGAACCATCGAGTTTGGATTCTAGCTCGAGTTCGAGTTGGACTTCGAGTTTGACTTGTTTTAAGCCAAAAAAAAAATTACCCCTTAGAAGCGAAGAAATGACTATTTCACCCCGATGAGGGTGTTACGAAACCTCAGACCTTGAAAACTCAAAGATGAGACCCCGAAAAACCTCTGTTAGTCTGTATATCGGCAAACCCCCAAAGTGGACATTTTCTAATTGTTCACACCCAATGACAAATTGTGCCACTTTTTGTTGAAAACTTATATCCTTACTCTTTATGCTTTAACCTTGTAAAAAGAAGTAATTAATTCTAATGATTAAAAAATCCTAATGCTACTTCGAATCTACTTGACCATTAGTATATTTGAGCTCATAACGCAGCATTATACACAAGGAGATAACCCAACGCCCCAGTCCTCACTTACGTTCTATGCCAACTTTAAGTTTTTGGCACCACAGTTAAATTCGCACTGCGCCAACAGGCATTGCCTGCGTAATTTAGACTTCACTCGTTGTGGCCTTTGTTTTCCTTCAACAATGATAGGCCCTGTTTATATATCTGCTTTTCTATGGACAACGTAGGGGTATAGCTATCCCTTCATTGCCTACATCAAATTTATCAGTATAATATGGGTAAATAGATTCAAACCATCTGCATAAAACTCGAAACGGAACTCGAAATTCAACACGAAATTCATCTTGAAGTTCAACTCCAAGTCACACTCGAAGTCTAACTCGAAGACTTAGTCCATCCCTGAAGTTACTAGCGTCTTCCGCTTTACATAAGCAGTATAACTGTTTTTCTTTTCTCTATCTTTTCTGCACTAAAGATAAAGCGCGCGCTGTTTTCTCGGCCAATCGATGGTCCATTGAAATCTTGGCGAACGTCAAAGTTTGATTTTGTTTTAAGCCGGTGGAAATCGAAGACATCCCTTGATCTGCGACCGCTTCCCCCCCCGACCCAGAGATTTGCTCGTTTGCCCGCCCGATTAACTGTCATAAAGAAACTGCTTGCCTGAAGGAATCCATGTGGAAGATTTCGGAGTACAGATCGTGTCCTCAAATTCTTGAAATCGCTTTCTCAACGAAACCTCTTTGAAGCATGCTTTATAGTACTGTTCGCAAATGGAAATGTTCTCCACTAAAAGCCGTCCTCTATTTAGTAACACAGCGATATCAGTCCTATGTCCGAATGCTGATAACGCGCTTTACAATTCAATAGCTTTTCATCTTATTCCTTGTCAGTAACAGGCAATGAAGCAGCCATGAGTCTTACCAATGTTGACTTTGCTGAAACAAATATTCTCGATACTCATCGAGCTTTGATTGGTTATATCAACAAATTTTGGACAAACGAGACTAACTGCCATATATTAAAATCAATTCTATACACATGGTTGTCATTGTTTGTATACGTTTAGGTAGCGGAATATATAATAAAAAGCCAGGAAAATGTCTAAATTTGATTTTAATAAGATTAAGTAAGACCAGTAAATGTGATTTTAATAAGGTTTAAGCATGATAAAAGATCATTCGATCATATGGGGAAAGGTTTTTTCCGCTATAACGTGGAGCAGTAAAAGTAACTTGCTAGACCTTTTCACAGTCCAGAGACGTATGTATCATCTACTTTTATTTTCCATCGGTAAAAACAGATGACTTATCCCTGTCGCAGTCAACAGGCATTTTTTTCTTTTCCAATGCGACCTTGGAGAGTGTGAACGGAACATTTGATTGGCCCGGCCCGTTCATCTCAATAACGTAAAACTCATGCACTTTGTGTCTGGCCAATGAGCGCATCTTCATAGTGGGGGAAGGGAATGATAATGAGCGCAGGATTGGGCCCATGTTTTCCATCAACGAAAACTTAGATCATGACGTTCGTGAAATGTATTATGAAATGGCGTTATGAAATCTCTCATTTAGTAAAACGTATTTTCAAATAAAAGTTTTTAAATCAGGAATTTGACATAATCTCGTATCTTGGTAAGTCCTCTTGGTGAATTTTCGCGGCAACTGCTCATCTTGGGGCTCGTTCTTCATGTAATTTGCGTATTTTGCTTACTTGACAAAACTCGCCCTACGGGCTGATGCAATTCTGTTGTCTGAAAAGTGTACTCGTGCTTATTAACAACAAATTGCACATGAAATCATGTTTTAACCTATACTCATTACAGAGCCCTCTTCATTTATGGGGAATTTAACAAACTCAAACACAATTCAAAATAGCAATAACTTTTTCCATACAAGCCTCAAAAGAGCTTGAGCTGATCTTTATAGGTAAATACTGAAAATTTAAAATCTGTGTTGGCGACCACGCACAAACACCGTCAAACACAGATTATGGAGAACATACCTCACATTGATTCAGAAGTAATTCATACGGTCCAAGAATTCAAGCAAGGCGAATAGCTATGTTTTGCTGGTTTTCGGGTCTTCGTTTTCGGGCAAAAATAACAAAACCGTAACAAGATCATTTAAGTTGAGAAAATAAAGGGGTCTTGGTTACAACCCCTAAACTAGCCCCAGTCAGTTATTCATGTGTAATGTCGTGGGTAAGCCAAAACGTTAGAAATCTGGGTACGGGAAACTCTGAACACGGAGATGCCCAAATCACGGAGATACTACTGTCACCTGTGAACCGGTAGGGATAGAGGGAACGAGGTTATTCTTTAAACGAATTCACTTTGTATGATAAAGCAAAATGATGGTTTCGCGATGGTTTTTCACACGGCGGTCATATTTGCTGCCTTGACAGGATTTATCGAAGTATTTTGCAGGGGCTCTTCAACATCAGGTTAGCTTCTACCAAACTTTCCAATCTATCACTCGATTTTCGCTCGGCTAGAGCCGTGAGCATTTGTGGTAATGAACGGTAAAACCGTCAAATTAGAAATTCGGAATCCGCACTTCGACTGTCTACCATTGAGCCACAGATACAGAGATCAGGCTCATGGTGAGCTTCGCCATTCCTAGGTTCATATGTCATCAATATCTACGTCAAGTAGATCGGCCTGCGTCGTTACTTACTTAGGTCGTGCTTCCATTGTGATCAACTATTTTATTTTGGTTGGGTTGGTTGATTTTTCCGCGTATTATTGGGAAAAAATATTTTAGTTTGATGAGGATGAGTAACTTTTTCAACCGTGAAAAGTGGTTGTACATGTAGCAGTCGTCTTCAAAGGCAATTTTATTGGATTTTATCTTATCCTATACTGCCCCTCACAGCATACAATGCAGAAACAGAGCTTGCAATTTCAGCCCCTTGGCATAACATCTATTCTGAACTTTGAAATCAGAATTACATTAAATGTACTTAAGAGGCTCCTTGATTTGGTTTTAAAACCTTGAAGGCAATTACATTCATTTCTTGGTTACTTCATAACACAAGCATTTTAGACTGCAGCAGTTTTATATAATTGATTGGTGTTATTGGTGTGTGTTTGGAGGACAAAGAGCATGAGTGACTGTGTTAGGACTTGTGGTATATTTTTCCTCCTCCTCCTTTTCCATGTGACTTTCCCTTTGCTTTCTCCTCATGCATGCCTTCCACTTCCCCCTCTTGCTTAAAAAATGCAAAACAATTATTTGCACTCTACAGGCTATTCACCGGAAGACTTAAACTCTCTCCACCTTAACTGGTTGCACTTGATATCAATGATCTGGAGAGAGCATGACCAAATATTTTCATGGGTTGTCACAGTATATTTCTTTAAAACAAATGAGAAATGCAAGCTTTCCCTGGCCTTCTCTTTTGGAGTTGTTGATAGGCATTGTTGTTGAAAGCTGACCAATACTAAGATCTCTCAGTGTATTCATCAAAAAAATTTGAGAACATCCTATAGCATGAAAAAATTATAATGGATATGAGAAAATATGTCAGATGAAACTGATAAATAACCAAAAGAGAGAAATAAATTGCGAAAGACAAAATTGAAATAAGCTGGTATCAGCTCCAAATGTGCAAGAAGGGAAGGCTTGGCAGTTGTTTGCACTTAAATTAATGATGTTAAGATTCATAAGTTTTCTTCTAGTGTGTGAAGATCAATTGCCACTGTTTAATTTAGTTGTTGTTCTTGTTGTATTATGGTCAGTAAAATCATGGGAGAGGGGAACTGGGTAGAGGCTTGTTGTAACCCCTAAGAAAATAAAGATGGAAGTGTTAGAACTTTTTACTCAACCAGCAAAATATAGTAGTGCAAACAGCTCATGAAAATAGTTTCTTTTATTTCATGATTTGAGTTATTATATCAAATGTATACTTGTGCAAAATGCTTTGTTATTGATTATATGGCTCAAAATTTTTTGTCATAACTAGTTTGGTCTACTTTCACTCTGATCTTGAATATGAGGAAAATATATAAGAGGAAAGCATTTTTTCTCAGGCTGTCAGTTATTGTGCCTTAAACAAGAAGGTATTGCACTTGTAGTAAAGTGAAAAAAAAATGTAAAGAAAACAAATACCCAGAAAATAAAGACAAGCAACAACATCCCAAGACATTGAAATGAAGATCATAAAAGCACAAACAAAAACTCCCAAAAACTAGGTACAGTGTACTTAGAAATTTACAGTATGTGTGAAAATACATTTTAATTTTTATCAGATAAACAATAATTGTTTTATGGCAGTTTAAAAATTACATGTCTCTCATGGACTGGCTCGCAGAAACCACACAAGTTATTGTAACATGCAATCACCTATAATGTCCAAACATCATGTAAACTGGGTATGGTACCATAAACATGGTCAAATGATTTGTTTGTATTAAATAAATGTATTTTTTTCAGTAGCTCAGGTTGCCCTTTTATATTGTGTTTTGTTCAACTAGATTAAGACTTGGACTTAGTGACTCTCAGCAGTTGTTCATTTACTATAAGTGAGCAGGATTAATGCAGAAGATTTTGTTGTTCTTAGCTGTATTTATCAGGGAACAAAGCCAGCTGTGAAATGTATTCTGGAGCAGGCCTGCCAGCTGCTAGGACACCACCATCAAGTCCACGTGCATCAAAATTTATGTACCATCCTCCACCACTCCCATGTCCTCCAAAAGAGCCTTCCCTAGCCCCTTTATCATCCTTTTCAAATGAATGCAAAACTGATTTTCCTTCAGTATTTCCCCCCCCTTCAACTCAAACAAATGACTTGAATCCAAACTTTTCTCCACTTACATATACTGTACCAGGTGTTAGTGTATCTCCTCCAGATTATTCTTGTACCCCCTTTTCATCTTTCCCTTTATCACCTCCCCCTCCTCCAGCACCACCAGGGAAATCATTCTGTCCTGGAGGATTTCCCTCTCCACCTCCGCCTCCTCCCCCACCTCCTCCCCCCCCCCCTAAACCTCCCCTAGCACTTCAAGGAGTATCTACCTCTGCTTGTCCCCCTCCCATTACCCCTGCCGCTGTTCCTCCTCCTCCTCCTCCCCCTCCTCCTGGAATTAATCCTCCACTGCCAGGTACTTCTGGAGCAAGGAAAGGTTCAACCATAAGAAAGAAACCTGTCACACCAGGTATGCAAGAGACATTTAGGGCCAGTTATTCACACAAGGTCTGACCCAATGCATTGTTTTACATAATCAGTGTGCCTCCAGCTTTCTCTAGTGAGGGTTAATGTGACATGAATAAATGTCCTTCCACAATTAGCTTTCAGCCCACATGACACTGTTTACAGAAATAGATGTTCAGATGAAAGGGCCAGCTAAATTGAGGATTGTTTAGGATGCAGTTTTGTTGAACAATGGCTAAACTCCTAAATGGCCCTTAATCTTTTTATTTCATTATTGTGGCAAGAAATCTCATTCAATTTAATCACTGGTTGCTGTATGGATCTGCACAGACATGTTTAAAATAATCAGTAGAGAAACGAAACAAATTGATTCAGTTGTAATGTATAATTATTTTTGGTAGTATTTGCACATTTCACCAGTTGCCAATTAGCTTCTTAATTAAGGATTGAGTTTTAAAAAGGAGCTATAAAAAATTTTTGTTTATTAGGTTTAAAAATCAATGCCAGTCCTTTCTGTATAGCCTGTCTTTTTTCATTCTTGGTACAAATTAATTTCATGCTAAAGATCCTGATGGTTCAGATTGTCACTATGTATACATTAAGTCATTTGAAAGATCTAAGCTATGGACATTTTGGGGTGTGAGACTTGAAAATGTGAGGTGCTGAGGCTACACAGTACAACCTAGAAATTACATCTCTTGTAGTCTCAGTGTTTCAAAGTCTGTTCATGGCTTCCTGGTTTTTAAGTTCAACTCATCCTTGAATTGTCACATGTAGATTAAATGATATGACAAATATAGTAATTCCTCTTTTTTTCTGTGGATGCAGTATCCCCCATGAAACCTCTTTTTTGGAAGAGAATACAACTCAATCAGCTACCTGTCAGACTGGAGACTGAGGCCAGTGAAACAGTTTGGGCAACACTCGAGGAACCAACAATTAATGTCAGTCGCCTTGCTGAAACATTTGCCAAGGTGGAGAGAAAGACAGAGGGAAAACTTTTATCCTCTAGATCGATGCACAAAATAAAACAGCAAGTTATCCACTTATTGGACAACAAGAGATCGCAATCTGTGGGAATCTTTCTGAGCAGTCTTCATGTTAATATGGATGAGATAAGAGATGCTCTGTACAATGTGAACACCTCCATTGTGGATCAGGAAAGCCTTAGCTCACTGTATGAAATTGTAGGTATCTAGCTTGTCAACAGTGTGTTTTATAAAGCTCCCTGGAGTTCTTAGAAATTATTATGTTGTGATTCAATTTTTTCCTAATTTTTTTGTCTGTCTTAGATCTATAACTATATTCTGAGATTCTAGAAAAAATGCATGACATCTACATAGCACAATGCTCATAAACATCTTCAGATTAAATCAGACTTACAACGAACCCATAACACAAACATGTGTCCCTGAACTAATTTTGTATTCAAATACGCATTTAGTGGTAAAAAGTGTCTACAGTATGTGCTGATTTCATTTTTACCTAGAGGCCAACAAAAGAGGAACTTCAAACAATAGCTATATTCTGTCAAAAGAATTGTGATGTGATACTTGACAGACCTGAGCAGTTCTTAATGGATTTGTCAAAAATTAGCTGTTATGAGGAGCGACTTTACTGTTTGATGTTAAGAACAAGCGTGACAGATTCTCTCTCAGAAATTGGACAGAAACTGACCAACTTTCGATTGGTTTGTGAGGTAAAGGTCATGAGTTCAATTTAGAGGTGTCATAACATCATTTGATTATGCTCATAACAGCTACATCAAGTGTTAGTATCAATATAGTTCAAAGCTGAACAGAGAGGTTTTAGCAGTTGGATTGGCTGGGTGACTTGTTAATGACCCGCACAGCTTCACCTACACTTTTGTTGCCAAAAATTTTCCACTTTGGCCCTCCCATTCAACCAATAGGGTGGTAGTCCTGTGGTAAATCCTTGCATTTGGATTAGTTCTTAATTGGTCCATATTTTGCTATATAAATTGTTTCCATGGAAACAGTCATGAGCCATATATTTTAGTTTGCAAAAGCCAGGAAATTCAAAATTACACAAGTTTGAATTTGTGTTTGTGCAATTCAAAATAAACAAGTTTGGTCTGAGTGCCTAATACTTTCTAACCTCTCTTGCTCAAGCTGTCCTGGAGAATATTGGCCATCAGCTGTATTTTAATTTTGCTGTGCTTGGTCTGTGTGGCCACAATCTCAGGTCAATAATCCCTAGTACATTTGTAATGTTCAGTTAGTTAGATGTTACTATTGTATGATCTTTGTGACCCAGTACAGGCTTTTACTGAAAATAATTAGTCAAAAATCCCTGGGTGTTTATTATTTCAGACAGTTAGCCAATACATATGTGTATTGTTAATATAGGAGAACTAATCCATCACAGTAATGGACCCTGTTAGCTTCCTACATCATAGATTGGTTACATGGTCCAAAATGGGTAAACAACAGTCATGGCCATATCAAATTTAATTGAAAAGTGCTAAGAATGGCCAGCTGTTACTACACCTGTAACTGTCATATAATAATCTTTCCACAAATTTGGATTTGCATTTTCTTATATATGCTAAGGATCCTAAATTTCAGAAGTTAAGTATCCATGTGTATATCTTCCTCTACTGGTCACACAAATTTGTGTTTTAATCTTAATGTTTTAAAGTTAATGGTCAGAAAAAGCTATATTCAGAGGGCTCAAAACCAATGTTCCCCCTCTCTGGTTGTATGATTTTGACATATGTTCAAAAACTCCTCAATATATTTTTTTCTCAACTTCAGGGTTTTCATCATTGGAGTAAGGCTTTACTGCTGGGTAAATTTCAATCATTTGAATGCAGTCTTTTCAAAATTATGATGCTGCAAAGTTTATAAATAATTTGTCAGCCACAAAATGATTCTGTTTATGGAAAGATTCTTATAATTAAGTTGTACTTGTCATATTAAAGTTGTTTTTTGGAAGACAAATTTTCATTGTGTTCAATGGTATTATCTTGAATTTGAAACCAGTCCCTGGTCCATGTAGGTGGTTTTAGGTGGTTTTAGGTGGTTTTAGGTGGTTTTAGGTCGTTCCATGCTTGAGTACTTACCTTATCTCAAAAATGGCTCTATGTAATTGTTGTGAGTTTTCTCTTCTTGAAGTAAAACTTAGATACATCAAATGAGGTTAACATATCAGACCCACCATTTCAAACTTCTGTTTTTGGTCAACATGTGTGCGAAAATAGTTTGACTGCAAAGGGAGAGAGTTTATTTTTCTCAACTCTAAAATTATGTTCCTTGAGTTATTCCTCTTAGACCTCTTGTTTGAGATGAGTGTTAAATGCATGGGCTCATCTTCTGGCTGAGTAGTTTAAACCTACTATTAAAATGAGGGAAGTGTTATAAATTGTAATTTAAGACTAAATAAAATTTTATTTTATTGTAATGACCTACTAGATGTTGCAGACATGCAAAGAAGTTCCGAACATTTTGGGTTTAGTACTTGCCTTTGGGAACTATATGAATGGAGGAAACATTGCTCGTGGACAGGCAGATGGTTTTGAATTGGACATCCTTCCAAAACTGAAAGATGTGAAATGCAAAGACAATTCCACCAACCTGCTACATTATCTTGTAACTGTGTACATTGAAAAGTTTGATAAGGTACATTCTTTATTATGGCATCAGTATGTATCAGTTTTCTGGACCATTGCACAGTAGGGTTGTCTTGCAGTTTGATTGGTGTTTGCTCTTGAAGCTACCTACTTAAATATTTTATTAAGTGTGCATTAGGATGCACCCAAAGTCACATCTTTCTGACTGGGAAAACTATGTAATGCTTTTAAGAAATGATGTCACTAAGGACAGACCTGTGATATATATTTTAAGGAATGATTCCTTGTAGTTTGTTATATTTTTTTCTTCATTACTGACTTCCTTCAAATGTTATTTGTCCCAATTGGTGTTATAAATAGGCAGACTTTTTTTCACCAACTGGTAGGTTCTATGTGTTCTATAAATTTTTGGAGGGGTCTGCTACAATTCGATGTAGATATTGTGGTTAAAATTTTCATAAAGGACACTGGGATGAAAAAAATTGCAAACCAAACAAAAGATGTGCTTCAGTTACCCCATATTACACATGTTGGCAACAATTTGAAGTGTTTTTCCTTAGAATGCAGGGACTGTTAATTCCAAGTTTCCACTACCAGAACCACATGATCTCAAAGTGGCATCTCAAATAAAGTTTGAGGACATAGAGGCAGAAATAAACAGCTTAAGGAAGCAGTTAGACCTATGTAATAAAAAGCTTTCCAAAGTGATGAAGGAAAGTGAAGAAAGTCTTCAACAACCATTCAGTAGCATAATGAGTTCATTTCTGGAGCAGAGTCAAGGAGAGCTTTCAGAGCTGGAACAAGCACTTACAGAGTGCCAGAAAAGGTAGCTGGAAAACAATTTTTCAGGGCCAGGAGCATATTGAGCAAATGACATCACTAGAGCAATGTTTTCAACGTTTTGGTCCTCAGTTATAATTAATTGCATCATAGTTTTTCTCTTTTCCTTATACTCTTTCACTATTCTTTTCCATGTGAGGGATTTAATATCATCAAGATGTTTATACAATCTTCTATTTTTTAGAGGGACAGGAAAGGCAGAAAATGTTTCAACAAATGTCACGGAGTGTAGGAAAAGTGTCAAACTAAAGTTACCTCTGTCATCATTTGGAGAAACTGTCCCACACACAGGTCCCTTTGCTAAATCAGTGTTATGATGAATGTCTGGTCTTGTAGCCATTTCTATGTACTGGTATGCTACAAGGGTTATCTTTCTCCATAGTTAAAGGCAGTGCCCACTTGGGTGTGATGAATTAGGTGATTGATAATATTTTATCTCACAGTTTGTTAGGTTGATTTTAAAGGTTTCTTACAGGTACTCATCCCTTTGGAGATTCTTCAATGCCAAACCTATGGCTACATGTAGTCCACCTCAAGAATTCCTTGAGATCTGGGCAAAGTTTAGTTCTGACTTCCTGTTATTCTGGAGAAAGGAGCAGCAGCTGATTGCCAAACATGCTTTTGAAGAAACAAAACGAAAAGTGTACAAGGAAAAAGTAGAAGGAATATCTGTGAAGCCAGCAACTGTTAGTGGTTTGAAACTTAAGTTGGCCTCTTCAAGAAAGGCAAATGCTAGCTGAGCCAACTAAATGAAAGTACTGGTAGAATGGTTTGGCTCCTGTAGTTACCAAGACTTCACAGTAGTGGGTTTCACTTTGAAAGAAAGGAAATGTACATCATGTAGTACCATGAGAATTTGCTTCCCCTAATTTCTTTTGATCAAAGTTCTCTCATTATTTGTGAACATAGCAACCTAGAGTGGTGGCAGTTGCAATTGAATTGAATGAAAACATTAGATCTTTGAGTGCTTTTGTTGTCAATAAGCAGAGTGCAATAGTACTTCCATTCTTTTTCACCATTCTGGTGAGGGATTTGGCTCTTGTCCATTGTAACTGTGTGTGATATTTAAAAATTGAGAGTTAAATTGTCACCATTCCATGCTGCAATGAAGCTGCGGCCATGCCAAATGTAAAAAAAATTTATACACATAGTTGTGTACCCAATTATGACCACGTCTCTAACAGGGTAACAGATTAGGCAGAAAAGTTTAACTCAAATATAACCAGGTACTTCATTTCACAAAGGGAATTCCTGTTTCTTAGTGGAGGTCTTATCGTGAAGTGCGGTGAATCTATTATAAGCTTTCCTGGCCAACCTTGTACCAAACTGCATATAAAACATGTATCAGGATAACAAAGTAGCCAGACAAGACAATTATATTTATAGCTAATTTATTAATGTAATATTTATTAATGTTTACCCAGTAAAGTCATACTTGTATTTATTTATTTATCCTAATAAGTCATATATCCTAGTATAAATAATGCACTGCTTATTTATTTATTTATCTTTAAGTTAATAAGTCATATATCCTAGTATAAATAATACGTTACTCTATTTAAGACAAATTATTATGCAATATTGGATACAATATAGGGAGGTAAGCAATTAATTGTTATGTAGATTACAGAAACCAAATCAAGTGGAAACTCCTTGCTGTGGGAGAGGAAAGAAAAGCCTTTATTTTGCAAGGGGCAAGATTGAAATGAAAAAAGAGTGAGAAAAAGAGAATTACAGGATGTAGTTATATGTCAATTCATCACTTGACAATTCTTAACTATTTCTCTGTCCTAAGGGAACTCAGTTAGACGTTTATTAAAACCAGGAATACTGGAACACACAGGAACACCAAAACATGCTGCAGCTCTAGAGCAACCTAGAACACCGCAAAATATTGAAAGAGAAAAAAAGAAAAGAAAAAATATCTACATATATATATACAAGAATTTATGAAAATGAAACTCGATTTGGAGGGATTTTGCGCCCTTTGTGTGTCGAGTCTGTTATCAAGTTTTTCAGTTGACTAGTAACCTCGTTGTAAGGGGCTTTGGAGTACTGGTGCTTTTTTTGCGTTGCAGTTGCCGTGCACTTTTCACTACATATGTTGTTTTCAGTTGAAATCTGGGATAATCACCCCAATCCTCAGCCATGTCTCTGTTTTTTGTTTCACAAGTACGCGTCAGGTTGTATTTCTCTCTCTCTCTCTCTCTCTCTCTTTTTTCTTTCTTTTTTTTTTTTTTTTTTTCTTCTTCATTTTGGTTTTTCAACTTGGTGTGCTGAGTTGTTATGGTGTTTCTGGGTTAAGAACATGCAACTCATTTGCATGTCTAAGACATCAGGCAGTCTTGATAACTGAAACAAATAACGAAGCTTGACAGGTTTGAATAAGACATTTGTTCTTCATGCGAAGATCCACCACTTTCAATGACACTGAGCTGAATAATTGTTTTCGTAGGTACCGCACAGATTCTTAAAAAAATAAATACCGACGAATAGTTGGAATTAAATTCTTGACGCGTGCTGTTGTCTCTTCGGCTGCGACTCATCTCCGAACTAGCCAATCAGCGCGCGCGAAAAATACTAATTACTTGCCTGGTTTACTATCACTTCGTACGAGGTAATTATAGTAGGGGACGAAGGGCGCTTAATTTCAAAATGACTGCCTCGTGTTTTGTCAATGTTACGCAGGAACTGATAAAAGCATTAGAAGAAAATACAATTCTGAAGAGCCCAAAGATGCCATTAAGTTTTGACACTTCTCAAAAGAAAGGAGAAACTGGCTGCTTATCTTGATACGAGTAATCAAAAAATTGTAACAGAACGGTGTCATCAGCAAAACAGATTTACACCAGAATTCAAAATGACTTCGTCTCGGAAATTATTCAACAATATTACCTGAGCCTGAGGCGTTAAAATTGTTAATAAGCATCTATTGTTCCGGTGTATCAAGCCTGCTTTCAATCTGAACTCTTTCAGCAGTTGAATTACGTTGCAATTAGGCCACCAGAAAAATCGCAATTAGTTTTTCTCACCATCACGAACGATGAACGGGTGAAAAATTTTCTCTACGTCGCATGTAATAACGTGAGGATATCTTCTGAACCTACAGAGCACGGAAATCTTACCCCCTTACTTGGAGACTTCTAACTCTTTGGCTGTCGACAAGAGATTCTTAGCTTGTAGGAGTACCCAGGCGAAGCTTTGTTGTTTGTGTTTCTAGTCCAAGTCCGTCACAGGTTTCCTTTTCAGACATTTGTCCCTAGAAGGGGCAAATACTCTGAAAATGAACTGTCTCTCCACCACTTAAACCAAGACTTCAGTTGGCTTTCCTCCGTTTCTCTTGACATGAGTTTCAATTACTGCTCTTTAAGGGCGTCGTAATATTCAGGAGTCTCGCATTCTAAAAGTTTAACTGACATATCTTTAAACTGTGTGTCTTTATTCGTACTAAGCTCCCGGCAGCGAAGATCCACTACTCCTTGAAGTGGAATTCACATGTCTTGATGCAATTAACAGAACTATCTCCAAATACTTTTCGCATCGCACTAAGATTGGATCCGGTCATGTCAGTGCACCAGTCGATTGGATTGAACACCGTTGTGGTGCCGCTCGAGACTTTTTCAAAAACTTCATTGAATAACTCTCAAATTAGAGTTACGTTTTCACTGTCGTCGAAGCAGAGGGTGGTAAACACTTGCTTACCATCGATAGGATGTAGGCCGATGGCACATGGGAAGGTTTTACGGTTAGATTCTTCCGAAGATATTCTTTCATATCCTCCTTTGCGCTAGAGTGTGGTGGACGTTTGACGGCGCATGTGTGGTTTCCGTAATGAAACACTCGAACATGGCTTTCCTTGATAACCAGGTACCTGCGTGCCTTACAGGGAATGTACGACGGTTGTTTTTGACAAAGGGAGCCCTCTTTCTTCTTGAATTGTACCGTGTTTACAACACCATATTCCACCTTGTACAGGCAGTGATCGTTAGTACGAGCCATTACAGTTGGCATACCGTACTTTTCCATACCCACTTCATTCGGTTCTGCTGCCTTTCTTCCAACTTCGACCATCCTTCAGGGCCGCGACTCTTTCCTCCGCGTCAGTGACTTTGCAAACTTTGTGGCAACATAACCCGTTTGTTCCTCCTAGACGTTTTTCGACTTCTTGACATGCTACGCCATCCCATTGTTGTGGACCGATCTTTCTTTGTCTCCCGGGATCACTGTATTCCTCATCAGCATCGTCGGAGGACGGGTCGCTCTCCTCCTAATGAACAAAAAGCATTATTTTATAAGCCTGACATTACTCTGACGAATACAAAGAGTACGTATAATTTGCGTGTTACAAGTTTATTGCCTCCATGGGTGACAAATGACTCCATCTAAAATAAGGGTGAGGCATGAAATTACACACGGTTACGCAATCACAGTGCGTGAGCCCCCTCTGGTGAAAAGATTACGGAAAACAAGGCCTACTCGACGAAATATCTACATTACCCACGTGCTCGAAATGATAACTTGAAACAAGCGTAGCAGTGTTTTTTTCTTTCAAATTATAAAATCTATCTATTCCACTAACCTCTTCGTATTTATAGCATTCAAGAGGCAGAATAGGTTTCCCAGGACAGTGGTTCTCTACTCCACATGTTTCAATCATGGGCGTGATTTTCCCCTGTAGAATTATGAAACGCAACAAACGTCAATCCAGATAAAATTCAAAATGCTTAATAAAGCAAAGTACCTCGGGTGTAATCTTCATGAAGAAGATGCATAACAATATCTTGCCATGTTGATGTCAGCCTTTTTTTTCCCATGCCTGTCGTCGAATTCAGGGATGTCCTTCACATATCCTTACTAATGTCAATGTCACTCTGAAAACGTATATGCGTCACTAATTCGGCTGATAATCTAAGGCAGATTGAACAATTACGAATTACCTGCTCCTTCTCTTCGAGGGACTCCTAAAGGGCAAGGGTCAATGCCACATCCTCTTCTTCGACTGATATTTATACCACGAATTACGAAGCGGGGATTTGTTTCCAACAATCTCCGCAGTTGGAGAATTATCAGACTTAACCTGGTGTACTGTGTCCATAACGATAAATAGCTAATAAATAAACCGGCGCCAAATACCATAGGGCAAGTAAAAGGCAATAACTCTCAATAAGGTTGCAGTCCATTGGATAATGCTTTATTGTACCAAAAATTAGGTGATTATTTTGAAAGGAAATGACAAAACAGTGAGGGGCCTCGATTCGACCCTCAAAATAGCCCTTCACAATAACTTGTTAATTATTAGCCCAAAATAAACAATATGTTAACTCTAAACATGTCATATGGTAGGCAGTTGCCTGGGTGTACTTCTTACCAAGTTTAAGCTGATTTGATTGAATTTTTGATTAATTATGATCTTTTAAGTAAGCTACCAAAATCTTACCATGAACCAACCGTAATGCCCCCTTAAGAATCCGAAACAAATCTTACTTTCGCTGAAAAATTTTAGTCTGCTTTGTAGCGTCTGGGTCTTAAACATTACACAGGTATCTAATTGGTGGCTTGACTACTTGTAGAACAAGGTGTATTGCGGTTGTCGTCTGAACTTTTCTGTTGTTTTCCTTCACTGTACGCTTCCTTTCCCTTCATCTTTCGGTTTGTCACTGACTTCTTGTCTATTACTTGCTGCCGCGTCTACTTCCTTGATCGCGTAACAGGATGAAATTGGGTGACATAAGAGATCCGTCTCTTCTCTGATGAATGTAGCGAAAGTATCGAAATCTAGATATGTCTTTGTTTCTCTCAGTCTTCATGTAGTTTCTCAATTCCATCGCAAGACGAGCCCAGCAGTTTCTGATTTTCCATGTAGTCGTTCAATACGTTTAAATCCTTGATAGTGTGCATTGCTGTTTCAACACTGACCATGAAGTCAGCGTTGGATGATCTTTGTGGTTGATCTTTACCCATCGTTGTAACCTGTCTCTGTACACCTGGTCTTGGATACAATAAACGGATGTCCAAAACGCTCATTCAAATGTTCCATGCTCGTTCGTAACCTTCCGATGAATTCTGAAGGAAAAGCTCGCACTTCCGATAATACGTCTTGTCGCTTGAAGGGGTATTTCTGTTAGTAATAACATGGAAAAACGATTTCCAATCTGGGTACTGGATGGTTGACTCAGGAACTGGTTAACAATCGCGGTAGTTGAGGCTGCATTGAATTCTTTCGGTTGAACCTGATAGTAGGAGAATCTAGGAGGCATGGAGCAAAGTGATTGTTCTGACACTGTTGAGCTTGACGACGCGTTTTAAAGACCATTTCAAGGGCAGAAATGAGTTATTTATCTGGATCCATATCATTTCTTAACTCTTTGAGCAAGTAAAAGGCTGTTGGATTTTCACGTCAAAATAATTTGTGTAAGATATATTAAAGTTCATATGACAACCAGGTGGACAGTCAGACATGGTTTGATGCTACTCTGGTTTACAGATTCACCGAATGTAACCGAAGAAGTTACAATTCATAGACTCAAAGTTTCGACACTCCTGTCTAGTGCCTTTATCAGGGGTGATCTAAACGCTGCATCAAGAGGTCCTTTTATACGATCACTAATTGGCTGCCTTTTTCTGGCGAGGTGTAAATAGGCGTCAGGAAGTAAGCCGCGGTCATCACGATTTGAAGGAGCGTGGACGGAGTTAATATGCCAAGCTTCCAAACAAAGGCGTTGGTGGTATCGCCGATTAATGGTGATAATTTTAGACTAATCCCACCCAATTGTATGGTTAGCTAGGCATGTGTACACCGATAAAGCTGAATTTTTTTTTTTTTGCAAAAGAAAACCGCTTTCTGATGCTCTTTCAAATGTGCATCAAACTGACCTTTGGTCTGTCCGATGTATTCGTTGTCACAGTCGTTGTCAGGAATAGAATAAATGGCGTCGGTTAGTTGTTCTTTCGTGACAGGACCCTTAGGTTTGGCAAAAATAAGCCCCAAAGTCTGAAAAGGTTGTGTAAATTCATCAGACAGCGGTTGACTAGAAGACAGACAAAATAGGCCAGTTGGTCATGTTCGGATTCATGGGACTAAATAGCTTTCTCATATAACAAAAAAATATTTTGTGTTCTTAAAAGGTGCGTAAATTTAGCCCTAATCATCGTTGTAAATAAGTTCAGAGCATGGTGATGTAATTGTGATCAGTAAGGATTGATGCTGCGAGCCTAAGTAAGAAGCAGCTGTTACACTGACCGTGTGCGGCCTGAGCGCCTCATATACGACTCTGCTCAGCACTCGATTTTATATCCAACGAGACGCACCACTGCGACGTTTTACTGGCACTTTATGTTCTGCATTCGAAGCCGAACAAAGCTCAATTGAAATGAAGTGCTTGAATGACGGAGACGTATCGCAGCTCTGTCATTTGCAAGCTATACTATTTTTGATCTCATTTCTTAATATTTTGAATCGATTAATAACTTGCCACTCGTTTCCACGCCTTTAGACAGTGAATGGCTAATCAAGGTCTAAGCTTTATACCAATCTATAAATGTATCAATCTTAATTATATCACTAGTAGTGTCCGTGGGGAAGATGAAGCAAATCCTGTGTTCTGATAGGCTACCCGAGCAGGCAAGATGGGCCCGAGAATTTCAAAACAGCACACTGAAGGAATTTTTGATGTACTGGTTCCGGAAAGTTCAACCGAAAAATAGCATGCTGAAGTTTGCTTTTGATACTACTCATTGCTGTGTTTAATGGCATTCTACAAGATTATTATATAATAGCAGGTAATTTAGTGTTAACAACTGAGTTGAAAACGTCAATTGGCTACCGCAAAGAGTAAAAAAGCTGACGTTTTGAGCGTTAGCCCTTCGTCAATCGCTCTGACGAAGGGCTGACGCTCGAAACGTCTGCTTTTTTACTCTTAGCAGTGGCCACTTGACGTTTTCAACTCAGATGTTAACACTAAATTACCTGCTATATTCTCCCACTGATGCAGTGCCACAGTTTCTTTCCAAACTTACCCCCTTTATTATATAATAGCACAAACTGTAACAATTTCATGCAAATTAGGAAGGACTGGAAATAGGAACAATGCATTATGAAAACAGTAACTGCACCACATTTAGAGCCACCATTTGGCCAAGTTAGGCCCTGTTGCTTAATATTGGAGAACACCATTTTCAATCTTTCCCGAGAATTTCCGTAACACCTATAATTTGTAGGGATTAAACTTTGATCATAGTACTAATAGCTCCTTAAATTACTTTCATTTGCTGTGTAATTGGAATAAATGTACCTATGCCTTAAATCTCATCTTTTCCTAACTCGTCACCACAACTTAGAATGAAAGAGGTTTCTTAAACAAAAGGTTTCCTTTACTCCTGCTGTTTCATACAATAGTCAATATCTACATTGAAAAATTACGTTGAAGCAGTGAAACAGAATTTGTCTTCACTTTTCTCATGTTTTCATTGGCTCTGCTTGCTCCACTTGGTGACCATTCTTTTCCAGTTCTGCCCTAAAAAACATGGATAAATGAAACTTATATTAGCATTGATTAACTCATCATTTTACAGCTGTTCTTGAGGATGCAATTTGCAGCTAGACCTGAACTTTTTTGTGGGATCAAGAGTTCAAGTGCCTATTAGCATACACTGTTTTTGAGATATTACAGCTGAGTTTGCTCAGGAAGAGACATTTTTAGCTATGTGGTAATGTGGTTTGAAATGGGTAAACAAGAATTCAAAATGGCTGCTAAAGTATATGCTGCAGACAACATCTAATTGGTGATATTGCTTCTTATCTTGCCTATTCACTGATAAATCAGCACTCAAAAGACTGTGGTTTATAGGAATCAGCAACAAAAGATATGGAGTTTGTATTTGAGATTATAAACAGCCTTGAACTGGAAAAACAAACTTTTGAAAAAAAAAAGAAATGGGCACAAAAGGGAAGCAAATGTATCTCATAAAGCACTTTTAGGTGATTTTGTGACTTAAGATTAAAGTGACACTATATTTTGTTGAGATCTGTAAAGCCGTAAAGGGGATTTATAAATGTCATGTCAAATGCTCAGTTTACCCTTTCTCAGAATACATAGCCATGGATGTTGAAACTCAAGAAATTGCCTAAGGTCACCTGCTGGTCATAGTTCTTAAACAACTAAATGACTAGCAGTGGTCTTAGTGGCATTATTTCTTTTGGAAATAGCCACTTGTTGACCATAAACATAATGAAGGACAGGTGCAATCTTTCAATCTCCTAGTTCAGCTGTCTGAAATCCTTGTCTTCAAAATGGTCAGCACACTTTGGTACTAAAGGTTACTCTTCGGTATTCATTTTGAATTTTTTTCATTTTAAAATTCCATATCTGTTTTAAAAGAAACTGAAAAACAACCATCACGTTTTAAAATCAAGGGGAGACAAAACTATTTCTCTGACCATTTACTAATGCTGATTAAAACACAAATTTGTGCAACTAGTAATTGAAGAAATATAGCATGGTTACAAACTTGACTCACCAACTTTAATAAGGCAACTAGAACCATGATAAAGGTTACTTCTAACTTGATATTTGTATATCCTTGATCAGCTTTGAGTCTTCTGAGTTTGTCTCTTTTCAGTAGTTTGTCACATTTCTTAGAAATTTCTTTACAATGATGCCCCATTTATTTCACTGCCAAAATATTTCTCCACTGAAGGGACAAGAAATTGGGATGTCCCTTGTGCTTTGATATGTTACACAATCTAAGACGAATAAGTCATAGGTGGTAATTTGTAAGTACCCACGTTGTACCTTAGCTGATTTGAGAAGTCATCCTCTACAGTATCATCATCCCAATTATCCTCCCAAACATGTATGTCAGCCTGGTCTTCATCCACAGCTGTCCACTCTGGTAAAAGAGTTACCATAATGGTGGTTAACCCATGAGTAAATGATGAGAGGACACCCTCCATAGTAAATAAGATATTTTACATGTAATACCAAACCTTAGAAAGTAGAGCTCCATTACTCAGCAAAGACCACATTAGAAATCATACCATGCAGATGTAATATTGCTCAGTCATACCATTTATAATTAGTTTGCATAGCTAAAATAATAACACAAGTCACCTTAGGTCAATTTGCAAGGAAATCGAAAATTACAAACTGACCCAGCTTAAACCCCTACTCAAGCAATACAACACCAAAATTAAAAACAAACATGGTTAACCCTTGGAAGCAACAATTCCATTTCGTCAAAAGTGATTCAGACACAGACTGAACAATTCCTGGAACTGTTTCGCCGGACTTTGAACTTTTTTGTGCCTTAAAGATGTGAAGATACCATTGCATATTATTGTTTTGATCCTATGCGGTTGTTTTGACTGAATGCACAGTTTGAATGAATTATTTTTGCACTTGACGCACGCGCTTTGCCTGTGCTTAATTATGATAAGCCATCTTTTATTTTTTCTTGATTATTATTGACACATAATCACATGATATTTCTTGTGCAATTTGGAATAAATAAACACTTGTTTATTTTTTTAAAGACCACAAATTGCACTCACCCTACAGGCTTGTACAATTTTGTTAGTCTGAAAAAATTTACTCCTGCTTATTTATTCCAAATTGCACTCAAAATCATGTGATTACCTATACTAATAATGAATGGCTATTCCCTTCCCTAAACACCACTTTTTTCAAACCAACAACCAAAAAGCAGTGCTTTTTACTGTGTTTTTCATTGTTTGAGCTGTTTTTCAGCTGCGGTGGCAAAAGAAAACCTACCTAAAACACTGGCCATTGTTTCTCTCACAAATTTTCAAATTTTGTTGTGATATCCAAGGCTCGCATTTGATTGGTTGTCTGTGAGTTTCTTTGATTATTGACCAATCAGAATGTCTGATTTGTTACTTTCTTTGCACTGAATTAACTCTCTTCTGCACTGAATTACCTGAAACCTGCATCTATCTCAACCAGTCAGAACTGAGTAATTTTTCCATGTATATTATTAGCCAAAAAATAAATAGTTTGCATAGTATTCTTGCAATTCAAAATTCCTGATGTTTTGTGTTTTGCTCTTATTCTTATGAGGTGACCATCAAAGAACTTGTTGGTCTGTATCTATTAGTAATCAAAAGGGCTTTAATTCTGGTCTGAGTGATAAAAAGAGCCAAAGGTCACAAACATCATAGCTTTGGACAGTAGCCACAAAAACTAGGTTGAGTTCATGAAGTTGAGGCTAACTGGAAATCTTCCTCTGAAAATTAATAAAAGAAACCTATAAAGTATTCTTTCGTGATTCGCATTGTTCCGCTTTGCTTTTCTTTCCTTTTGCAATTCCTATCAGAAATATTTTTCAGTTGTGAGATGAAACTTGTTTAAACAGCTGTGTGCGACGGGAAGATTTTTCTTTTTCATTACTTTTATGGGAGGTATAAAAGAGTGCCTTGAGCTTTGGGTACTAGACATAGTTTTGAAAACTCGATTCCACATGTTTCGTTGTAAAGCTATTGGAGGTTTTATGGGATATTTACCTGGATCACTTGAATTCAGTCTAAACAAGGTGATGCAAATTAAAGAAAGTGAAAGATCGATGGCCAGGGGATCAGATTCAAAACAACTTAACGAAGATCCTCTAAATTCAAATAAGATGAATTACTTCTTGTCTTTTTTGTCTCGATAGTCGTAGACACTAAACACTAAACAAAACTTTAAAATATCGTGCTACAAGAAATGGGAGTTACGATAAGTGACCGATAAAAGGATAGGTGTTACCTTCTGCAGGAAACTCTTCAAATTCGTCATCTTCTTCCAATAACCCTAGATCAGCTTTTTTCATCGGCGTCGCTGAGTTCACGCTCGCCATAGCTAACACTCTCGTCACCGGCACCACAACTACTGCGCAGACTCAGTCTTCATATACAACCTCGTACCCAGAGGTTTCTCGGTCTTACTTCTAAGATGGCGGTCTGACGAGACACCCTTGTACAGAGTCCTTTTTTTTACACGGGAAGACAAGCTCAGATGGCGTGCTTAACGCCATATGCACATAGTATCGTCCTGAACTAGATAAAGCAAATCAGGTGGTTTTAATTTTGTTTCCCTGTTGCCTACTCTGCAGGCGTGTTGTTAGGGCGAGTTAACGTTACAAACTCGCGATTGTTTATCTCAATTTATCAACTTTATCCGGGCAGCCATGTTTAATTTAGAGTTAGAGTGGAATGAGGGTTAAGGCGGGGAAGTAAATTTCAATTGTACAACCCCCTGCCTTTACCTTCCTTTTGATCATATTTAACTCCATTCGTTCATTTGTCTTTTTCTCACCAGCCTCCCGCTGCTATAAAAATCAAAGATGGCTGCTTTAATGGTCTTTAATTTTTATCTGGAAGATATTAGACACTCGCTTACCAAAATTTCACTTGCTTACGAGGCTAACTTTCCAGCGGACGTGCCACAGATTTTACGACTGACATGTTAGACTGACTTGTTAGGGTTCAAATGACCATGATCCGCGTGACGTTAAAGTGTGTTTGTTGTTTTATGACAAAATCAAACTTTTCTTCTCTCAACATGAACAAACTGACTTTTTGCAGTTTCATTGTACCAAAAATCGTTACCACCCATCTTAATTAAAGAGTTCTCAAGGCTTTCAATCCGGAAAATCGATGTTATTCACTTAAATCTCTGTCATCAATCCAAATATAATTTCCTAAAGTTGAAATCGATTTGATAACTTTGAGCAAATGAATAGTATTCTGACGTGTGCCATAAATTATCTTTGTGTTGCTATTTATACACATACTCCTCTGTTTTTTTTTCTAAGATTTCGTATCTGCAACTAAAATAAATAATAGAAATAGGAGCGAGTGGAGTCCAATCTGGTCTGTAACCATAGGAGTGATTAACAAAATCGGACTTGTCCGATTTGTCAATCACGAGTATGATTTTATTAATATTATGGTTGCATCCACAGCTTCAATTTTCAGTAGGCATTCTGTACAGTTGTAATCGGACAGTTGGCTGTAATCGGACAGCTGAAGCAGCCAATCATACTAAGTCCACTCAGCTAATCCACCAATCACAGAAAAGATCACAATAACCGTAATATTGACAAAATCTTTTTTCTTTACAATAAATTCGTTATTGACCAAGCTTGTGTGGTCAAAATGGCTGGATATTAGCATCAACATGACGCTCATGGTAATAGAGTTTATTTGCTAGTCTCGACTCCCTTCCCGAAAAACGCAGTCTGACATAAGGATGCAGCGGTAATTCGAATCCTTATTCTAAAGGTATCAGAAAATATTATGTAAGGGTTTGTAATTCTTTTAGAGTAAATGTTAGAAGAGTAAATTAATTGACGTTTAAGTCTTCCCACTTCATTCATTTTATAATTAAAGAGCCAGGAAGATCACACTTCAGTTCTTCTTCTAACTTCTGTCTCTTTCTCCTATGAATTAAGTTAAATCAAGTTGGCATCTTGTTTATCAGTCTTGGAAATCATCGGAAAAGTAATCAGGAGGTTGTGCCCATGCGGTTTTTTTCCTTTCCTGAGACAATAACCTGCAAATGAAAAGGTTGATAAGAAGACGAACATTTTACAGCTCAAAAGCGAAAAAAAAAATAGCAATTTCCAAGGCGAGCGGTGAGATCGCGAAACTACTAACATTTACAACAGAGTTACTTTCTTACCGTACCAACAAGAAAGAAAACGTCAACGATTTAAGCATAAGCAGTAACGTTCAGTGCTATTAAAAAGCGAGTTTGAGATTCGTTAGCTCGACATTTTTCGTTCCTTTGCATCATAATAGATTTCAATGTCAATAACAGTGACGTGCAAACACTGATTTGTACAAATTGACGAGCATTAAAAAGCGATAGTCCATAAATGTCGGATCAGGCGGGACAGGCAGGTTCACCGACTTGGCTCAAATTTTGCATGTGAACTTGGTTAGAGGTTCTAATCCCGAAATGGATATTTTGAGATTGAAATTTATTTTGCGTGGGAAATTACGTCTGACGGCTATTTGGAGCCCCACTGAGACATGGAAACGAGGCTAACAAGAGCAACTTTTCAATACCTGGGCTTCCCTTCCTCTCTCATTTTTTATCATAAAAAACGAATACGTAAATCTGCAACTCTTCTACTGTGTTTTAAATGGTCAATTTCGTACAAAAATATGAAGGGAAGGGTTGAAGTACTCAGTTTTAGGTGTTTTAAAAATAACGTAAGTTTAGCAGCTTTGTGGCACTCTTCAAATGTAGAGTTAGAAAACTAGAGAAAATCGCTTCAGCACTCAAAGGCCCATTTTTGAAAGCGCCAATCAGCAAAAGAGGCACAAATTTCTGTGCTCGTCTTTTCACAAAACTCTTGTTTGAGGAACTGTTTTGTTTCGCATATTAAGGTCGAATCTTTACTACAACAAATCACGTTTTCTTTACTCACGGTTTTTGACACCAACTTTGCCTTCGCTGCCACGACCATAAATCTGCAACTTTGATCACGACTCAACTTTGATCAGCTCCCAACTGGCTTGTTAGCTCAGTTGGTAGAGCGCTGCACCGGTATCGCAAAGGTAATGGGTTCAGATCTCGTACGGGCCTGTTTTTTTTTTTCAGGCCTTATTTTCACAACTACCGAAGTGGTGTTTCTAACTGCTAGGGTCGCTTCCATATTCGTCACAACTAAACGAATTTAATGTGTAATTAGGTCCGTCATCAATATACTAACTTTTTTGTAGGTTCCTGAGAGGAGGGTAGGAATGGTATGGGCTGAGGAGGAGGCGGGTTGATTTCTCTCACTATCTGTGATGATAATCTTGCAGAAGGAAGACGAGACTCCCTGAAAAGACAATGACATACCCTATAACTAATTGAATAGTTAGCGATGTATCATTCAAATAGTAGAAAGCGTTGGCTGATTAAGTCAAAAGGACCACACAGACATTCAGTGTGGAGACCAGAAACGATGTTTGAAAACGATTCACCGAGGAAACTAGATGGAGAAGGCCTACCGTGCGAGCTAAACAACCTCGCCACCAAGAGTTTCTCAGTCAGGTTTCATAAGATGGCGACCAGTTTTCAAAATGGTAGCTGACCTCGGGAAACTTCTAAGATACACTGGCAGGTCACCCTACGTGTTAGACAAAGATCTAAAGTCATCAGGCCACAATTCACACCGTTTGATGACTACATCTGAGTAGCGAATTGATCGCTATTTGTCTTAAATTAGGTCAGGCTTCTCCAGCACACCCCTACCCAACGTTCTCATGAGCACCCCCTCCTCCCTTCCCAGATCAGGCTACGGCATATGATACTCACTTAGTGGCAGTTACTACTGTGTTTCTTTTTGGTTCTTTATCATAACTTCTGGATGCACAGTTGTAAAACACAGCAAGTTCATGGACGAGCCGTCTTTGATTTGAGTTCATCGGTGGAAAGGAATGTGTCCTTTGAGATGTTGTTGACTGAAAGGTGATAAGTACAAATGTCATCTTTAATGTTCACGTTTATCCCATGTAGTGACACTAGAGGCCTGTAATATTCAACGATCATTCACCGAAGTTGAATAATAACATTGCAGTACTCCGCAAACTTGAAAATGTAATTTTTACAATTGAGAGACATAGGAACAAATGAGTCCGAAATAAATTTTCTCACGGCACGTTTCCAGATCTCTACAGTTTTTATGTAACTCTTCATACAGTGGTATGTAGATTATCTATTTTGTGATTTAAATCTGCATCCTTTCACAATTAGCCTCTTTTTGGAGTAGTTTATCTAACATAGTATTCAGCGTCCTATTTTTTCGGTTAATCCATTTTCAAAGAGTTTCGTGCCACTATATAAGTTCCCACCTTTTTTTTTTTTTGCTACTTCTCCTACGTGGATTTTAAGAGGTTTTTCGAGTTCGACGTAAAGAGTCAATTTACTCTATCGGCCTGAATCATTTAAAGTGCGGCATTACTAAATAATCACATCCCACTTCTGATTCATCAATTATAAAAATAATTTCCAACTCACTGATCCGGTTGCCGTAAAAAAATGTTAAACAAGATAAATTTCTGATCTTAATTCTTACCTTCAAAGTAGCTTGAACAAGATTTTCCAGTGCCTCCTCCACAGACTTGGCAAATTTTAGATTTTGCCTTTTATTTGTAGAAAAGAAAACAACTTGAATCACTCGTTACGAGTAGAGAACATGTGGGTAGTATGTGAGTACACTGACACCAAACAGAGAACTGCAAACACTATGAAAACCCCACCAACCTAGTTACATATAAACAAGGGCGTCGAAAGGGTGGGTTGAAATGTATGTTCAAATACTTAAATACGCAGAGTATGATTGGTCAGTTTCGTGGCTCGTACAATAAATCTAAAACAGGTCTGACGCCAAAGCCTCCCATTATACATCGCCAATTGTTCTTAAACGTTCGAGCAAACGATTCTCTAAACCCCTTCTTTCCTCTGAAATAGTCTATTAAAACGAGCTAAGGACTAAACGACAAACTCGTTATGTTTTTCAGGTAGAAGAGTCGCTGAAAGTGCTCTGCGTGACATAAAATCGTTTCCAATAAACAGTCATACACACAGTAGAAATGTAAGGGAAAAAAAGCATTTGTTTTTCTCCCGATTGATTGCCACGCACATCCTAACAAGGCCATAGCATAGTAAAGGGAAAAATTCGGTTTGGTCCTCTACCTAGACTAGTAAGAGGAACTGAACGTTCATTCTGGTCAAAGTAACGGAAAATACGGACTAAAAGTTGCACAAACCCTTATTTGTATGCCTTTGGTTCGGTATACCTTAGTTTCGAAATATAAAGTGGTAACGGCGGATCATTGTCAATTTTGATTATCACGAATTTCTCTAACTAAATAAGGATTGTGTCGAGAGCTTCTTCTTTTAAAAGAAATTTCCCATTGACCTAAAAATTAGTCATATCAGGGCAAACTCCTGTCAAGATTCAGTGTCACTTACTTGGCTTCCGTCCAAAGGAATGGTGAATAGCGAAATGAGACCTCTTGGGACAAATCAGCATTTTCAATGTTAAGTGCTTCGGCCAACCGTCTGTTGAAAAGATAAAAAAGCCATACCAAGTAATTGCTGGATTACTGAGCGTGACAGAGCCGAGTGACTGTAAAGCGTTTTGTTGCATCACAGATTATCTAAATCGTCCGGAAATCATGTAATACTACTACTCCTACTACTACTTACAATAATAATAATAATAATAATAATAATAATAATAATAATAATAATAATAATAATACAACTGACAAAAACTGTAAAACATTCAAACTTGAAAAGATTGTGATCAGCAATCATTCAGCACTGACGCAATGCTAACGATCTGTTTTCAAGTTGCAGTGTAACCTGTAGCCCATCAAAACATCTCGAACGTTTCGTGTGTTGTCGAATCCCAGATATGACACCAAGTTACGCAGTACAGTATAAATCGCAAATACTTTAAGACAAGACGTCTGAGTAAATTCTTTTCCAAAGGGGGTCTTGAAAAACAATTAAATACCTGTTTCGTTCGTGTACATGACAATCACTGTTACACTCAAGCCTGAGGAAAAAACGGAACAGCCAATATACTGAGATCTACAACTAATTCTCTGGAATCCTTGCAGGAAATATTAGGTACCAGTGGAGACTTCCCTCCATCGTTGGCCTTGTCAATGTCTATTATAATTAATTCCCTTACTACTTCATAAAAATTCATGCAGTTGTGAGTCAACTGATACACTCAACAACCATTCCCTGATTTTAATTTGGTGTGTACGAATCAACACTGATTTGGACTAGGACATTTTACACCACTTACTTTACCCAGTATTTTCTCGAACTTTTCTTTTCAGCTGAATTTAAGAATATGTTGACATAACATTGCAGTCTCTTAAGTTAATTAAAATCCCCAAGGAACGTACCCACTACTGCACCACAACAATAAAATAAAAAGGATTTCCGAAGAGAATTTCTACAGATAATAGATTGTTTCGAAGCAAATCACAAGTTCAGAAGTCACCCCGCCAAAACAATCAGTCGTTTTCATCCAAGTCTGAATTGTAAAAAGGTGTTCCTGAGTTTTTTCTGTTTTTCTTTATGGAGAAGACTAATCATTCTTACGAGTTTTCTAATGAATAAACTGAATCTTTCTTCAAAAAACATTTTTCCCACAACAACCATCGACGTTGTTTCCAAATTGCTTGTGGAAATGGACAACGTCATTAACAATAACAAATGAACTCATTTAGGTAATCTAAAATGCAGTTGAGGCTGGTTATGACATATTGCAAAGGTTGCTTCTAGAGGACTCTTTTGTCTTGGTGGCTCTCAAGGGAGCCTTTTTTGGGAGTATTTTTTCAACAGGTTCAGTGTGTGAAAAGTGAACTTCTCTCGGGTGCAGCAGTTATTTAACAGAATTATTTGAGATAAAATCAAAGGTTAAATCATTCTTTTTTTTTTGTTAATGTTCCGTATGCTCTTAACAGACATAGTCCTTCAACCACACCCTTAATTTTACACGTGTCACATATACTTAAGATCAATAAACTGTATGTGATGGTGGCTAGGTACTCAGGTGGGGATGGCTGGGCACCTTTCGTGTTCATCCTATCGCGGCATTGCCGGCCCAAGATCACGTTTCGAGAAAGGCGAAAAATAATGATCTATTCATTAATGAAGGCTTCAAACGAGTCTGAACGTTACCCTCGCGGTGTTAGGATAAGCGAAGAACCGTTGAGGAATTGAGCGTACTCTCAAAGAAAGTAATTTCTTTGAGGAGGAAAAGAATAGACCCTGGAGAAATGTCTGGACACAGACCACCTCGGACCGGATAAGGCTCGAAATTCTGGTGTATAGCCTCTGCTTCACGCCAAGGATCGGTAAGACTGTATGGGACACACTAGATGTGAATTAGTTTTGTTCAGCTTAAATTATAATGTCAATATTTGCATAATTTAGCGCTCTAAACCGACGATGACTTATTCCCCTTACAACGTCTTACTAGCTATATAAATTATCAACGATATCTCCGTAACCTAACACCGCGTCATCTGGGCGGTCACGTTGGGACTCACACAAAGTGTGAAGCCTTCATGCAAGAAAAGACACTTTTTCACTTTTTGGAGACGTGAGGTTAGGAGGCCTGTGACCATGGAATGTTGGATACGTTCAGACACGACAGAAAGTTTCGACGCATTTACCTATGATTTATAATTTTTTGATATATTTTTAAGTATAAATTTTTTTTGTTTCAATAGTACTGTTGAATTGACGCGAATCACATGTAATAGAAGCGAAACGACTGTAAAACGATACGCCGAGTGACCTGTAAATGCCCCTAAAATATAGTGGCGAGCACAAGGAACCCAACTGCTAAAATTTTTAAGATGAAGAAACTTGTTGAAACTGAGCTTACTCTCGTAACTTCTTATCATCCACTTTCATCATGCTGCTGATATCTATACACTGGCCACTTTGTAAATCTTTCATCTTGGTTGCAAGTGTCTCCGTGGCCAGGCTACAATACAAACACACCCACCCTCTCCTGGTTAGCACTATGGTAGGATTTAGTTATAGTTATGAAAATTTTAAAAAAATACTTTCCTCTTTCAAATTACAAACAAATTAGATACATATCAATTTTTCAATCCCCAGGCTACCTACTAATACAAAAAAAAAATCAGCAAATAATAATAAGGAGGAATAGCAACTTAAGTTCCTTTCAATTTCACCATGGAAATTGTATTCCACTTTAACTGCGATTTCAAAGTAAGGAGTTAGATTTAAAAGTAAATCGAAAGAAAATCACGGATCATACAAAGTACCTCTGACGTTGTAGTTGTTTATGATACAATAGCTTCAAGCACTGTAATTAACCTTACCGCTGATATGCTTGAGTAACAGCCGTCTTTTCGCCTCCTTGAAGACAGGGTAACTTTTCTGAACGTCTCCCACATTTGCATTTTACTGTGACCTGAAAAGAATCTTTCCTCTTAAAAAACCTGTATGAACACCATCCTCAGTTGCTTCCACAAAAAAAAAGCTACATTAAACAACAATAAAAGAAGAAATCCAACATGATAATGTCTACCTGATAGAGTGCTGGTATTGAGGGGGAAGGGGGGGGAGTCGGCTTTTGATTGACTAACAAATTTTTCAGCTGACTTCTGTTACAGAAACCGAGATATACACCAACAGAATGAGCCATTTAGCTCGTTATCACACTTGAACCTTCATTGGAACGTAGTTTTTAATTTGAACAGGAACTTAACGAAACATACCTTGACTTTGCATGGTATTGCTGGGCATTGCTTGCCAGAATGGCAGGTTGCTGCACATGGGTGACCACAATCCTTACGTGGAAACTCGCAGGGTTGTAAACATGGCTCATCGTCACTCAGACATGGAAGCTGAATGAACACAACAAATCTTTAACAAAAAACTTCAAGCAACCTGGGATTGATGTTCCGTTATCCCTCTTCGGAAAAAAAGTAGTTGATCTATACAAAAAACGATTTTGTTAAACTGGTATCAGACAATTGTACACGTTACGACGTTACCAATTGGCTCTGCAATAGTAAGGCGCCAAACACAAGTCCCATAGAAACCCTATAATTATTATTAATTTCTTCACTAAGTTACATGCGATCAGATTAAGATTCTTTGTATTCCATGGTACAAGTATATCAGGAATATCAACTGTCCCCACAAAATTGATACACAAACAGACGATATGTTGTTGGTTTGGAAAATTTGATCTCGAAAACAAATAAATTCTTCATTGAATTACCCTATGACAAATTTTAAGACATTTGTGTCCACAATTCAGTGGTTTTCCACACTCCTTTCCACATGAGACATCATTTACATGGCACGGAATGTTGTGTCGAACCTTAAAGAAACCAGATCAAATTCATGACATCGAATGATAAAGGATTTCCTCCATGTTATCTGCTTCCATTAGTGAATGCACTATCTTTCCATTGCTATGAAAAAACCTAAACCAAACTCAGAGAGGGAAAAACACTCAATAAGTCGAGCAAATTAATGCAACTGTGTAAAGACTGAAAGCACTTTACTTTGATATTCAATAAACACCAGTTGTATATTTGACAGCGCGTAGGGATGGTAGTTCTAACATTTTGCTCATTCTTACTGCTTTTTTATAATAAGGACATGGACAGTAACGATCCACAGCAAACTGTTTTAGTTCTGAAATTGTGCAGAAAACTTCCAGGGAGAAGGTTGGTTGCCAGTGGCAGAGACATGTTATTCATTCATCAGTCCCCCATGAGGATTCAAACCTGAGACCTTCTGCATTAGCAATTGCATGATCTACCCAAATCTACCATCATGCCTTAATTATCAACAAATGCATATCTCTTTTGACATTGTCGACCAAATTAGTGAACTAACTAACAAGATAAAATGGTGCAACTGGTTAAAATGGTTGAACTAGAAAAAATGGCCGAGCCACTTCAAATGGTCAATTAGACAAATTAGCGCAATTGATTAAGATGGTGTACCCAGATAAAATGGTCCAACTGACACTAATGATCTAACTAGGTCTAACTAGTCCAACTAAATGTTCCAACCAATGACATGTGATTAAAATGGACTAACCGGTTAAAATGGTTTTACTAGGCAAAACACTCCAACTGTTGAAATGAAACTAACTTCTTAGTTTAAATGGTCGAAGTAGAGAAAATGGTTGCACGGGTAGAAATGGTCTATCTAGAGAAATTGGTCAACCTGGTTACTATGGTTAAAATGACCTGAGTAAATAAAATGGTCAAACTGCTAAAAATCGTCGTACTAGATAAAATGGTTGTTTGGCGCGCGAGCTGTGAGTAAAGGAGCAAAAAACACGTTTTAACTAAAAATGATACAAACAGGTTAAATGCGAACCTTTCATATCCAGAAAAATATCGACCTTAATCGACGAGACTCTCGCGAAGGCCACAAACCATTACACTTATCAAAATAAGCCCAAATTTGGGGTGTATGTCATTCTTTGTGTACAGCCTCCTGATTCCATGACATCTTTTACAGGGAAGCTGTGATATGATTGATGCGAGAAACATGCCCTAAACGTTGTGATTGGTGCAAGATATCCAAATGCTGTGATATGATTGGTGCGAGATACATACCCTTATGCGGCAATCTGATTGGTGAGAGATAAATACCCAAATGCGGCGATCTGATTGGTGCTAGCAACATACCACTCTACATGCTAACAAAGAATTATTTTTCTTTTTTATAATTAAAAATTAAAAATGGTCCAACCGTTTACAATGGTTTAACTAGGTAAATGGGTGTATTGCCTAAGACAGTCAAATTGGTGATAATCGTCTGACTAGGTAAAATGGTCTAAGTACTTAAAATGGTCTATCTAAATAGATTGATCCAAGGGGTTGAAATGGTGAAACTAGAAAAATAGTGGAACTAGTGAAAATAGTCTAGGGCGAGAAAGTGGTTCAACCGGTAGAAATTGTCGAAATAGAGAAAATGGTCCAGCTGGTTAAAATGACCTAACTAAATAAGTACTCAAACCACTTTAAATGGTCTTACTAATAAAAATGGTCATACCAGTGAAATGGTCCAACTGGCACAAATGGTCCAATTAAGGAAAATGGAAACGGAAAACCCGTTAAAGTGGTCGAACAGAATAAATCAGTTCAAACAATTGAAATGGTCTTACTAGATAGAATGGTCCAGCCACTTAAATGCTCTAACTAGGTAAATTGGTTGAACTATTTACACTGGCCTGACTAGGAAAAAAGATTCCACTTGTTAGAATGGTCCAGTTGGTTAAAGTAGGGTAATAAGATAAAATGGGGTATTTTTATAAAATGGTGAAACAAGATAGAATGGTGGAACATATGAAAAGGGTCCTATGAGAGAAAATTGTCTAATTAGATAAAATAGTTCAACTGGTAAAAATGGCCTAATTAGAGAAAATGGTCCATCCGGATAGAATGACAACTTAATAAAATACTCAAAACACTTAAAATGGTCTTACTAAATAAAATGGTCATACCAGTGAAAATTGTCTAACTACATAGAAAGGTCCAACCAATTCAAATGGTCTAATTTACAAAACAAATGGTTCAACTTGTTATAAATATCCAGCTGATTAAAATGGTCCAACTGGATAAAATGGTCTAACTAGAGAAAATAGTCTAACTTGTTAAAATGATACCCCTGGTGAAAATAGTTAGAGCAATTAAAATGGTCCAATTTGTTAAAACGACCTAACTAGAAGATATGGTCTAAGTGGTTAAAATGTTTAATTTGGTTTAAATGGTCTAACTAGAGAAAATGATCTAACAAGATAAAATGGTCCAACTTGTAGTAAATGGTGTAACCAGAGAAAATGGTCCAACTCGTTAAAATGATGCAACCAGTTAACATGGTGAAACAAATTAAATTGATCCTACCTGGTTAAAACTGACTTACTTGGGTTATTTTGGTTAGTCTTAGACCCCTTGAAATTTTTCAAAACGGAGCAAAAGATGGCCAAATTAACCCAGATTAGCCTCCAGCGCCACCTCCAACTGCTTAACAAGGTCTAAATTAAATGGTTATAAACTGACCTTACTGGGTAAAATGGTTTACCTTGTTAAAATGGCCCGACTGATTAAATTGGTCGTACTTCCTGATCCTAGCAGCATGTAAGACACTTGTCTCACATCCCATCCCTAGTATGTGGCTTAACTGTCTGAGTTCTGTTGCTCAGTGGAAGAGCATTAGCACTCCGATATGAAGGTCTGAGGTTTTAAACCAGGAGGGAGACTCCAAAATTTTCCTTAACCCACTCTCATGATCACTGAATAAATTTTTTTGTTTATTTAATTGTTGCATCCTGGCTATACAAGTCTGGACAACTTGCGTCATTTTGAAATCAACCCTCAATAAGATTGGGTCTTATACAAGCAATTCTCAAGCATTGTGCCAACAAACCACAACAGGAAGCTTTGGTATTGTGAACATACAGGCCAACAGTACCTCATGGTCTCCCATACATTTTTTCTTGGTCAATATTGTGCAAGGAGGGCACGTTTCGTCATTGTGGCATGTATGATTCACTAATGATCAAAATAAAAGTATGTTACAGAAAACACTCTTGATTTTCTTATATTTCATTTATGACTACAATACTTGGGCAACTTAGGTACTTGCCTTTTGCTTACAGTTTCCATTTAACATCACCACTCTCCTTCTTGTTTAATTCAACTGTTGTCGTGCTTGCCCCTTCACTGTTATTTGCATGTATTCAAAATAATTTGTTTTGAAAGGTCTACCATACCATAGAGTATATACAACAGTAGCACTCTGAACTATTGCTTGTGTTTAAGCCCTTTTGTGATTCTAAAATAAACTGCGGGAAGGGAAAGTGTGTATAAAATTCTTTGCCAATGAGATAAAGAACGCTTTCGGGTGAAATAACCTTCAACCTGCAAACTATGTGAATAGCTATCATACCTGGATGGTGACAAGTATGAATCCTTGAGCAAGGCTTGTCACACTCAGGAGGTGTAGTTCCACATGGGATTGGTGGGTACAAAACTGTAGCTCCACAGTAACATTTTAATTCGTCAAAGCCTGAAAAAAGGGACTTAGAGTTTCAGAAACTTAATAAAAGTCAGCTAGCAAATTTTTAGTTATGTATCTTATTGAAAGGGCAATTTAATATTATCAATAGAGTTGATTAAGTAAATTGGCCACCATAAAGAGTTGAAAAGATTTGTTATCACGAAAATGTAAGAAAGTGTTCATGGTATTGTAAATTTGTTTATCTTCGCTCACAATGATAGAGTCATTTGTTATTGGTCAATTTTCAGCATTTAGACACACACTTCCTGCAACAAGGACCCAATTCCCACAGCTTCTGTACACATCCAAAGACTTTCAAGAGAGAAATGTCATTGTTTGTCTCATAAATGAGGCCACTACGGAAGTGGATTGCAATGTTTGACTGCATACTGCCTCTCTTCTTGAGGTGATGACATCAAATAAGTATGTGTGACCTATACATCATGAAGGAAATGATGCAGTCTTCCTAATGTAGTCTTAAATGCTCACACCTATCAGACCAAGATGGTTTACCAAAGATAAATCAAGGCAATATACTGAGACCAAATGTGTCGTGTGTGAACACTTTAGCATATGATTTGTCTGCTCATTCAGCTAACATCTTATTTCTGCTAACAGGTAACTCAGACTTTTCAGTGCTCAACTCAGCCCACTTTGTGCCTATCATCAGTGGTGAAACGACTCAAGAAAGCAAGATCATGGAGTCCTTTGCAGTGCTTTCAATAAGATTTGAAGTCAGTGGCTACCTCAGTAAAGCAGTTGCAAGAGAATAATATGAAAAAATTCCCCTCTCAATAACCCATTAGCTCCATTCAGTAAAAACTGGCTTCAAATGGCATTTTTTGTGTTAAACTTTGGTAAATGGTCATTAAACATTGGACAATCAAAACCTTCTTTTTGTTGACATGCAAACTTTCTGCCAGAGTTGCACACTTAAGTCCTCTAAGAGGACATATGGTTACTGGTTACCAAAATTTGAGTCAGCATAAATATCTTGGAAACTCAAAATCTTTTTCTGCTGGAAATGTGGTATACGATGAAACAATATCAATCATTTTTATCAAAACTTATGTAATAAGGTAGAAGTTGACTAAAAGAACTCTAAAAGATCTTGGGTTGTTTGCTTGAAAGGTTCCAAAAAGTCACATATCCAGAATGGTGGTAGCCTTCCAACATCGCATGATACAAAACACTTTCAACAGGCAGTTGATCAAAACAACCCAAGACGATATCCTGTGTGCATCAAATTTCTGTCCAAACTTGTTCTCCATTTTCTACCCAATGTTCCAGACCCTCCTTTGCCTAGCTATGCCAGCTTCTTTTCTATTTTTCTACTTGTACATCACTCTGAGTTGCAGTTGCTTAAAGTATTTGCATAGTTACGCTATGATCTTTGATAACAGAGTCTTCTGCTTGTAATTTGAAACAAACCTCCAGTCTCCCACCTGCCTGGAAACACAGAACACATTTCTTGTGATTGCAAGTTTTGTCTTTGCTTTTTTTTTTCTTTTACTGGGTGAAATAAAAGATATATGACAGTGAATTCTGTCAAGCTGCTAACTGCTTCACAAAAATCATGAAAAGTCATTTGTTCACTCATGTTCTGGCTAATCAGTAACCATAAGATCATGGTTTTCTTCACTAGATGATAAGGGATCAATAGCTGTTTAGATGATTGTTTACAAATATTCCAATCAACACAGTTGTACAAGCAGCTCTGCAGGAACTTGAAAATGATTATATTCTATCCAACTGCATAACAACACTTAGTCAGATCATGGATCTCCTCAAGTTTGTATTGATATGTATGTACTTCCAGTACAATGGATCAATTTATAAACAGACAGAAGGCACAGCTATAGGGGTCTGGTTTCCACTGTTGTTGCTATCCTCTACATGAAGAGGTTTGAAGAACAAGCAGTAACATCATCCCCCCAGGATTTGGAAGCACTACATAGACAACACCTTTATCATCTTGGCATGTGAGAGCATAGAAAGCTTCCTACAGATTTTAAACTGACAGCCTTCCATTTTCTTCACTATGGAAAAAGAAAACAGCAACAGAGCCACCTTCCTTCACAATGCAGTTAAAAGAGAACCTGATGGATGGCTACCCACTGGCATAAACAGGAAGACAACATACTTACTACTACTAAGCCCATAACTCATACCATCCACAATCAGTAAAGCACAGTATTATCAAGTATCTACGAGCGTGCTAAATGTCTCCAATCAAAACCCTCCATTATCTTTATGGAGAAGAAACATCTGTCATCATATGTTGTTTCCAACAGTTATCCTTCCTCTTTCATGCAGAGGGTAACATAGCCAAGACACCTACCACAGCATTGAACCCTCCACTGAGTTGAGATCCACCCCAGTCCTGCCCTATGTCAAAGGTCTTTCCGAACAAATTTGGAACTGTCTACAGCAACACGTTTTCCAACTGAAAGAACTCTAAAAGATATTGAGTTGTTTGCTTGAAAGCTTCCCACAAGTCACAAATCCAGAATGATGGCAACATCACATAGTAAGAAACACTTTCAACAGGCAGTTTTTTAGTCAAAGACCATGCTACTATCACACCAAATAGGTGACCAAAGGATACTTGGTTTAAAGAATGCTCTGTGAGTGCAGCAAGGTCTACATCGACGAGATTGGAAAAGAGAGAATCAAAGAGCATGACAGGGATAAACTACTTGCAAAAAAATAGACCTCCACTGTTTCAGCATGTCGGAACACCACTTGCTCTGGAACAAAGTGAAGTTTACTCAATGTGATTCCAATTTCTACACACAAAGGGTGAAAGAGGTAATACACAAAAGACAATCCAAAACCTTGCTTATTTACACTTCCCTGTCTAATGTTCAATGATTGCACATACCAAGAATGGTAGAGTTCTTTAAATATCTGCCTGAAGAGCTGTTAAAATCACAAAATTCTACATTCAAGCTGAATTACTGAATTGCAGGTTATCCTGGTCTACCTCTGAAGGTGAATTCTGGTAAAGTTGTTGAAACATCACTGACTATTGGGTAAGTCATTGATTGGACAATCTCTCTGTACTATCAACAGTTTAGATCTTAAGTAGCATTTCCTATTGGCCATAGTTGTTGGAAGGGTGGAGCATGCTATCCTCTGGATAAATCTCTAGCCGGTAGATAGTGATTTTTCCATTAGATAACATTATTCCCCATTGGTCTATTGAGTTGTCTTTCTTAATATGCAGATGTTCCAGTTTTACAAATATGGCAAATTTTTTCTAACTGATGTCCTCTGTTGACAAATTTGATTGTTGTTGTTTTTTTGTACAGTAACAAGGCCGGGGTAAGACAAACTCATGAGGTAAGAAAACTGCTACCTGACATCAAGCAAGGTGGACAATAACCAGCAGGGTGACAAGGTTCTGAGCATTGGTGAAGACCACATTGCAGCTTTTTACCACAAATAAACTCACACTTGTGTTCCACATCCTTAAGGAATAAGAACACAGCCAAGTTAATGCAAATGGTGTTTAAGAAAACACATACCTACATGAGACAGTGCATGGCATTTACTTGTACTCATTTGTAAAATACTGAAATACATTTAATGATTCACTCCAAATAATCATGTCTGTCTGTCATAACACAAAACAAAAATTATGATAAAATAAACACTTTACTCAATGATAGGATCCTCCTTATCATAGTCTGCAGAGCTGAGGGACATTTGATCAAAAGGGCTGCACAAATAAGTGGTAGAGTAACAAAAGGTATAGGAAGTGAAAACTGCAAACATGAACCTTTTTTTCCCCTTTCTTGCCCTCAAGTCCATCAAGTGCCCAAAAATACTACCAGCTAGGCACAAAATTCTTTTTCTAGGGGAACAGTTTAAGTTGGGTATTATGTGTTATACATAACAGAGACTGTTGAGCTAGTAATTTAATTAGAGACATAAATTGCGGAAAATTTGTCAGGTTGCTTAGTAAAATCTCACAGAAAAATTGACTATTTGTTGCTGAAATGAGTACAATAGTGAACCACTATCCTTTAGAATAATCCCAAGCACTTACCCCACAGCATTTCTTGTTACACCTGTGTCGTCCACATCGTCTTTTCTTGTTACAGCGTTGGTCGCAGGTATATTCTTTTTTTTTTGGACATGAGGGGAGAAAATAAGTCTTGTAAGACCTAGTTTTGTTAAAAATTCATTTAGATTTAGGTGATATCTGGTAGTAATAAACTTAAGACATTATTCAGGTCCAAGTTGCAAACTTCAGACACCTTGTTCAATCAGTTTTGAAAAGCACTTGAAAAAAAATTGACAACTAAGCAATACACAAAACAGAGCCTTTGAGCATGTCTACAGTGTGCAGTTTTCATTATAAAATTACCTTCAAAGTTTATCTCTGAGCAAGGGATCTCCTGTGGAAGAAAATAGAACACATCCAGAATGTTACACTGGAAATACACTTGCACCTCACCACAACACTCACCCTGGGACAAAAAGAACAGTCTGTTGCAGTGAGGTGGTTATTTCAGGGGGACACGGATGTTAATACTCCTGTTTTTTTTTTTAGTAAGAACAGTTTTAGCCAGAAAAATTGCCTTCTGCAACATACAAATATTGTGGATTGATTATTTTCTCAATTAAAAATTTTTCAAATCATTCACTTTTTTTGTTTTTCTTGCAGTCACTATCAGTATGACCTGAAACAAAGTAATTATATCCAACATGGTTCTACAAAGTTGTAAATTAAGAACAAATTTAACAATGAAATATTTGGAAAATATATTTAGTCAAAAATACAGTGAGTACATCAGTTTCTACAACATTCTCTTTCAGTATAGAGGACAAATTTCTTGCAAATGAAATGAACGTCACAAGAGTTATATCTGCATCAGCAAGCTGTCATGCATTTTGAAACTCCATTCACCAATTGCTGATTATCCTGATTACAAGAAAATGATCTGTACGAGATCCCAGTCATTATGTAAACATTTAGGGATACTTTGAACAGAATTTAAGTAAGCCTTTAAGCCTCTTGTGAAAACAGAACTTTGTAGATTTGAAAAGGGGAGAAATTAGGTCATTTTAAATTCTGTGATAATTATAACATACTGCAGGAATTCCAAATCAAATATTTGAGACACTATTATTTTAATTCAAGGTGGTATCATTGTGGCCACAGTAGAGACATATCTCACAAAATCACACCATGCTATTGTTAGAGGAAGGACCAGTTGCAATAATTCAGTTTGTTTAGGTAAGACCTGCTTTGCTGATTGTTACTTACCTTGGAATTTGTACCACATCTACACTTGACTTTTGTCCTTCCATCACAAGGACCACACTCACCTAGATGACATTGCATTTTACAGCAGTGCTCTTTGGTGGTTTTGCCTCCTCTGCCTTCCACAGATGACAGATCTATGAAACAGGAGAAAACCTTTTATAGCACTGGGTATTTGAAAACAATTTTTAAACAAGTTGATCTTAATATGTTACCAGAACATTGTAAACTATGTTCTTGTTGTATCACTGTCTTCTCAAGTACCTTGGGATTCAGGACAAGCAGTCAACATTGTTATGTAATAAGTTGTATATTACATACAATTTCATGGTGTAATTTCCCTTTAATGATGTAATTGTTAAAAGCTAACTATTGCAGTGACAGTTTACCATGTACCAACACATGTGAAAGTTGTAGGACTGTGAAGAGCACAAGTTAGCTTTTAAGAATTCTGTATAGAGCCATTCACCTTAAGAAATAAACTACATTTTGAGCTTAGCCACTCAATAAATAAGGAATTCTATTGAAGATTTTTTCATGAAACACTACTCAAAACTAGTTAAAATACACAATATGCAAATCCTCATGGATCTTGTCAAGAATCAAGGTCTTGCCAAAATACCTTTGGATGGACTGCAAGGAAGAACCTTCCCACACATCAATTTGCAGGTTGGCACTGGATCTAAGCAGGATTTTCTGACATCATGACCACCAAGCAAATCAAAAACAGGAGTTTTTCCACATGGACAACTTGTTAAAATTGATGGCTTCAGCAGACATTCTTTACAAACTCCAATATGACAAACATTTTGACAGTTATGGTTACCACAATCAAGGGTCCTTAAATAATACAAGACAATCATGAGACTAACAATTTACATCACCAATAAGTGAATGAGTTGCCAGTAATCAGATCCTTGCGTTTGCACAAAGTTTCTGGGATTGCCACAGAGCAAAAATTGCAAGTTGCTAGATATATGGCTAGATGTTATTTGGACATCCAAAAAAATATTTTGGAGAACTTTTTTTCTTGCCACAGTTTTATCATAAATAGGTAAGATTATGTTGATAAGAGGGAAGTGTTTATTTTTGTCACAGTTACCACGAAATATATTAAAAATTATACATATAAACTTCTCTCCTGAATAAGGTCAGTCCATTGTGAAATCACCAACACATAATGATCTTGAATATTACAAAATCAGCCACAAATCACTACAAAATAACTCATTGGAGTCTTTTCAGTTGTACTTGAGTATGCAAAGCCTGTCTTCATACTTGTTAAAATATCAAATAAACTAATAACAATGTCTGAAAATATACCTCCTCAAAAGAGAGAAGTCATTGTTAGTGCAGATGTAAATTGTTTTCACCCAGCTGTTGCTCTCTAGCAGGATAATATAAGTGATGAAAAACACAAGGAAATCCCTTGTCAAGTGAGTTTGTTTGAGAAAAATCCATAAGTTTTTGAGCTGCAACTTTTTCTCCTCTTACTCCTTGGAGTTAGGAAAGGAAAAGCAAGATCATAAGAACTCCAGCAGAAATTATGGACATATATTCAGTTGTGCATCACCCCTAAGTAACCCATTTGAAGCTCCTCATTGTTGCACAAGAAAAGGTGGATCATGTGTACTATAGGTGGCCTCGGTCGACATATTGGCTGACAGTCAACCGATATATCGGTTGACTTTGGGTCGACTATTGACTGATAGTCGGTTGATAGTCGGTCGATAGTCGGTCGATAGTTGATCGGTAGTTGACCGATATATCAACCGACTGACGGCCGATGCATCGGCTGATATGTAGCAATAAACTGCCGGTGAAGTATCAGTCAAGTATCGGTCAAGTATCAGTCAAGTATCGGCCAGGTATCGGTCAAGTATCGGTCAAGTATCAGTCAAGTATTGGTCAAGTATCGGTCAAATATCAGTCGACTATCGACCAATAGTCGGTCGACTGTCCACCAATAGTCAGTTGATAAGTACCTTGACAGTCGACCGATATAGTGGCCTGACATGTCAACCAAGGCCACCTATCAAATTTGGTTTGTTCTTATTGATCACAATGAAGAAGCTGTGAAGAAGCAATGAAGGTGTTTAATTACTTTTATGTATCACCATAGTGCTCTTTTGTATAACCAAACCAAGAAAAATTCTGAACGTAGACTTAACACATGTTAAAAAACTTAAAGGCTTTGTTGAGTTACTTCTTGGTCATTTATAGCTCATTTATTAAATTTCGAGACTATTACCCAATCAGTTTCACAATAATCCTTGTTGATGGAGAAGAGTCAATCAGTAGATTTTATTTCATATTTCAAGGTTGTTTAAACAAAAACTTATGCTTCTAAAAAAGAAACAATCTCCCTCAAAAACTGATTGTTGAGATGTTGGGAAAACCTTTCGCCATACAGTGAGTGAGTTGCAATGTTTGCCCTGAAGCAATCCCAGAAATATTTGTGCCAATACAATGATCTGCTTCCTGGCAACTCATTCATTAGCTGCACCATTGATTTTTGTAATAAAATGGGGTTAAAAACCTGAGATACAGCATGCTCATAAAACAGCAACAAAACATCATGGTTATTGTGGCTTATTACAAAAGCCTAAATCTTACAGGTTCTGAAGACAATAAATGCAAGTTACTGTAATGCATTGTCCAAAGAAGAGTCACACAATTCACTTACCTGCAACCACCTACAAGTATGAGTGATGCTTGTATAAGCATAGTATGAACAAAACTATTTAAGAAAATTACGCTGAGAATAATTCATTTTGTTATTAATACGAAAAATATTTATACATCTTTAACTTTTCAAAATTAACTTATGCAAAACAACAGCTTTCTTTCTTATTCCCTCTATAGCAGTTGGTGACAACTTGATTAAAAAGGATGTGATTATTCATTGTGGGAATAAGCTTGTATATGAAGCAAAATCGTTTGTCTTACAAGTTTATCACTTCTGATATGGATCATGTTGTTTCAACTGTTTACTGTAAGTTTTCTTCAGGTGATATGCAGCATTATGTAGTTGAAATCCAGATAATCATCAATACTATAAGTAGGAGAAGTATTTTCTCCTTTTTTTAATTTTGTTGACGAATGATCATGACAGTTAATAAAAGTTGTATTTGTGTATGCTGATATTGAGCATTCCTTGAACTAAATTTTAGCTTGGAATGAGGAAATACAACATTTGTTTAATTTTCCATGCTTTATAAACAGCAGCACAAGGCTTCATACTCCTGCTCTGTAGGCATGGCTGTGTTCAACACTCTCTTCCCTGCTGATAGTATGCAAGATTACTTTACCCTTGAATCTCTTTCTTAAGGTTTCATTTTCCCTTCTTTTCATAAGAACTATCAAGTTGTAAATGAAATGAATGATTTAATTTTCACCTTAAGCACTTGTCTTGGCAAGAGAAACATCCTGATTTTGCTTCCAGATCCTCATTGCCAGGTACACCTATTGTATAATAACAAACAAATCAAAATGCATCCCACAAAGCTGAAAAGGGTAAGGCAAGGTGAACACCTATCTAATATAGACAGCTAACAGTTTTTAACAGTCTATGGCCACCCAAGAGGTGCCTCAGAATGCAAATGCAGGAAAATAACAGCCACAAGCATTTGGAAAACAAAATGAATATCACACAACCCTATGACCCTCCACTTCTTCTTAATACTCCACTTTTTACTCCTTAACCCTTTGAGCCTACAATTTTAAGATTTGCTCAACACTAAAAGTTAGGGGAGGGACATATCACAGGTTGCTTTTAAAATTCTCAAACTTTAGCTTGTATGAGCTAACTAATGTAATTTTAAGTCTTCTTTTACTACACAGTGGTCCCATGTAATTTTTTTTCTTGGTTTACCTTATTTTGTAAATAAAAGACCTTTTTTTCAGACAGCAAGAACATTTTAGAAACTGCACTTAACTGTCACTTGTTTTTAGTTAAACTTTACAAAATTTAGTGACATAGTTCGCACTGTAACACAGTTGCGACCCAGTTCAAAGATCAGTCAGTGTGATCATACAGGTGGGGTGGTCATGAAAAAGATCTTAATACATGTGTGTATACACCTAAGAAGTTGATAAAAATATCAGTACAAGAAAATACCAACAATTCTTGAAAAAACTTTGAAAAAATAACCTTACAGGAAAAGCATGAAATTGAAATTTTAAGGAGAAACCAAACCTTTTGAAAATTGTTCTCCAATGCATTTGAAATTCAACTAGAGATTCCACCATTTTATAATCATGCTGAACAACCTGGCTGCTTACCAGTGATCTAAAAAATTTATGTCACTCTCCTCTTTTTACCTTCTCTTAGCAATCTGTTCAAGCAATTACATGTAGGAGCTTCACAAGAGGCATTCTTGACCCAAAAAATTATTCTTTTGCAGCCATTTATTGACCAAACATTGTGGTTTGACAAGTGCCAGCCAGGTTGCTGAGATGTTTCTGAATGACAGCATTCATAGTTGCATTTCAGCACATTTAACAAAACATGTTGTTACCAACACTAGGTTAATCTAGGGTACTCATCAAAATGCACAAGTTTTAAGTTTTATCCATGGTTTTAATGGTGTAGATTTATTTGGCTGAGACTGGAGCTTACATACCCTTTAAAGTAATGCAAAAGTAATAACAAAGAAGTCTTCACTACAATCCTTACCTGCTCCACAAAACACCTCCCGGTGTTGTTTTCCACAATAACAAACTTTTATGGGAGAACAAAAAAAACTGGTAATGTCAGAAGCATTGAAAGAGCAGGAATAGATAATAATTATAGTGATATCACTGTTGATAACAACAAAAACAATGATAGCAATATAGATAATAATAATCAAATTATAACCATAACTTATGCGCCAATCAATTTGAAGCTACAACTTCCCTCTCCCAGGTCATTGGACCCATAATCTTATAATGGAGTGTGGCATTTGAACTGGAAGCACTAAGTCTTTCCAGTGAAGTACACATATTTTAATGAAGATGCAAGCATCATAGAATGATGCTTGCAAGAGAAAAATCCAACAGTAGCACCAGAAGCTCTGCTAAATTTTACAACATTTGTTGATCACAGTAAGAATCATTCAATAATGGGAGGGCATTAGAATGCAATTTTGCTAGACCATGGTCCTTTTTTTCAATCTATGGACCAGTGAAAGAGGTGCAATGGTTTTTAGCTCTTAAATGAGCATGGTGACCTATACTTTTTATTGCATAATTCAAGTGTACAAATTATCCCCATTGAATTGGAGAAATTAAAAAAAAAATTCATCAAAGGGAAAAAAGGATATAGCTAAAAGTATTCACCAAGCCAATTTCTTGATGATGCAAATTAGGTTGTAGAAAATTGTGTGATTTTACCACAAATTATATACGAAATTTTCCATAACTCAAGACTTTCCATCTGTCAATTTTCTTCAATGTAACTTTAAAAACCCTTGCTTCCTGCTTAGGCAAAATGTTAGATGTGAACCAATAAAGTAAAGCAAACAATTAGTGCCAGTACAGGCATAAATGGTGTAAGTTTGGCCCGTCGTATCTCTTAAAAAAGCTTGGTGACCTACCTTTTAAAATGTCTTCTTCGACACAGACATTGGTAGGCATATACCCATTAGGAAAGTTTAAAAAAAAGTATTCTAAAACTTTTTTCTGAGGAATCCCCTTAAGCATAAATTTTGTAACTTTCCTCAATGTTACCTTTACTACTTACCTTGTTGTACAAGGATTTTACAGTCTCCACAGGGACCTACAATAAAGATTATTAAACATACCATACATTTGAGACAGGCTGCCATTATACTAACAATTCTTAAGTGTGATAAAATCACACAATTCTTAAGGCCATCAAAAAAATATCTTAAAGCACTTGACTGCCTCATCTTAGTTCACAGTGTTTCTATTCTTTAACACCACTCAAAGCTTTGCATCCTATCCTTGCTGCTCTCAGGGCTCCTATTTGGGCCAAAAATTTTGGGAACCTCTGGGGAGTGGGGTAGAATTCTTTCAACTAATGGCATTCCTTATTAATAAGACAAACATAATGTACTAAAACGGTTACCATTTTCAATACCTCTTTTTCATGTAACTTTCTAGAAATATATTTAAAAAGCACTGGACATAAAAAATATGCTGAGACTGAAACTTTCAAAATGAATGTAAAGAATACTTTCTGAAAGTTTTTCTTAAAGGCTGTGTTGAGCTGCTTTCAATGGACATTGACTCTGACTAAATCCCACCATGACCAGTTACCTTGGTGACAAATTCTTGAACACTTGTGGGTGAGACAGTTGAGAATTTTGTTGCAAACTTGGTCACACAATATGACAGTCGCCTGACCACACCTAATGCGCTTCCTGTTGTATTGTTAAAGAATTACAGGAACATTCTAAAATTATTCTGGTACCACATCAACAATCCAGGATGTCAAATTTTCATGTGGCTGCATAACAAGGCACACCTGGTTTGCAAGTAGATGTCCAATGGATAAATTAGTCTGAGCTAACTGAACCAACAAAGTGACTAGACTTCTAGGTCACTTAGCACAGAAATGTACATTGCTGGAGAGGTGTCCTTCTTACAATTGTGTGGAAAAATTATTATACAGAGATTTTAATAAAATGAATTCATTCAAGAACATAAGGATACTTTGTTTTTCCACAGGAACAGGCTTTTGTTATCATCACAGGGCAAGAAGGGCAGGGCCCAGGATGACAGAGCCTGCAATCAAATCAACAGTTACAAAGTTAGTCTAAAAGCCTGTTTCTTGAGAGTCCTACTAACATGACAGGACATCTTTTAAAATCCGAAGAATATCAGAATAATTTTTAAACAACTTTTGCTAAACTAAAATCATCAAATAGTCCTGGACTAGTAAAACAACAGCATTTCCTCTCAACTGCAAGTTAGTAAACTAGTTAATAAATAAACTTGAAACCAAAGTTGTTAATTAAAAAAATAGTGTGCTTGTTAATAGCACACATAACTCAAATTTGGAACTTTTTTGTAAAGATGTTACGCTTGCATAAAAAACACTTAAGCAAGGCTTAATGAATACAGCTTTTGAACCCTACGCTTTAAACCTTTTATCAAAAACAAAGCTGAATTTCCTGTTAAAGGCAGAGAAGACCATGTTCTTATGGTTACTGGTAAGCCAGAACATGAAAGTATGTGACTTTTCATGGCAACAGTTAGAGTTCACTGCCTTATTGATTTAATTCAGTTATCTTATGCAAACATTTGGTGGCCGACTGCATAAATGCTTAAACACCTCTGCAGATGAGAACACTCATGGCCTTTTCCCAACAGATAAAACTCATGGAATTCACTGGGCACTGCATATCTTTTATTTCACCCAGTAAAAAAAAACCACATAACTTGCAATTACAAAAAATTCCTTCTGTGTTTTGCAGCAGCCAGAGACTGAGGTTTGTTTCAACTTACAAGCAAAAGACGACTCTGTTAACAAAGATCATGGTATTACTAAGCAAATACTTTAAGCAACTATGAGTCAGAGTGATGTATGAGTGGAAACAATAGAATCTGGTTTGGCTAGACAAGATAAGAATGATTGATATTGTCTCTTCATATACCACATTTCCAGCAAAAATAGATTTTTGAGTTTCAAAAAACACACTTACTCAAATTTTGGTAATCAGTGACCCTATGTCCTCTCAGACAACTTTTGTGTCGGGTTTTGTGGCAGGGTTGCATATCAGCAAATGGAAGATTTTGATTGGTGTTAAAACAATCAGTTAAAGTAATTGTTTCAAAGGAGTCTAATATGTAATGATCATTTACCAAAGTTTAACATGGGAAACTGTTTGAAGCCAGTTTATACTGAATGGAACTGAATGAATGGCAGGTCAATGAGAGAGAGATTGTTTTCCATATTATTCTCCAGCAGGTGCTTCACTAAGGTAGCAGTAACCAGTCAACTCGCCGACGGACCAACTCGCCGACGCCAACTCGCCGACGTATAAAATTGAGTATGGTGTCGGTGAGTTGGTTGTCAATCCAATACAACTTATCAATACAACTTATTATACCAAGTTTTCTTAAAAAATCTGACCGATTGTCATGATGAGTCTTTACAGTGTTGTTGTCACACAATAACTCGTTCGCGTTTGAAGCTGTTTGAGTCATTGGTGATGTTTACTTCGCTTTATTCGCCTTGAGATCCTTATAAACTTTGTTGCAAATAAAAAGAAATGCTTTTTACTAAAGATCTCATCTAGAAAGCCAAGTTTTCGTTAAAAAATCTGAGCGATTGACATGATGAGTCTTTACGGTGTTGTTGTCGCACAATAACTCGTTCGCGTCTTAAGCTGTTATAGTCATTGGTGATGTTCACCAATGTTCACCAATGTTTAAGCTTCTATTAGATGTTCACCAATGTTCACCAGTGTTTTTTACTAAATATCGTTTAATTTTCTGTATGTTTAACTTCTAATAAATTGTATTGGATTGACAACCAACTCGCTGACGTCTCTACTCGATTTTATACGTCGGCGAGTTGGCGTCGGCGAGTTGGTCCGTTGGCGAGTTGGTCCGTCAGCAAGTTGACCGTAATTCAAGGTAGCTGCCAACTTCAAATCTTATTAAAAGCATTGCCTTAAAGGCCATGTTACATACCAGTCTTGTCATATTAGTTTGTTGCATAACTTTAACTGTGCTATATGAGCTTGTTTTCGTGTATTGGTTTTCTTTCAAGAGAGTAAAATTCTTTTTTGTCTTCATGCAGAGGTAGGATCCAATAGAACATGAATGCACCTTGAGAATTTTGAATCTCATAAGTTTTCTGATCAGTGTTTTTTTTTTTTTTTTAAGAACAAGGACTATCATTTCCATGTAACTCACTACTTAGGTTACTTTACTCAAATTTAAGCAAATGATGGGTGATTAAGAATCCAATCACAATTCCTTTGTTCAAAAATCTTTGCAATTTTCAATCTGCCCATTCCTACAAGTCCTAAGCCCTCAGTTGGTGCTGTATGTTTTATTGTCTAGTAGATAGGAATAATTGGATGCTTAACAAATCACATGCTTTAACTCTTTGATCCCAGAGAGTGACTAGCATCGAATTTCTCCTTACAATATCACCCTTGAATTACACAGTAGGATCACAAGTATAAAGGAAATGATTGCTGTATGCTTGATAGTTAAACAAATTCTCCCTAGCACCTCGGGAAATGTAAAGAGAACAGTATGGAGAATATGCATAATGACTTTCAGTCAATCAAAATCAACTCACCCTGTAAATCTAAGGTGCATTCAACTAGAAAATTTTAACCCCTCTGCTCCATATGAACACACAAGTAGGCTTTTGCTGGCAGCAATATTTCTGTTTACCAGTTTTAGATCTTTGATGGGCTATCACATATCCTTCCTGAATCTCCCAGTTGCAGAAAGCAAAGAAAAACTGACAGAAATATCATGAAAAGTGCATTCCATAGCATCTGCATCTTTTTTCACCCAAAAGCCATACACATTTGCACAGTTTAAAGAATTTTTCTGTATAGGTATATTAAAAATTTGGCCATTTATTCTTGACAATTTCCTAACATTTCTATTGTCGAATGAGGGGGTAAAGGGGTAAGTTTCTAAAGAAACTGTGGTGCTGTGTTGGTGGAAGAGTATAGCAGGTAATTTAGTGTTAACAACTGGGTTGAAAACGTAAATTAGCCACCGTAAAGGGTAAAAAAGCTGACGTTTCGAGCATTAGCCCTTCGTCAGAGCCCTTCTATTGTCGGGTTGTGACACCATTAAAATATTTTTCATACTGTGATAATTATTTTTCTTGAAAATAAACATATTTTCTTGCGAGGATACAAAATATCTTACCAACCTCATGGTTCAGTTTGCATTGATTAAAGCATAGTCAGGTTAATTTCTGCTTTGTTGGATGGTAAGAAATGACTTCCCCTTCAATTCTTAGAACCATTTTGATAACCATAGAATAAACAACTTAGACACATACACCATCTGACTGTACATTTTTGAACATCTGCAGTAAAACATTCATTGAAAACAAAATACTCACTGGTTACAGTGATGTTGGCAAAGTGAATCTCTCTGTTTTCCACATAGTTCTCCACAACCTGTAAAACACCAACTATCACAAGTCACTCTGGTTTCTCACTCCAAGAATGAAACAATAGACATGAAAACCAGTCTCTGGGTGATAAACACAATGAACTTCAATAGCTTATTCCCCAAAGCTTCCAGCTGAGTACTATTACATAATGATAAATTTTACAATATGGCATAAATGACTTTCTGTTTGATTACTTCAGCATTACACTCATGCGTGTACACCACAAAGACAATAAGCAGTTAAATTCCAAATGTGTTACTCCATTCATCATGAAAAGTGACATTCAAGTTAACTTGTCACTTTGGCTCTATCATAATGTTTTTCAGTTTTTGCTTAGCACACATTACCACACCACCCTCCTAGTGACTCCTTCAGTTCAATTCATTCTGAAAATGAAAACAATTTGGGACACCTGATGTACAAAAAAATTGAATGAAATTAATTAACTAAAATAATACTTACTGTGAGGTGTCAACCCTTCCTGACGTCTCCACTCAGGATCAATAACTTTCCCTATTCATTGACAGACATGATCCAAACTAAATGTTATCTATGCCTCAGACAAATACATGATGAAAAAATGAGCCATTAAAGGCCATTGTTATAATTCAGCAGTGTTAAAACTAAACAAAAATGATAGAAACTCCATACCACAAAAGCATTTGTAGACAGCTGGAATACCCTGAGTAATATGTTGACAGCCTGGACATCGCCAACCACCAATTTCATCACCTCAAGTTAAATTAAATAGAATAATAGAGTCAATTCTGAAGGACTTAATGTAATAGGTAACGAATGGTGTAGTACTGCAGTATTTTCAAGTGCAGTAACATGGTAGTGTTCAAAGGATAATTTAGGCAAACTGTTTCAACATTTTGTACATGGTTCAAGAAAAGACCCGAGAAAGCTAATAAAAACATAAATTGGTTCCAAAACTATGCTCACAAAAAAAAGCAAAACCAAACAAAAACTGCATGCCAAAATTTAGTTGGTGTAACACTCACATACATGGTACAGCTCAATGATAGAGGGACTTCACAAACTGGTACCATAGGCACATCTGATGTGTATGCACCTGTTGACATACTAGTTGTGATTTCGTAAGATTTCTTTTCAAAAGCCTTATTAAAAAATTTGAGTATTTAATCTTAGGGTGCTTGTTATCTGTGCATATGGCTCATCAGCTGGTGTTTACAGTATTCCCTTAAACTTGAACTTTGATAAACTTAATCAGTATTAGTTCAGTATGATGCAGAGTCAATCAATATTTTTCAACACGTTTATAGTGAAGGTTAAAGTTTAGATGGCCACAAGATCAGTGTAGGTGGTACAATGTACTTTCATAACTGATATTCCTATCATATTTAATTTTTGACATACCTTCTGGAGGTATAGCCACAGAGGATTTTGCCCATTTTCTCACACAGCCCATGTGAAACAAATGATAACAACTACAACAGTTCCACACAGCAGCACTACATCGAATCCGTTCACAGCAAACCATACACTCATATGTCTCATTCCTTAGCTGTTCTATCAAGACACTGGCTTGAGATGACTGCAGTGGATTAAGATAACTGAGTGTTCGAAGAACTTCTTCCTTTTGTCTTCTGTAATCTCTTACATTGCCTCTCTTTCCTGTTTTTATTGCAGAAGTTTCTCCCTTTTGTCCCTTCTGCCTACCATCTGGTTTATCAAGTTTCTTGGATCTGTGTCCATGTTTACTGTAGTTAAAATTAGGTTGCCATACAGAGCTTGAAGAGTCCATTTTAGTAGAAATCTTGGATTTATGAATGACTCTTTCTTGCATTGTAAGGTCATTACAGAATTCATGACTATCGCGACATAAAGGGGTAAATTCATTGTTGCCATCATGATGTCTTTGAAGTCCCCTTTTACCTTGTGAGTTCTTTCTTCTGCTTTCTTTTGCCCTTGGCTGGTCCACTAAAATTTTAGCAGTTTTCCCCCTAGCTTTTCGAGAGTCATTAGCAATGTCTTCTTTCTTTTGGCAGACTGCCTCTGTCTCCATCTTGGTAGGTTGGTAGCATGCCCCTTGTTGTGATTCCAGGACAGTGTCTTGCTCTCTTGACATTTCCCCTATCTCATCATGATCAATTTGCTTCACTGTATATCGGGCCTTGTCATCTTCACTTGATGTGAGTTTCCAGTCATTGCCATGTGGATGACAGTATCCTGACGAGCTACCAGCACTAGGATAGTACTGACCATGTGCAGATGCAAGCCTGTTATAATTATAAATTCTTCCTCTGCTTGTAGTTTTTCCTTCACCGTGGCTGCTTGCTGACTGTGGTATTCTGCCTTGTATCACTCCATTACCTCCAGTACCTACTGTTACATCATCTAAGTTCCTAGCTAAACCATCCTCTGCCATAATAAGTAAAACCCTGTTTTCCAATAAATATACACAGAGAAATATGAAAAAACAAATTAGATTAGAGCACTTGAGACCAACTTTGAAAGCATGTGGTTAGTTATTACATATACATGTCTGAATAATTGTTTTGTATCAAATCATATTTTGGTTTACCATATGTCTCCCACCATTAGCCAACTTATTGGTTGGGACCTGAAACTCAGACGGGAAACTTGGTTTGAAATAATGGGACAAGATTGGTCAGTTTCGCTAAAATGGTCAGTAACAGAAGTCAAACTTTAAAACCTGGCAAGGTTTCAAATTCAAAGGATTTCTTATTCATGATGAAAATGCTATTACCAGACTTCAAATACATACGTGTATGCTTAAAGTTCACTTGAAATTGGGTTTTCATGGTGTAACCAATTGATTTTAATTGATTTTTGATGATTATTGATAATCGATGAGAATAGAAATCACAGAAACTTTCACATTTGATTGTTCATCGATTTTCAACATCAATAGAAGATGTAAGAGGGGGATTCTAGCTCATTTTGAAAACAACCTTGATTTCAAGTCAACCTCAAAATCAAGCTTGATCTCAAAAAAAACCATTTTTGTACATTTCGAAAACAACCTTGATTTTAAGGCAACTTCATTATGAGAAGCTTCTTTGAGACATGTTAAATTATGCAGGGGCAAGTTTTAAAAAAGACTGAAAGAAGTTTCAGGAAAAAATATGTCACAGTTGTGACCTCTCACGCGAAAACATTCCTTACGGTTTGCCGTTTTGAAACGGTAGCCGTTCGTAAGCCGTTCATCAGCCGTTCGAGCGGGATGGGATGCCGTTCGAACGGCTTGAGCTATCCGTTCAAAAACAATTAGGAGCCATTCGAACGGCTGGAGCTATCCGTTCAAAAAAAATTGGGAGCCGTCGACGGCTGGAGCTATCCGTTCAAAAAAATTGGAGCCGTTCAACGGCTGGAGCTATCCGTTCCAAAAAATTGGGAGCCGTTCGAACGGCTGGAGCTATCCGTTCAAAAAAAATTGGGAGCCGTTCGAACGGCTGGAGCTATACGTTTCAAAAAAGTTGTGAGCCGTTCGAACTGGATGTTCGTGGCGAACGGCTGGCGATATGTTTTGAAACCGTAGCTTACAATTCCTTTGGAAGGGATGTTTCGAGCCGTGATCCTGTCAAAGTTAATAGTCTTCGCACTGCGATCAGTCAAGAGTACATCGGACAGACTAAAGTTAGTTTGGTAAACACTTGAAGGTTCCTAATATAGCGTGTTTCCCCTCTGCAAGGAATTAAACTCTGCTTTGTTTAGAGCATGCTTGCCAAACCAACAGTACTATCGCGTGGGAGAATAACAGTAACAACATTCAACACGAACTTTGTAAATATAAGCGTTGTTTACAAATGCCTTTTAGATTTATTCTAAGTTTTCTATCAGTTTTCAGATCTAAGCGGCGCGTGTCGCGTTTATCTTAATTACTGTCATTTCGTTCGAATGTTTTTGATCGGCCGTTCAACCGTTTACTTTGACCTTATCCGTTGAAAACTTCAGCCGTTCAGCCGGTCGAAATTTTCCTTCAGCCGTTCAGCCGTTCGACTTCAACCGTTTGAAACTTTTCTGAAGCCGTTCAGCCGTTCGACTTCAACCGTTCGAAATTTTCCTTTAGCCGTTCAACCGTTCGACTTCAACCGTTCGAAATTTTCCTTTAGCCGTTCAGCCGTTCGACTTCGACCGTTCGAAATTTTCCTTTAGCCGTTCAGCCGTTCGACTTCAACCGTTCGAAATTTTTCTGAAGCCGTTCAGCCGTTCACGGCATCCGTTTTAAACGGTTTCTCTATCCGTTTGTCATCCGTTCACATACCGTGCGTTCGACCATTCGAACGGATACCATAAGGTACGTTTTCGCGTGAGAGGTCACAGTTACTGAAGTTAACAGATTATTCACAGTGCATGCTTATTTCTGACAATCTCAGTAGATAAGGGATCAGACACAATCATTAATGTGAGATATTTCTATGCAGCTAGTGAGCTGGAAGGTGGTCAGAAGTGAACCACAGATTCAGTGTGGTCTCTGAAGGTCTTCAATATCAAAAAATCACTTATGAATAAAGGTGAGCCTTTTCTCTACTATCTGCAAGATGGACCTGTCCAAGAAGAGCTTTAGACTGTTCCTCCTGGAACTGAGTTACCTCCTGAAGTAATTCGTTGATTTGGAAAAAACTAAGAAAAATGAATCAACACCCTAACTGTTCCAGAGAATCACTTAAGATTATAATATTCACACCCTCTTCAGAACTCTGAACAACTGAGACATCATGAATATTATTCACTGGTGAAATTTTAAGTTGCCTTGAAATCAAGGTTGTTTTCAAAATGTGCAAAAACTGCTCTCTTGGAACCAGCCTTGATTTCAAGGTTGACTTGAAATCAAGGTTAAAATTCATGAGTTGACTTGGAATCAAGGTTGTGTTCAAAATGCGCCAGAATCCCCCTTTTATATCTACATGTGCTTTAATCGATTGATCGTTACCGATTGTCATCGATAGTTATCAATTTTCATCGATAGTTCAGGTTCTAGTTTGAGACAACACCGCTTGAGGGAGGTCACTGGGAATTCCAAGGAGAAAATGGTGTCTCTTGAAACAAACGGTTTTCGAAGGAAACCATTAACCAAGAGTCGTATTCCCTAGCGGAGAGAAAGTGCAATAGTTCTCGAAAAGAATTTTAAGGAATTCTGTTTCACACTAAATGCCAGACCATTCCTGGCAATCTTCACCTTTACTAATTACTAATGAGCCGAACACTATAATTAATAGTTTCCTACCACATTGACCAATACAAAATAAAATTCGTTACCTCTCGTGTCCTTCCTATCACAGTTAATCATAGGGTAGATGTCTCCCTTGCGAATCACATGGTTTCAATTTAACTGATCGCCCCTGTCTTAATGAATGGCAACCAAAAGTTCGACGAAGTTTCAGCGTTTCCGCCACCCCCTAGTCTCTCTAATAGTTTTATCAAAGTCTCGTCGACGGTTTCACCATCACACGAAATCTCTAGTCAACAGGAAGTCAGCAGAAGTCACACTCTGTGATAGGTGCTTCATATTATTTGAATTATATATAGGGTGGCTACATTTAACGTGCCATACATAAAGCTGAACCTGATACCACCATGATGGAAAAGACGCAGCAATTACGTCCATAAGCTATCTATAGTGAAGAAAAATTAACTCAAGCCTAAGTTTTTCTTCTAACCATGGAAGAACTTCAACAGCTCGAACAATTATCTCTTGTATCTAAGATTTGTACTGAGTTGGACAATCACTTGGGTATTAATGACAAAGATCTTGGTGAGGCTATTGTATCTTCTACTTTATAACTCTGTATACGTTATTAATTTCCTTTTACGATTTCAAGTAACGTTAAAAAAAATTAAAACTATAATAAACCAGAGGATGTGGGCGAGTTTACGTGGTTTAGATGCATAGATTTGGACATGCCGAGCTTAATTAGGACGAAGTATACGCCATTATGATTGGTTTATACCTATGTTCAATTACAGCTGAAGGACGTGGAAGATACCAGTTGTACGTTAACAACCTTTTTGCTTCTTTTTTTTTTTATGGAACAAATACCTGACGTGTTGCCATGCATCTGCTCAATAATTGATCACAAAATAATTCAAAATGTGAACAACACTGACACATACAGCTGCACAAATTGTTACTTTTTTGTCCACGTCATGTTTTTATGTGATCTGTGATCTGTTACAGAATTGTTATAGAAATATGAAGATATGGAAAATGGTTGCCCCAGTCAGGAAAGTCAAGGAAAAATATATATTCTTCTAAACTCAGGGAAAAGTTAGCTAAAATTTGTATGTAGAGTGCAGCTCAAAGAGAAGGGGAACAAATTATGGGCATTAACTCTAGCTTCTCTCATGCTCTCGAAACTTTGTAAGTGCATCCATAACTTGAAATATACACAACTAAAAGCGTGAACTAATTATTTTATAACATAGCATGCAGACACAAGTTGTGCATGACAAAATAGTTTATTACAATTGTGTTGGGTGTACCAGGTAATCCTTTTCGACCCCAAAACTATGATTAAACAACAAGGCAAAACAAACCAGAAACATTTTGAGACCAAATATTTTTGCAAAGCATGGAAATTTTTCTGTGCAGAAGTTACAAACAAACTAATTTCTTTCATGTATGAGACCACATGACAGATCTAGCATACTTGAATCCTTGTTTATGAGAATCTCCATTGATCATGTTGAGTTTCTCTCAGTGTTTGTTGAGAAGTTACAGTCAAACTCTTTTCACCATGGCCTTCTCCCTGTGTCACATGCTAAAAAAAACTTAAATTTTTGTTATAGAAGAATAAATTGAATTAGTGAACTGTTTCAAATAGAGTTGAAGGAATTATTTTCTCAGTTCTTCCTGTGATGCTACAGAAGTAACATTAGGTTTAAAAAAAATTTTCTTTGCAGAAAGAAAATTGTAAGGTATGACTGGTGCATAATGAAAAATACTAACAAAGGTCTTTGAAGAGAGAGCATTTTGTAGTTTGAATCAGCAAAAAGTAACATGGATGGTTTTAAGTGGCAATTGGATGCCATTATCAGGATTCATTTATGAGATTGTTAATTCAGCTTGTCAGGGAAATTTAACACTTTTCAGGGTTAAATCAGGGAATTTTAAAATGGTATTTTTATGGCAACCATGAGAAATCTATTTTTTGTTTATAGACTTAAATATGGTGTTTCATGGTAAAATTGTAATGTTCGGTATCCATGTAAACTGAAATGAACCAGATATTTCTACTGGCCAGGGGACCTTTAAAAAGGTGGAGAAATCTAACAGATTCTTGATACTGAAAGTAACATTAATCCAAGATAATGTTGTTTAGTTTTGTCACAGTGCTAGCTTCACAGGCAAAACACATGAATGACATTCACATGGTTTCACCTGACAAAGAAGATTTTACTGTAAATAGACAGAACCATATCAGTGTTTCACCATTTCTTCCAATGCACTAAAAATCTCTTGGACCTTAGGGTATCATATGTATCGTAGGAGGAATTTGCTACAAAATAAAGATCTAGGCTTGGTAATATGAATGTATGCCAAACATTACTCAGCCTGTGGTGAAAAGATTTTCTCATATTACCACAATTCATTGTTGTCACTGTAGCTGATCCTGTTGCAAGACTGACCATTCAGTGGTATGCTTTCCAAACTTTTTGAGTAAATGTGCATCTAAAGATTCCATTTTTATCAGTTATAGATGCAATGTATTTTTTCAACCTGTTTTTCTTTCTTTTTGATCACTTAGCTGAGTTTATAATCATGCTGGGAGAAAGGAACTCCACTGTTGACAAGTTTCAGGCAGCTCTAGCAGAAAATGGTGCTGAATTTCCAGTAAGTGACAGTGCACTGTGACAGGAATGTTTGACATGAATTGAAACCTGTCAAGGATGTCATAATTAGCAAGGGTTATGGCTTTAAAAGTGCCTTGACGTGCCAAACAATTAGTCTAGCAAATGCAAACAAACACATTACTGCACATTACTTCAAATAGTATTTAATGGGTTGGTAAGTTGCTTTTATGATGTAAGCTTAGACTGTAATATTTAGTCAGTAATGCGCAAAACAATTCAAAGCTTCAACATCCCTCTCTCCCTGGGCAACCCAGGGGCACTTGACTGTCATCCATGCCTTGGGAGTGGGGAGTCTGAACCTTTTCTAGGTGGGGTTAGGCTGTGATTCAAACCAAAAAAGGCATCCTTCTTGCATAATACACATGTTTAAATGGAGGAGTTTAAGAGTCTGGGCCCAGTTGTTCAAAGACCAATTAGTGCTAACCCAGGGTTAAATTTTAATCCAGGTTTCTACATTTCTCTATTCAAAAGCTGTTTTGGAATAATTTTACCCATTGTTTTTAGAACATTCAATCATCAAATTGTAGTCAAAAAGAAATAAACTGAATTTGTTCTTCAAGCTTTCAGATCTGAAATCAAATTTCACACTAACCACAGATTATCTTAACCCAGCTTAAACAACTCGGACCTGCTTTTTTGAGCGAATGGAGTAGAAAAACAATTTCACATTTAAGAATGATGCAGCCCAAGAGCAGCACCAAAAGCTAATACAAGACTTTGCAAAATTCTTAAGCATTTGTTGATCACACAAAGTATCATTCATTATAGAATGGGACATTTGAACAAAATTTTGGCCCAAGCTTCAAAAGTTCAAGTTCCCAGGGGTTTGCTAAGGATTTTGAAGCTTTAAATTGATTAAAGCAGAAATGAGTAGTCTCTTCACTTAATGACCAAGAAGTCCCTTGATTGATGGAACTGGCTCACAACCCTGAACTATACATGCACATGTAGCCATAACTTTCAATTAGTTTGTAATAGTAGAACTGGGGCCTTTTCAAGACTTTTTTTCTATGAAAAAACTTAAGATGGTGGAGCATATAAATAGAGTAGTAAATAAATGAATAAATCAATGGAAATGGTGGATGTCTCTGAATCAAAATCAAAGATGGAAGACTGCGCCTTAGACTTAGGGAATCTTGTTTTTGCCATTCTTTCACAATCAACAGTCATTTTTGTACATTTAGTTTGTTTTATAAGAGTTCTTTTTAGAAGAACATAATTATTGTAATTTTGCATGTGGGCAGGTACCTCTTCCCTTGGGGCTAGAAATTCTTGTAAAACACCACAGTTTTTATGATAAAAAAATTTCATCAAGTTAGTTTGACTCATTTTAACTTGAATTCCATTCTTACCCATAACATACTAACATATCTTTTAATGCATGAAGCCCTATGAATGAGAGAGTGCTAATAATAATTTTGTGCTTGATGCCGTGGACAGAAGAAAAGTCACTGGTATGCTATTTCTTGATATATCCAAGGCGTTCGACTCTACAAACCACAAGATACTCCTGGGTTAAGGCTTGAACACATAGGACTATCAGTGAGAAGTCTGAGGTGGTTCAAATCATATCTCTCAAACAGACAGCAATGCATGTATATAAATGGTGAAGTAACAGAGACTCACCATGTCAACCTTGGCATGCCTCAAGGGAGTATCTTAGGTCTACTTCTATTCAGCATGCACATTAACAGCCTATCAACTACTGTAATTAGGAGTGAATTGATATTGTATGCAGACAATGCTGTTCTTATGGTTGCTGCATCAACACCCCAAGAACTTAATGATGCCCTTCAATATGATTTTAACCTAATCTCCAGCTGGTATATCAACAACAAATTAACACTTAATGTAAAGAAGACTTATTTGATGCTGGCAGAAAGCAAAACTATGTTGTCTCAATTTGATAACTTTCTATTTTTTTCTGAATTGATGTAGGGTAAGTAAATGGTGTTTCATCTATCAAGTATATAGGGGTAGTGCTGAATGAGAAATGGAAATGAAAGACACATATTAATAGCCTCTTACCAAAATTAGGGCATCGCCTTTCAGTGTTCAATCAATTCTATCACATGTTAGATAAGAGAAGTCTCACTGCGTATTTCAGTGGCCCTGTCCTACCACATCTCTATTATGCATATATTGTTTGGGGAGATCAGTCAGGTCTTACAACACAGATGAAACAGTTGCAACCTTTTCAAAATCGCTTTGCAAAAAAGATTGTAAAGGTAAAAGTGAGTCAGCTGAGGCCCTGACATTGTTGCAGTGGGCCCCACTGCATGCAAGGCATTTAGCTCATTAATATTGTCTTGTACAAGATGTATTGAAGGGTTAGATCCCTGAACATCTTCATGTGTTCAGTTCTACAATGAGCCAAGATCACAGTTATAATATCCAAAATGGTGTCATGCCCAAAGTCAGCTGGCTAAGAACTGAATGGGGCAGAAAAAAAAATTATAAAGCAATTAACTGTAATAATAATTGGACCTTACTGCCAAGTGAGCTCAAGAGACTGATGCTAAAAATGATTTTCAAACACAAACTGAAAGTTTTTCTATTGAACTATGTTAACCTCTAATTAGTATTTTTAATCTTAGTTCTTAGTTTTAAACTTTAGCTTGAAGTCCTAGTCTTTTTTTTCATATAATTTATTTGTAAAAATTTTATAAGGACCCTCCTGAAAACCACCTTTGGGTGATTGGAGGCCTCCTCTTAAAATATTATTTTATTATTTTATTATTTAATGTGCCCCACACAAAATTCTTAATCATGGTTTAATATTTCACAATGCATATAACTGACCAGATGGAGGATTGATACTAATAACTATCAGATATTGGAAATCATTTTGTGAATGTTTACTGTTCTAGGACTCATTTGCATCAAACTTGTTGAGACTGATTCAAAAAATGAAACCTAAGTTGGAAACATATGATGATAAACCAGGTTTGAAGTTACATGTGTATTGATTCTTTAGTGTATTCCTAAAGCCTATGATGTTACAGTACTTCTTGAGGTTCAAGCTCTTCCAGTGGGGCTTACAAATTCTAGCTACAGAATCAAGCCTTGTTGCTAACAATGTAGATATTAATTTATTCACTGGAAGGCTATAAGTTACTCACAGTAAGCTTGTTTATGTGTACACTGTGAGCAATACAATGTTATACATGGATATACAGGTCCTAGTTGCTCTCCAAGTTTTCCATCCTTTTTCTTCGGTGTGATCAAGACCCTTGCATGTGTCCTTCATTAAGAAATGTTTTAAAGCACTACTTGAAGTGTAACCATCATAAACTATATGGTTCATAGTTTGGCCTAAAAAGAAGCTGTAGATAAAATAGCAATGCTTTGTTTGGCATGAAAGCAAAAAATTGGCCCTAGAAGGTCTACCATGTCTTAAATACAATATTTTTAAGAAATATGTGTCAGTGCACTCTATACCTGGTTTAGAGTACACTCTATAGCTATGTGTTATTGGCAATTCTACAGATATGTACTTGTAGAAAGCTAATTGAAATTAGCAAATTTACTTGTTCTATGATCCCCAGATATGTCTGTTAATGAAAACAAAGTAACAGCTGGTGCAGTGGAGATAAAAAGAAAGGCATTCCCAGGACTTTGCATTCCAGATCAAATGACTGAAAATGAAAGAAAAGTAAGTGAAATGTGCTAGCAAACAGACAGTATTGAATACTCTATTAACTTAAGGTGATTCCTCAGGAAAAAATTTTCCATTCCAGCGAAACTGTTTATTTAAAATATTTTTCCATTCTTTTGTTTATTCCTGCCTTGTTTATTCTAATGTAATTTGTCACTTACTATTGTATATATAATGTTCACTATCTTGTTATAATTAATTTTGCATTTGATAATGGTGACATGTCGTCGCCAAAACGTCATGTTTTTATGTCGCTACTCTTTATTCTAATATATATAATGTTCCTGACAAATGTTTGTTTCAAAAAATACAATTAGGAGATAGGTTGCTGTGTTTGTGTAGGATATATGATGGGCCAACCTTACCCTATCTATGCCTTTACTGATGCTAAACACACATGTCATTTTATCAGCTCACAGTGCATTTTGCTGCAGTTGGAAGTAAGGGTTTTTAAAATAATGCTTGAAAAAAAAATTGATTGGTAGAAAGTCTGGAGCGTATGAAACAATTTAATGTGTAGTTTGTGGGAAAATCTCACAAATTTAAACAACATTGACTCAAAGCATTCCTTGAGTAGTTCCTTTCATAGTCATAATTTGCATCCTCAAGTAAGGAGCTTCTTGCACCCTTCTAGCTTCATCTTTTATTTCCCTTCTAAGAATTTTGTTGTAATTTCTACAATTTAAAGGGGATAATTTGTAGACCAAAATTATGCACAAAAGTAGATAAGTCACCGTGCTCATTCAAGAGCTACTTCTTTACCTGGTCCATTTACCAGAAAACAATACCATGTTCTAGGAATGCATGTGGCTCATTTGCCAGATTATGTAATTTTTATGCGCATTATAGGATGTGCAGTGCAATACTAAAGAATTACTTTAAGTGTTTATTTTGTGCATTTTTGACTGTTTAAAATTTTCTTTTTTTCATTATCCTTGTGTGGTTAGGGCTTTGAGGATGATGAACAAGTGGCATCATCAGCTTTAGGGGAGGTAGGTATAATTTGTAAATGACTTAATTTAAAAGCCTACCTTTTATCTGCTGTAAAATCCAATTACTCACTTAAGTACATATACTTAAATACTATGACTGATTGTAATGTGGTAAATATAAAGAGAGTTACCAGCAATAGCTGTACATTTGATTTATTACTTGCTCTGGTTTTGAAATGGTAAATAGCCAACGGCACTTGTTGCTATGACCAATTTCAAATCCAACAGATGCTAATGGAATAATTATTCTAAAAAACTCTTCACTTCTTGTTACTGTGGTGGAAATTATGGTAAATGACTTCAAATTAGTTTTACTTAAAAATGTTTGGTAATTGTGAAGAAGAGCTCCCCAAAAAACCTGTCGGCCAACTGTCGGTCAACTGTCGGCCGACAGTCGCCTTCCAATGCGATTCTTAGATTGTCTGGTGTGTTGTAAATTACGCAAGTGATATATCCTATACGCATCTGATAACAACATTTTGGAAGAAATGTTTCTTTACATACTTTCAACTTTGCCGTCGATTGATAAGTAGGTGAAGTCTGTCGAGTCATACATCACCATTACGGATTGTTGTCACGTTAACTGTTCGTTTTTAACACAATTTTTCTTTTTCCTTAACCTGTCGGTAACCTGTTGGTTAGCTGTCGGTAGACTGTTGGTAATCTGTTGGCCGACAGTCGGCCGACAGGTTTTTTGGGGAGCTCTTCTTCACAATTACCGATTTTTAAAATGACTGAAGGTTGAAGTGACTTCTGACCTCCAAAACCGTAACAACAGTAACACTACCAATGATTAAAACAGTAATGATAATGATAATAACTTTTTTTTTTAGGAATAAAGACAAAAATCTCTACATGGCATGACAATTTAAAACTGTACAAAAGACAAATTAATCTGAAATAAATGAAAGTGATGAATAAACAAGGAGTCAACTGATACATGAAAATAAGAAATACACGATTAATTTTCAGTAGCTTTGAAAAGAAGCATCTTTAACCTTTTCTTACAAACAGGATAGGGACAGACTCAATTTAATGTCTGTTGTAAGACATTCTATTGGCTGTGGGAAGCAGCTGAAAAGGCCTGTCTCTTTAAGTTTTCAAGCAGGTCTTATTTATTTAAAGTGTCTTTGCAATTGCTTCCAGTTCATCAGTTAGAGGGAAAGTTATGCACAGTTAATGAACATATTTTGCTGTGTCAGCTAAGTCTCATAAAAAGTGATTTTTGGTATTTGAAAAAGATTGATGAAGCTTTAGTGTGGAAATGCATATTTGTAAGATGACTGTTGGTATTGTCATGAAATACTAAATAAGTGTCTGACATAATTTTACCTCCTACGTGACATGTACATTTATGAGTTATTTACACTTTCAGTTAGAAGCTCTGATGTCTAAGGCTAAACAATCAACCTCACAAACTGACAGGTGAATTACAGTCTACAAACAGACTATAATTTATCTTATCTTGTTAAGGGTAGTTAATTAGTGATTACACCCTTGTGATGAACTTAGTTTGTTTTATTTGACAAGGGAGAGTGCATTCCTAAAAGATAGAATGTTGGACTTATAACCAACAAATGATATTTTTAGACCAAATTTCTGATTAAACAATGTCAATTTGTTGTTTGGTATTCAAAGCCAGAAAATTTTTTTCCCAAGAGCATCTTTGTTCATGAATGAGTAATCCTTTATGGTCAACAATGATGTTGTGAGAAGTTGTGGCAAGTGCGTGTGTGAATAGCTACTCCATCACATGTATGTCCTTACTTTATTTTCTTCTACTGATACATCATCGACTCAACATGAAACAAGAGCTAAATGTCCATGGATTGATTCTGTTGAATTCAGTAGCCATTACAATAAGCAGTGTGTTTCTATGTTTTGATAAAATACATGTATTGATAACCAGTAGATCACGAAGTTGATAGCAAATGTCATCTTAAACTTTTTGCATTCAATGAAGGAAGAACGCTTCCTAATCTCCTGGGCTACCTGTGATCACGTAGGTGTCCTGTGCACGCAAGCAAAAGCTGACCCGTGTTTTATCGTTCGATCAGCCGGCCGTTCATCTTTTCAGCGCCATTTTGAATAACGTCACAATTTCGTACTGCGACGACTGCCTCCTCAAAAACCATACGATATAACTAGCCTTTAAAACCTTTTCATACACAGAGTAAATACAGGTTTCACAATACGCCATAACCCTTTATTTGACAACATACCATAGGCATATTCATCTATCCCAATAACCAAAAAACAATATTTCCCCTTTGAAATGCCGAACGCACTTCCCTAATCTCCAATTACTACTAGTTTTACATATAAATACAGTGCAGTGCACTGAGTGTGTATTTTGCCATGACTAGTAACTGTAGCATATCAAATTGTAGTAAAAAAAAGGGAAAAAAACAAAGTAGAAGCAGAAGTAGAAGCAGAAGTAGAAGCAGAAGTAGAAGCAGAGAACAACCATCAAGGAGAGATGAAAAGTTAGAATTAATTTGTTTTTCTCTTTTTGTTTGTAGTGATCAGTTTCCTTGATGATCTTATTTATTCTAATCCTGTGGTTTCAAGTGTATAGTACATACTTTCAACTTCATCCAAGATGTCAGATTCTTTTGTCTTAAGATTCAGTTGTGTAGTTTATGGACATCATTCAGAGAACTTCACGCTCAGCCTTTTTTTAAATTACATATTAAGTAATTATGTGGTTCCATCATAAGAAAGGTACACTGTACTTGTACTGTTTTTTTTCCTTTTTTCCAGGGTATATGCTGATTAAATAATATGAAAATAATTTTTTATTTGTTGGTATGTTGTCATAGAAGAAGGCCAAGGTCACAGTCTCTAAGCCCAAGACGTGACAGAAACAGACATAGGGACAGAGATCATGAAGAAGGAAGGAATAGGTATTGAAAGCAATGGGAACAATGACCTTCTACTGAACTAAATAGTGGAATAGGATGACCCACAGTTGATTATTGTACATGAGTGAGAGTGTCAGCCATTTTCTTTAAACTCACTGGATCTGTTGTATTAAAATTTGCCAAATTCTGGCATTAATTGAGTATTTTATCAGGAGTTTGAAATATGACAACTGTAGTAAGTAAGTACGTAAGTAGAAACTGTATTTAAACATGGTGTTTCCATTTAAACACAATTTCTCAAAGGACACAAATTGCTAACTACACTTCCCAAGAAAAGGCTAACCACTAGTTATAAAATCTATAAACCAGTTCTACAAGGATGCAGTATATATATAAGATAGTAATAGATAATCTTGCTTTGGAAAGTGTGGTTTTTCAATTTTATTTTGAAATCATTAAGAGAGATGGATTGTGTTATCTCATTAGGCAGGTTATTCCATAACACAGCCCCCTATTCCATAAACTTTGTTTACAATTATTGGTGAAAGGCAGTGGAATGGATGGCTTGCATTCACCTGGTAGCATTTTTCAGATTATATGTCAAGGCTTCATTACACAAACAAAAGCAAGAACCCTAGTAATCTGGAGTCTTGTTATGTATGGTGTTAGATGTCATAATTGCTTTGCTTAGGGCTCTTTGATGATAAAGTTCATTCCAATTTTAATTACTTGAAATCTCTTTAATATTATTGTTACAATTAGAGAAGGTTATGATATGCACCACACATTTCTTTGTCTTTTGTTATTTCTGAGAAATCCTTCTATTAGTCTTAATACTTGTACATGTAGTACAGATCCCTGAAAATATCATTAATAGAAAGATAATCAGCCTTGACCAAGTGGAAACTGACCATTGTTTTACTCAGCAGGAGAAGGAGAAGTAGATCTAGAAGTAAAGGAAGGAATTACCCAAGAAACAGACATGGCAGTAGCCATGTGGAAAAAGCCCCACCTGCAATTCCAGTTGTGAACCAGGTATGCCTACAGTTAATATGTGGAAATCCTCATTTAGCCTGTGTGAGGAATGTAATAATAATTAGGTATCTTTTGCTGTTTTCAGATTTACAGTGGAAAAGTTACCACTGTTATGCAGTTTGGTTGCTTCGTTCAGCTGGAAGGATTACGAGGACGACATGAAGGCTTAGTGCATGTGTCACAGGTAACTTTTTGGATAGTGAAGTTGTTGCTTTGATTCATAAAACCAGTTGCACTTGAATTGGTTTATATTATGGTTACTTACTTTGTCAACTTTTTCCAAAGCTGCGGCGTGAAGGTCGAGTGGCTAATGTGAGTGATGTGGTGCATAGAGGTCAAAAGGTTATGGTAAAAGTTCTCTCCATGGCTGGTAGCAAGATAAGTCTGAGTATGAAGGTAAACAGTTTGTGCTTAAAGCCTAGTTTGATTTTAAAAAAAATTATTTTATTCTTAATTTTTGATACTATTGAGTACTCCCTTTAGGATGTGGATCAAGAGTCAGGAGAAGATCTGAATCCCACCAAGTCTAGACAAAATATTGGAGGTGAGGCCAGTGACATGGCCAGGAACCCAGATAGGTACAACTTGGTTATCATACTACATAATTATGTATTGACTTGAAGTAGATATTACATAAACAAGCAGTTCAGAGAAATTTTTGTCATCAAATAATTGGTAAATCTTTGTTAATATTTTGCATTTCAAATAAAGGTGGATCATTTGGATGTATTCAAAAAATAATATAGTTGATGGTAAACAGCAAATGAACATGTGCATATTTATTGCTTGTTAGAAACTTTCAAAGTAATTTTATCAAAAGGCATATTATCTTTTCACACCTAAACACTAAAGTAGAACACCAATAATTATTGGTCAGTTGCTACTCATGATATGCAAAGATGCCTCTAATCATTTGTGGTATATTTTTCTGGAAAATTTCCCATGCATAATTTTCTCTAATACTTTTAAATATAATATTTAAATATTTAAGAGAAATTTGCTTCATGTAGATGCACCAATTTGAAGAAAAGTCAGTATTTTTAAGGACCAACAAGACATATCATTTGATTGATTGATTGAAAAATCTCCTCGCATCAGATTTTAAAGGAATTTTTTCATACTGGGTATGTCCCAAAAAATATCACATCTGTGCCAGTCTTGAATAACCTGTGTCTAGAGAGATTTTAAGCATTTTTTCCATGGATACAAGACAATTTTTATAGTTGTTGTGTAATATGGTTAGCATTCCCCTATTGTTGTGTATCAGATAGATTCCAAGTTGCCGTGCGTCTGTTCAGTAATAGATCACAGATGACACCAAAATGTGGTAAGAACAAAAAAGTGGCACACGAGGTACAGCCAAGTGTGTCACTGATGTTCTTACCACATTTTGACGTCCTCTGTGATCTATTACTGAACAGATGCACGGCAACTTGGAATCTATTTGTTTTATATAATAAAAATTAAAATATACGGAAAAAAAGTTTTAATGATGACATCATCTATACATCTGTCCTCCAATAGATCATAAGTGAGAACCAATCAGAATGCATGCATAACTGATCCTATTATATAAATACATATAGTTTATATTTGGTCATTTGAACTGTACTGATTGAAAGTTATTTTCATAGGCCATCTGGCATCCCTGTAGTCCCAGTCTATGAAGAAGATGAACCAAACTCTAGGCGAAAAGTTCAGAGGATAACATCGCCAGAGAAATGGGAAATAAAGCAGGCAAATATCATATACAAAATGTTGCAAAAGTTGGTAGAATAAGGGAGATGGTAGATTTAGACCTTGTTCCTCAAATAGAGCAAGATGTTACATGTCCTCTCACAAGCATGGGACAAAGAAAAAAACTAATCAAAGTTTCCCACATGGAATCAACCCCTGACCTTTGGACTATGCGCTCTCATACTGAACCACTGAGGTACAGGGAAGTCGATGGTGAGGCTTTTAGTGAGTTCATTGCAGTGCTATCAACATTACAATGTAAAGTGCACATGTCTCTTGTGAACTCAGTAATGGCTTAGCTCACCTTAAAGTTCATTGTAGGTCAGGGCCCAGTTGTTTAAAGGCCAATTAGGGCAATCATAAGTTTAAATTTTATGTCCAGGTTCCTTTATTTCTTTCCTCAAAAGCCTTTTTGGGATAATAGTTCTCTCCTTTTTAGAGCACCCAATTATGAAATTTAAGACAAAAGAATTATTGTGAAATTTCTTTCAGATATGAAATCAGAATTCACACTAACCCTGGGTCATTGTAATCCAGCCTTGAACAACCTGGCCCAGGGCATCTGAAGCTCTAGGGGTCCAGTCTTTATGGGGATTAGGTGTTTTTTTGCATTTCTCATTATTGTTCAGGAATTAAAAAACACTTGGTTTATTTTTATTATTTTCGGTGCATGCATCCTAATATTGTTATGTAAAATTTAAGTGGGTGGCATCAGCCTTAAACCAGTGCAGGGCTGATTTTGTTTTAATTATAGCTTATCTCAGCTGGTGTATTGGACAAAGCAGACTACCCAGATTTCGATGAGGAGACTGGTATCCTTCCCAAGGATGATGATTCAGGCTAGTGTTGTTGACTTGCCCCAAGGCTTGCACTGCCAGTAATGTTTAGGGTTTCCTTGGAAAAAACTAAGAAAAAAGGAATAGAGAACAAGGAATGTTGAGCCAAGTTGTATTTATTATTAGGTAGTCGGTCACAAATGTAGTCAGCCACCTGGGCCACATTTGTTTCTACATGTTAAAAGAATTAAAATTCTACTCCTTAGTAAATAGATTTACCGTGAGAGAAATGTGAAAATCATTCCCTCCTAATCTTTGTGTTACTATGAAATGATTCAACATTCATTTTGAAATTATTTACTGTAATTGCTCAGAGAAGGGGACATGGGTTAAGTGTTTATCAGCCTCATGTGATAACATTGCTACACTCCTTATCAAATCTTCCATTTTTCCGTTTACGGTTACATCTCATTATAATGACTCTCTTTCTAACAGATGAAGACATTGAGATTGAAATCGTAGACGAGGAACCAGCTTTTCTGAGAGGTCAAACAAAATTGAGTGTATCTATGAGCCCTGTGAAAATTGTGAAGGTATAATAACTAATCCAAAGGCCAGGTTTATTTTCTCACATTTCAGAATTTCTATTGCATCCCCGCCTACTTGGTATGTACAGTATTAAAGCATGTACACGACCGCTAAGATTTCAGTCTTTATCTTTACCAGTCTGTTTCGTTTTACTGAAGCTGTTATGAAATTTCTAGCAAACTGCTTAATGGCTGATAGCTTTGATTGGCGATGGTTTAAAGCTTGCAAGTTGAAACAGGATTTGTGTTTTATATTAACTTACCAATTTACATGCTCTTCAACAGAATCCCGACGGTTCCCTTCAAAGAGCAGCCATGACTCAAAGTGCTCTGGCGAAGGAGAGAAGAGAACTTAAACAAGCCCAAAGAGAAGCACAGGCAGACAGTATACCCAAAGATCTTGGAAAACTGTGGATTGATCCTATACCCGATGGTGAGTGTTAGCTACCTCTACCCTTGACTGTTCCGCTTGCCCCTTACTGGAGCTCTGAAAGGCACTTCTGGCCAGAGTGTAATGCATGTATGCTACTAATATCCCAATGCTGTGGGTAGTATTCCACGAATTGTGTTCTGGTAACGTAAAGTATATTATATATGCCCTCCTTTTGGACTGTTCGATGACAAGACTATCCTATGTCATGGTATCTACCAAGAGATTTAGATTGCAAACGCTAAATTATAACTTGGAGTAGAAATAGAAATAATCAGAATACTCAATATGCATGAAACCATTGTTAATAGTCTTGTTTGTTGCTGTTCAGTGGATGGTGATAAGCCAATCTTCGCTCAAGATATGCGAGGAGTTGGATTGACAAATGAAGATATGCCTGAATGGAAACGAGCTACATTTGGTGGGAATAAAGCTTCATACGGAAAGAAAACAAATTTGAGTATACTGGAACAGAGGCAAGGATTACCAATCTACAAGCTTCGAGAAGAGTTGCTAAAGGTTTGTTTTGGCATAAAGCATTTGTTTGTTAAAGCATTTGCATCTAAGCTCTGGCAACAGTAATTAACCGTTCTGGCGGCATCATACAGGTTGGTTATACTGACATGGATATTCTTTTTTCTGCCTTGGCCGGTTAACCTTTTGGGAGGGGAAGGGGAATTTAAGGGAATACTCAGTTTAGTGTTTAAAGATTCACCTATGAAGTATTTTGCGGTTTGTTGGTAAAAACCGAAACAGCAGTGCTCGTAATAGGCAGATTCAACCTGCTCGAACAAAGTAGCTCTTTAAGTTCTTTTTCTGTTTTAATAGGCCGTGATCGAAAACCATGTTTTGATCGTCATTGGTGAAACTGGGAGTGGGAAAACTACACAAATAACACAATATCTGGCAGAGGAAGGCCTTCTAAGCGCCGGAAAACTTGCTTGTACTCAGCCAAGGCGAGTGGCAGCTATGTCAGTCGCCAAACGAGTGTCAGAAGAGTACGGCTGTCGACTTGGACAGGAAGTAGGGTACACCATACGATTTGAAGACTGTACGAGTTCGGAGACAAAGATCAAATATATGACGGACGGTATGCTGCTTCGGGAGTGTCTTCTCGACCCGGATTTAAATCAATACGCCATCGTGATCCTCGATGAAGCACACGAGCGCGGGATAAATACCGATGTACTCTTCGGATTGATGAAGAAAACTGTAGAAAAGCGATCCGATTTGAAGTTGATTGTCACCTCGGCCACGCTGGATGCAGTCAAATTTTCAACGTATTTCTTTGAGGCTCCCATTTTCACGATCCCAGGACGGACTTTTCCTGTGGAGATTTTGTATACAAAAGAAGCAGAGACAGATTACCTGGATGCATCCCTTATCACGGTCATGCAGATCCATTTGACTGAGCCGCCAGGAGATATTCTTGTGTTTTTGACAGGTTGGTATTGGACAGATTCTTGTTTTCTTTTCAGTTTTAAGGGCAATTTTCAATCGAATGTCGAAAGTAAATCGGTACTTCATTGGTATGCCTATGATGAGTGACTAGTCCAAATAAACAAGCGCGACGTCCCCTAAAACAAATAGATTAAAAAACGTAGACGTATCGCCATCGGGTAACTCAGTGAATTTTCTTGTTCTTATGGCAATCTTCATGTTTTAACTTTGAGTTCTCACTGTCTTGTTCTTTTTAGCCTTTTGATTGATTGACCGTTGCGTTACTTTGTTTTGGTTTTAAGAACTGCTGTCTGTTTCCATTAGCATTGTTTCCATTATACTCGGTTACCTTTGTATAGGCGCATTTCGTTCCTTTTTCCGATTAGAACCTTCCACTCACGAAAAAAGGACTCCAGAGAAAAGGAAAATTGCATGAACGCCTTCCTGTTATGAGCTCTCGAAAATTTGTCGTGGTGGCTGAAACCTACTCCCTGATTGTATCAGATTTACCTACTGATCTACGTGCCCCGATTAACAGTAGCAGAGATATTTACTGTTTACTATTGAAGAGTTTTGTTCTAGGTCACTTGGCGGTGAGTTTTCCATTGACTTTATTAGCTGATTTTCTCCTTCATTGTTCAAATTTGCTAACTAAAAGAAACTTCATGTCAGGGCACAGCCAACTAGATTTCCTTCAGCGTAAGTTCAGAGGAAGACTATCAATGACCCCGAACCGGTTTTTATTTTCTGTCTTCCAGGTCAAGAAGAAATTGACACAGCATGTGAGATTTTGTACGAGCGTATGAAAAGCTTAGGACCGGATGTTCCTGAGTTGATTATTCTGCCAGTTTATAGTGCTTTGCCATCGGAGATGCAAACCAGAATATTTGACCCCGCCCCACCTGGCAGCAGAAAGGTAAAAAACCAGCCACAATAACATCTTAAAGTCTGTAGTTGACACCCTTAATAAATACGTGCTTTTGACCAAGCGTAAATTAAATGTTTTGTTAGTTTATATATGTGCAAAACAAATCCACTTTTACTTTTAAAAGACAATAAAAAATAACGTGCACAAGATCTATATTCTGGATTGATTTGGTTGTTATTTTATCACAGGTGGTAATTGCCACTAACATTGCTGAAACATCGTTAACAATTGACGGTATCTACTATGTGGTTGATCCGGGATTTGTAAAGCAGAAAGTCTACAACTCCAAGTTAGGAATTGACGCTTTGGTCGTGACTCCCATCTCGCAGGTTCATATCTTGCTTGCTGTTGTTTTTTCACGTCCAGTTGTTGTTTTTTCTTGTTCGGCTGTTTTTTTTTAGAGCTGTTTCGCATTTCGCTTTCAGAGGTACTAGTTTTTCGTATCAAGAGACTTTGAAATTACATGGTATCCCAAGCATTTCAAACTGTACACTCAATATTAAGTATATTGAAACAACTATTCTAGGCTCAAGCTAAGCAGCGCTCTGGCCGCGCGGGAAGAACGGGTCCTGGTAAATGCTATCGACTGTACACGGAGCGTGCGTACAGAGATGAGATGCTGCCGACCGCTGTACCTGAAATCCAGAGAACTAACTTGGCAAGCACTATACTGTCACTCAAGGCTATGGGAGTAAATGATTTGCTCTCCTTTGATTTTATGGATCCACCGCCCATGGAGGTATTGTATTGTGTTCCCCTTCTCACTGTGAGAGTCCCGTCAGATCAATTCTCAATTGGAAGGCAAAGGGTTTGCTTCTTTAGGCTAAATGATCTAGAAACTCAAGCCGCTCTCTCGACCGATTCTGAAGCAAAATTAAGACAATAGTGGCCCGGTCATTTGCGTTTTTTCAGCGCGTGAAGCTGTTTCTTCAACTTGAAATTCTCATTGAATAGTTAGAGTAATAATATTTTCTTTCCGAAAAGTCATTATAATTTTGGTTTTGGTTTTGGTTTTGGTTTTGGGGCACGTATCTGAAATGTTCTCGATTGAAATCTGATGGCTTAGTGGGTCTTTGAGTTTGAACCACATAGGCAACGTGGATCTGTAAAAGTGTTTGAATAATGTTGCAACTCATTATTCTCTGAAGAGTTTATAGGCAAAAATAAATTTGGAAGGAAGTATTGCGTCGAATGTTTAAACGACGAAGGACTTTTTCTGTGTTTACAAGGCGGTTTAGGAGAATTCGAAACATTTGCGAAGGCCTTAGGCGCAGTAGAGGGTTTACTTATTTTTCCGAGAATAACTCTAACCCTTCGAGTGTTTAGACGAGGCTCTGTAAAAACGGAAAGAAGTCCTCTTTTGCTTCTATAGAGATATTTCAAAAATACGCGAGGATCTAAAAGGCCACAACCGTGCTTTTCTTTCCTTTATTTAATGTAGTCTTTTGTAAACATTCCTATCGACCAATAAGAGCGACCCGAATTCTCAGGTATTCATAAATTAAGTTCTAGTTCTAACGTTGTTTGACCTCGAAATCCGAGCTTCGAAGCGTCAACGGTTGGGTTTTGCTGTAGAATAAGAACAAGCAAAGGCAGGAGTAAAATGAATAAAGAGGGGGTAAGTTTCTAAAGAGACTGTGGTGCTGCGTCGGTGGGAGAGTACAACAGTTAATTTGGTATTATCAACTGAGTCGATAACATAAATTGGCCACCGTTGAGAGTTTGAAAGCTGACGTTTCAAACGTTAGCCGTTCGCCAGAGCGAATGACGAACGGCTTACGCTCGAAACGTCAGCTTTGAAACTCTTAACGGTGACCAATTTTCGTCATCAACTCAGTTGATAAAATCAAAGCTCAGGTAAAGTGTTTGCTGTTTTAAGTTTGTGCTCATGTATAGTTAGGCTCAATGACCAGCTGGTGTTCGGGAAATGATCTCGTGGTCCACGCCGAGAACGAAGGCCGTGGGTCGAGAGAGAGGTAGCGGAAATTGAGCTAAATGTCTGACGAAACCAGTCTTTATAGCAGTCGATTTAATAAAAATTTTATCGTCAGACCATGATTTCAGCTATGGAACAGTTACACTCACTAAGCGCCTTGGACGATGAGGGCCTGTTAACTAGACTTGGAAGACGAATGGCGGAGTTTCCTCTGGAGCCACAATTGTCGAAGATGTTAATTCAGTCGGTACATCTAGGTTGCAGTGACGAGGTGCTCACCATTGTTTCCATGCTTTCTGTACAAAACGTCTTTTACAGGCCTAAGGTGAGTAATGCAACCCCCTCCTCCACCCTTGAGTAGCCTCATCGAGAAAGATCGTGTCGGTTACAAAACTAAGAAAAGAAGTATCGTGTTTCAAAGTTTACAACGCGATTTAAACTCAGTTGTGATTCTGACGTGCTGTGTTCTTTTTGAGTATTTTTTATGTATTAAAAAGAAATAGCTATCTTAGCGTATCTAGTGGTATGTTGCTCGTACAGATCAGATCGCCGCAATTGGGTATGTATCTCACACTAATCAGATCGCCACATGAGGGTTTGTATCTCGCACCAATAAGATCGCCACTTTAGGTTATGTATCTCGCACACAATTGAGTTTTCGCAGTCTCCTTCGCATCCGTTGTTTGGTCTGAGAGGGCGCGTTCAGAAAGTACAGTAAGCGTAGCACCAGTGCAGTTGATTTCTGCTTAGAACTGTTCAGACAATAGTGACAACAGATCACAAAATATCAGTGTCTGATTTTACAACATATCAATTGGAAGGGTATCTTTTTGTTGGAAACTTTGAAAGTTAAACGCTCGTTTTCTTTACAAAATTGAAACAAACAGTTACTCAAAGTGTTTCATCTTACCCACCCATTCAAAAAAACTAATTTGCGTGCATGGCATGCTAATATTTAATTCTTTATAGGACAAGCAGGCACTTGCTGATCAAAAGAAAGCTAAATTTCACCAAGCTGAAGGAGACCACCTTACATTACTCGCTGTTTACAACTCTTGGAAGAACAACAAGTTCTCGAATCCATGGTGCTTTGAGAACTTTGTGCAGGCCAGGTCACTGAGACGCGCTCAAGACATCAGAAAACAAATGCTTGGTATTATGGACAGGTACTGGTTCGTATCTAAAATGATTCATGGGAGAACCTTACATGTACGAAAAGAATCTGCCAATTTTTTTTCCTCTGCAGTGTAGAAAAAAACTGCAAAAATGTCTTGTAATAAATAAATGAATCGGTTGTTCAACCATCATGCAATCCCAGCATTAGAACCACCTAGCTCTCGAAATCTTATGCTTAAACCCGATCTCGTTTCCAGTCTTAGTAGTCAGTTGAATATCGAGAGACGGAGCAGCACAGGCGTTATCGTACTGGCCTCGGTTGTTCAAGGGTTGGATAACGTTATCCAAGGGATAAATCGTTACTCCGTGGATAGCGCAGTGCGGTTTGTAATCACTTATCCGATTTATCCGTTATCCGCCCTTTATACTATTACTAAGGTAAGCTCTAGTGGTGTGGGTCTAATCATATCAATTGCATTTTTAGACACAAGCTTGACGTGGTGTCTTGTGGCAAGACGACATCCCGGGCGCAAAAAGCCATCACGAGCGGTTTCTTCCGTAACGCCGCCAGAAAAGATCCACAGGAAGGCTACCGCACTGTGACGGATAACCAGGTGGTGTACATCCATCCATCCAGTGCGCTGTTCAACCGGCAGCCGGAGTGGGTGGTGTATCATGAGCTCGTTTTAACAACTAAGGAGTACATGAGAGAGGTCACTACTGTAGATCCAAAATGGCTGGTCGAGTTTGCGCCCGCGTTCTTTAAGATGGGCGATCCCACCAAACTGAGCAAGCGTAAAAGACAGGAGAGATTGGAGCCGTTGTACAACAGGTGAGGACTGGCATTTGAAATCACTAAAGTAACTTCACGTTGTTTTTGAATATACGTGGGCTATCAGCCGGTTAGCAATGAAAGCTCATTTATTAGTCAAATCAGACTACCGGTATTTGGAGCATAGCTTCCAAATGAATGTTTGTTGTTGTTGTTATGCAACTTTACATCGTTGGGAAAGAAATTAAGATTTTTTTTTAACAAAGTAGGAGTGTGTTTGTTATTAACGTTGTGTTTCGTTCCGTGGTTTTTTTTTACAGATACGAAGAACCAAATGCTTGGCGTATTTCTCGCGCCTTCAGAAGAAGGTGAAGATGATTTTCACCATGGCAACCACTATGACCGCTTTTCAATTGATCACCAAGCTGAGCTCAATGAACTGCTTGTAGAGAATTATAATCAGTAGCAATTACGGTGTATTTCAGATGGAACAAAAGTGTTGTGTGAATAAATTAATGATCTTGGCATGCTTATCATATTTTATGGAGATGCTAATTTCAGTGTGTCTTATGTGTAAATTTTAACTGTCGTACCAGTCAGCCGAAAAGTAATATTCTGTATTTACCAATAAAAAGTGATTGCTTCTTCGATATTTGTTGCCGTATAAGACTATAGTTAGACGTTTCCGTGATTGCTTACTCCACTTCCTAAACGTATACGCGCATTTTTAAGGAATAGGAATAAAAGCTATTGATCTGTTAAGTGCGTTATCGATATGTGGACTACCATCGGGGTGTTACATAAGGAAGGACAACTTGGAGTGGAAAACATTTCCACTTTCGAACAGTGCTATAAAAGATCAGTCAAAGTATGCTTCGAAGCGTTTTCATTGAGTAAACTATTTCAAAAATTTAAGGACACAATCTGTACTCTGAAATCGTCTGCATGGATTACTTGAGGCAAGCAGTGTCTCTATGACGGTCGATCGGGTGATCGATCAACTGAGAAAATACTCGATGCTTTTTCTGCCTACAAATGAAATGTATCCATGTTCGGTAGCAGAAAAACGAGCCAATGTCTGGGTCGGGGGGAGAAACGGTTGCAAATTCAGGGGATGTCTTCGATTCCCACCGGCTTTTAAAAAAAATTGAACTTTGACGATTGCTAATATTTCAGTGGACCATCGATAAAACTGAGAGAGCACAGAGCGCCCTATTGTTAGTCCGGATAGCAAAAGCAAAAACAATGTTCTGTGAAGAAGAAAAACAACTATACAGCTTGAGTAAAGTTGCTAGTAGATTGTGGAAAAGAAAAACAACTATACAGCTTGAGTAAAGTTGCTAGTAGATTGTGGAAAAGAAAAACAACTATACTGCTTGAGTAAAGTTGTTAGTAGATTCAGAGGATGGACTGGATGACCAGTGATTTGGGACTGGACACCTCTCACAAATGTTCTTAGTTTTCTTTGATGGCAAACTTTGGCCCGTTGAGAATTCAACGCGTTGTAAGGAATAGTCTTGTCATCACTGTCATTCCTCCGTCTATAACAGTGATGACAAAGCAAGCCCAAAACGGCAGAGAACATCAGAACCGTAACAGACACAGAGAATAAGTAAGTCCTATTAATCTTAGTTGTGGAATGTTCATATTTTGGAATACTTAGCGTTGTAAATCGACCTTATTTTTTTTCCCAGAACTATTCCTTACAACGCGTTCAAATTCTCAACGATTCCTTGCGTACAGAGAAGCATACGGCATACGGCATCATACAGCCCGTGGCGCTTTCATGAATTTATCTTTTGCTTTTTTTCCAAGACGTGAGCTTGGGACACCTGTGGCGTGACTCCTGTTATTCGCAAGCGATTTTAATTCTTCTGCCTTAAAATTAAAGTTAGCCCTGACCAGGATATCGTCTAATGACTTGCCCTTTCGATATTTCAATTTCGGTTGCGTCTTAAATATTACTCTTAAGCATGCCACTTCTCTGTCACTGTGTTCTTAAGGTTAGGTAAAGCCCGAATGATATAGTGCTACAAAAGGCTCCATTTATTTATGTAGGATATTTTCTTTGTTTTTCAGTGACCTTTCTCTCTCAGCAAAATGAACTTCAGAGATATATTTTTCAAAAATTTCATCTTGGTATCTTTTCTTCAAGCATAATTTAAAAATCTGTACATTTTTATTTAATGTAAAGCGTCAGAAAGTTGTTCTCAGGAAGCGTAGCGTTCTCCTTTTACGTATCCTCTCTTTACGCTTGGAGGATGATGCGAGTAAAAATTCGTGTGTTGGAAGGTATCCCTCTCCTTGAAAAGCGTTTGTACGTCAAGGATCGGTACCCTGTTAATTTCTCGCCCTTGCACGCCCGAGAATGTAATTTCTGAGGCAGATTCATTTCAAGGAGTCGGTAAGGTGAGACAATTGCAAATGAAATAATGATTGACATTGACATGGAGAATACACACCCAAGATTGTTGGCTCATTATTGCAAACAAAATTATACTGAAACTCCGATGCCGAATGATTACATTGAGAATCGCGAAGAGATGCTGAAGTCACTAATGGAGACTTTTCAGTTTACAAGAGATCAAGCAAAAAATAATTGTTGGCAATCGTCAATGAAAGACAGAGAGCACCGAGATAGCACGCCTTGTTTTTGATGGTTTCATGCTATATAAGAACGACGTTGAAGGAAGACTAGATGAGCTTTTAGATGAGTGTATGAATGAAATCAAGAAAGCCATCGAGGTCGATATCAGAATAGTTGAAAAACCAATTTACTGTATTGCAAATGCTGTTCTTAATGGATCTGAAGATTTTCAAGGTGATGATGACTTTGATAATCATCGACTAAAAATGCACACACTCCAGTTCCAATAATGATGCTGTTAATTAGGCATTTTAAGAGTCAGCATACAGAAAAAAAAGTGATGATAACCAATTGTTAAAATTGGGAAGTGGTAACAGATGGGATGCTGATGATAAGACCATTTATGACCTAAGAAGAGCACAATATGATGACAAAGACATCACAGATAAGAAAATAGATATGGATAACTTATTACCACAAATATTGAAAAGCACATTATTAATACGAGATTATGACAGCAGAGTGACAGCGGTGATGATAGCGATAAGGATGTGGTTAATAAGAAATATGTTGACAGTAAAATATTTGCTTTGGATGTAACAAAAGGTCCTGATATGAATGGCAGTAAGGACATTAATGAAGCAGACCCAACAAGTGCAACAGATGGAAGCAATAAAAGGTATTTTGATACAAAAACAAGCAATTCTTTGAAAAGCGATGGTACAAGAGTAATGACTGGTAATTTGAATATGAATAGCAGAAGTATAATCAATGTCCAACGGGCGCAATGACATGAAAGTGCACATGCTGCAAATGTTAATTTTGTCAATACAACTATCAGTGAGAACAACGTAATAACACAACTCCCAATTATTTTGAAAAATAAGTCAGGTGTGGCCTATGCATAGGACTTGGTCCTACATGTTACAGTTTATGGCATCTCACGGTGTCAATGATATTCCATTGAGCGTGCGGGATAAAAAATATGAAATGACTGGTTGTACTTTAATTTCATCTCACCTGTTAAAATGACCAAAGAGTTGAAAATAAAAGATGCAGTTAAAGATGATAATCCTATTACTAAAACAGTGTTTGATGAGAAGACAGAATCTGTTTTCTATTACTGCTATAACCTTGGACATGATAATGAGACTGTTGTTTTATTTCTAACAATTTCAAGCAGTAATACATTTGTATCCAGTAATTCACACTTTAATGTTGCATCAGAAACATTAGTTATTCAAGTTAGTGGTATTCATGAAATGCATAATAAAGATGGTTATAAGGGGAGACCAGATGATTTCGTATAAATAATTATTGGATCATCAAAAGAGCCTTTTCATAATTTCATAGACATTGAAAAAACAGATCAAAAATGGATCGATATAAATATATTTAATTATCCCCCCGCCACACCTCACTCGCACGACACCACCAACAAGAGAGACGGTGAATCTGTTTGGGCATCTTTAATGAGGAAACAAGGAGCCCCTGAGGGCTTGAAGAAGGCCTCCAAGCAAAGTCAAAGAGGCCGAAACAAGATTTGCTGTAAAGGGGAGAGAGGTGCGAGGAGAGAGGACGAGGTGCTAGAAGGTGAAACAGAAACCTAAAGTAAAGGAGTATATTAAAATAGCCCCGGTAGGCCTAGTTACAAAAGTTGGATATGCTTGCAGGTAATGTTCGAGAGCACAAGGCGGTCTACCAAAGGCAAAGATAAATACAATAAAAAAGCGTCCGATCTCCAATCTCCTTGAGGCTTGATGAGTTCAGCTAGGATTCCAAGCTGAAAGGCGAATGTAGCACCGCCGTGATGCAGACTATGCCCTGAGTAGTCTCAAGGGTCCAAAGAGATGAGGGAAGCCAGATGTATAATACTGTCGTTAAGGCTCTTGGAAGTGATGCAGGCAAGTTGGTTCGAGGTGGAAATAAAAGAGAAGAGAGGATTAGTGTCGGTACAGGAGCGGTCCGTAGTAAGGAGTGGAAAGCGAATGTGGAGCAAAGTAGGGATCCAGGAATGCGTGGGACGGGAACAATAAGGGTGGTATCACCGGCTTGGTGAGTTTTCTTCTTGTAATGGTAATAACGGCGCCGGAACTGTTGAATGTGATGCTGATTCTGGAAAGTGCTTTCCAGGCGGAGAAGGTAATAAGTGAAGGAGGAACCAAATTTGCTGTGCGAAAGAATGTGAAGAAGCCAACTAGGGCGTCGAATTGGAGCAGGATGGATGGTATGAGTGGAGCTTTGCGATGAGTGATGTGGACCATCGACTTTTCGAAACGTTTCACAGTCAGTTTGACGTGAATGTCGTCGAAAGCCTTCGTGTAAAAATGTCAAAAAACGTTTAGCTGTCGTAAGGCACTTAGATAATTGTTAATGGTATGATGAGATTTAACGGAAAAGCTGACCAAGTTGGCAAAGGTGGCGATTGTAGCCGGAACGGCGGGAAATGGTGGAAGACAGTAGAAGTGGCAGAACTTGAGGTAGGTGTTCCAAATGGATTGGTAGTTCCGCTTGGTGGCGGCTAGCAATGCGAAGATTTGAATTTGTCGGAAATGATACTGTAAATCACACTTGTGGAAACCTGAAAGGCGACACAAGGAGGGAATTGCCACTGGCAGTCGAAGTGGAACAAATGAAAAGAGCATGAATATTCTGTTAAGGTGGGGTAATGAAGGAATTCTCCCTCATAGAAGATGTGGGCGACGTGTCTCCCAACGGCTCAGAGAATCAGCGAACGTGTTCTGGTGATCTGGGATGTGGAGGGCGCGTAGCTCTGAGTCACAAAAGGAAGCGTAGAACCACATTTCACGTAAGCAGGACTGAAGGATGAATGGAAGGCGAGAACGACCAGTGTTAATGGCGAGTTCAGTGGTCCAATTGTCACTTCTTACTAAAATTCGCTGTCCTTGCAATTCCCGAGACCACAATTTGAGGCTGACAGTTACAGTCGGCATTTCGAGCGAAGCGATTGTGAGAGAGGCTACATCAATGAACGGCGGAAAGGTGGAGTGGAAGAAACGACCATCGAAAAAGCCACCAATACCAGCAAGGCTTGCGTTAGTGAAAAAACGAGAAATTTCATCAATCCAAGGGGATGAACGCAATAAGGAGACACCGTTGTATGCCAAGAGGAAATGTTGCCACCAGCGCAGATCGGCAAGAAGTTCTGGGTTGGGTGAAAAGTGATGAGGTTTGTCGGGAATTTGACGAAGTTGGTGTAGGAGGTGGTGCATGAAGACTCTTCCCAAGCTAATGCAATGACCTCGCATATTCAACGTAATTTGTCAGGCGCAACCTCAAGAGTCATGGTTACAGTGTCGTAAACTAGACCGAAGATAGACATTCTTGTGGAAGGAGGACAATCCTTGACCGGGGATGATTCCAGACCCAGGCTGGTGAAGAGGTCTTCAAGATCTTGACGATCACCAGCACCGCTGAGGTCGTCGATGCAGTTTACGCACTCGTGGTGATAAGCGGAGCAAAAAATGTACAAAATGGTGTTTGTGGTGCGCTGGCAAGCGAGAGTGGCTGACCGGAAACCGAAGGGGAGGACAGTGTCGGACGACGAAGTGGAGGAGGAGTGCTGTGCGACAGTAGAGACGGGAGAGGTAATTGGTGGGTTTTGGGGATGGGTGAGATGACTAGTCAGTCTGAACTGGGCGGCGGCACGGACGGTGGTGAACAGATCGAGGAGGGTGGTGGACGAGTTGGGCAATTGGCAATGGTGTGATCAGCAACTTTTCAATAGGCGCAGATGTGTTCTGCTCCCGGCTGGTGCGGTTCCATTGGCGGCAATAATTTCGTGGCTGGTTGTTGAGGCCAGGTGCGGCGTAAGCGTGTGTGTGTGTCGTTCGCGGGGGGTTGAGTGTTGGTTACTAAGTCGCTGAGACTCGGTGATTTTGAATCGCTCTATCTTGCTGAAATCGGCTCTCCAGTCAGCAAGACTGGCTTTAATACGATCTAGAATGGCGGCATGAGAGGAAAGGACGGTGTTCCAGCGTTAGTTGAACGCAAGTCGCATTAAAAACATCAGATGTTACGTCATCAATGCTTGTTTGTCGGGTGTTTCGGAATTTGCGATGTCCAGGAAGCCATAACGAATTCAGCAGTCGAGAGATCCTTAAATTTTTGTCCAATGTCCAGCGAAGGAGTTGATGCGGGTTTGGAATTGGCACGGGATGAAAAAGAACAGGCCTTGGCTTTAGCATTCCGTTCCAGCAATTGAATTTCTTGATTGTCGTGAGGAGCGGTTGATATTGGCGATCCACGTAGTGGCATGTCTTCTTATCGCAGCGCAGAGGTTTTGGATGGGGCTCTAAGAGGCGGGCGCTCAACGGCTGGAAGATCGTAAAGAAAGCATCTTGGCAAGGATGGAGGCTTCTTCGGGCGTTTTCCAGCAGCAGAAGCCATAACAAACCGATTGAAAAAACGGAGACGCGTACCAAAGGAATAACTACGACATCAGAAGAATAAGTCATTCAAGTTGGTGGTATTTATAAAATGCATTGTAAAGATGGTTATAAAGGAGGACCAAATGCTTTCGTATTAATAATTAATGGATCATCAAAGGAGCTTTTCATAATTTCATAGACATTGAAAAGACAGATTTAAAATGAATGGATATAAATATATTTCATGTTGTTAATCTAGTGAAAGGAGACATGATTCATTTAAGATTAACACAAATTGCTAGCGGTCAGCATGGTTCAAGTTTATTAGATGGTGGAACTTTCAGTGATTTTTTTATCCGAAAATTACTAAAATTATGTTTTAAGATAGTATAGACGTATATTATATATTATGTGGGTATTTTTGCTGGTCACAGGGTTCAAAAGGTAACGAAGGTGATAAAGGAGATTTTGGGTCTGTACCTAACAATGAGTTGATATTAAAAATATACTGTAAATTGATAGATTTTAAAAAGAAGATCGAATTATGTAGATTTACTTTTACTAACGATGAAAAGACACTCATTGAATTAAGGTCCTTTATGAAAGGAGTGTCATTTGATAGAGAGTTATCCGGACCAATTAAAAACCGTAGATAATATAATCCCAGACATGCGCCCATTAGTTGATGCTTTCGAGCAACAGTACAGGAAGAAGTTTACTTGTGCTTAATTATTGTATCGTGGTCGTTACTAATTAGTTTCAATATATTGTTCCAAAAGTTGTGATAGTATTCAAGGGTTTTCTTTGATTTGGTTATTTCTATGCAATCCGTATTTATTTGTGTATCATTTAAGATCTGTTTCACTACGTAATTGATATTGATCATGCATTTTCTATCACCACTGATCTGTGGTAATGCATTGTTTATCTTTTCAAAGATTGCTATTATCTTATTTTATAATTCGTGGATATATATATATGTCACACTTTTTGGTTAAGTTGAAGATTAACTTATCAAGATAGTATTTTCTGTATCATGTTAATTTTCTTACTTTTTCATGTTTATTGTCATGGAAGCTACATGATTCTTGTAGTTGTTAATAACCATCAGTTTGTCCACAATTGATGCAAACAATCACAAGGTCTTTATTCTCTAGGCCTTCATCATCACAACATTTTACAGCTATAACTGATCGTTCCTTTATTTGTTTATAACAGAAGGGACATATTACATCCTACAATTTATGATGAATTAGTTTATTACAATATATAATAATAATATTACATGAGATATTTTTAATACGTAGCTTTCTTAATTCTATTATTTTTTTAAGTTCTTGTTTTTCTTCTTCCATATTATATTATTGAAATGTCATGTTGTCTTGATCATCAAAATAAAAGGAGTCATCGTCTAGTTCATTATCATCTATAAACCTACTTTCATAACTACTTTCTGAATAATCATAACCATTACAATTCCCCAAAGTTCATTCTGTACATTTGTAATCGGATATTGTAATCAAACAGTTAGCTGTAATCGGACAGTTGAAGCAGTCAATTATACTAAGTTCACTCAGCTAAATCCGCCAATCACAGAACTGATCACAACAACCATAGCAACAACCACTTACCCTGAAAAAAAAAACTAGGAAATTTCCAAATTTTTTACTTTACACATTGTCCCTACAGGAGATGCTTGTCCTAAGTGTTTTTTTTTTTCAGAAATTCTAATGGTTATGATCATCATGAGTTAGTCCAGTTCTGTCTGTAATCATACTCGTGATCAACAAAATGGACTCCTGGTTCGCGGTCGTCAGATTTTGTTAATCACTCGTATGATTACAGGCCAAATTGGACTCCACTCGGTCCTATTACCATTATCAATCACTGTCTGAACATATTTCTTCTGAACCATGTATAGTAATATATTATATTAAAAAAAATTATCGGCGCATTTCTCTGAATCCAACTGTCTCTAATTTTCTCGAAATTCCGTCTCTTTCAATACACTATAACCACATTATAAGCGCATTTCTCAGAATTAAGCTGTCTTTAGTTTTCTTGGAATTCTTTCAATATGAGCGCATTTTGCTTCAATATATTATGATGACGTGACATGGAAACAACACATATTTCCCAGTAGAATGGTAATTGTGCGGTTGGCATGCTATAAATTTACTTTTATTATATTATAACCATTTTGTTATGACGTGGCATGGAAACATCGAACATCTTTTATCAATGTACTTAAACCAAATTATGAGCGCGTGTTGTTTTGGCGTGATATGGTCACCTCAGACAGAAAATGTACTATGAGGTGTTTGGCACTCAGTTTTTATGAAACTGCACTCCCACCCCTAACTACTTGACTACTAAAGCAGATCAGCTTTTTTGCATATTATGTTTGATTTGATTATTTTAGATTACAGTAAATATATGAAAATCGTACATGTGAACTGGGGATAAAGCAATGAATATGGTAGCGATCTTCGCAGTAATAAACACTCCTTAAGCAGTGGTGAAAATAAACTGTGAGTGCAGAAATAAACAAACTACCTGACTTCGTTCAACACGTTAAAATGGTATAACTACCGAAAACAGTTAAATTGCAGAAAATTCCAAATCTAGCTACATTGCATTAAGTATTTAAAATGGTTAAACTAGCTAAAACAGGTGAACTGGACAAAGTGCGCAAACTAGCATAATTGTTCAACTGGTTGAAATGGTGAGCTAATTTGTGCATTCCGTCCAGGTGAACCATTGATGACTATCTTAACCAAATGAACCAATTCGGCTAAATTGTGCAGTTTGTCCAGTTTAACTATTTCAGCTAATTTGATTATGTTAACTAGTCAATCCAATTTGAGCTGTTTTAGTATTTAATTCAGTGCAACTGGTTTAGTTAGTGTGAGCATTTTAACCAGTTGAAGTAATTCTGGTAGTTTGCACATTTTGTGCAATTTATCCGTTTTGGCTAGTTTGATCATTTCACCTAGTTAAGCTAATTTAGTCTGTTTGTGCACTTGTGCAATTTAACTGTTTTAGCTAGTTTGAACTTTCTAACAAATTGAATTCATTCAGCTAGTTTGTGCGTTTTGGGCAGTTTTAAGGTTTAAGCTAGTTTAACTATTATCACCAGTTTAGCCCATTCAAGTTTTTTCGTTTGGGTTTTAACTTTATAGTGAGTTTGACCATTTTAACCGCGTGAGTCAATTCAGCAAGAGTTTCGCAGTGTGTTTAGTTTGCCCTTTTAATATCCTCCCACTTCTATCTGTTAAGACCATGTTGCTCTTGTTTAGGCAGAAATTTGCTGTCTAAAAGAAAAACGGAGGTTACTGTCTCATGTCATCATGAGTTAGGGGAATTAATATCTCCTGTATTCTCAGTTCATAAGAAACATGGTAATGTGAGACTCATGATTTAAAAAAGTTAAATACTTTTGTTAAAAACTCACATTTCAAAATAGTCTTTTTATACAAAGATTGATGATTCTTCCAATTTTGGATTATTGGGTTACTGTTTTCCGTGGATGTGGTATAGGCAATGAAGAAGGTCTGGAATGCCTACAAAGATGAGGTGGTGGAGTAATGCTGAATAATGCCCATTTGTCCACCGAACAAATGGTCATAGGTCTCGTTTGGGTCACTCTTAAAAAAAAGAAGAACCACATTGTTAAACTGGTTGAAAAGCATCTCAAGGGAATGGCCCTAAGTTATTTTTTTTTGCCAAACATTTTCAAATAAAAAGACGTAATACTCATTATTATGACATTAGAAACAAGAACAAACTAGTTACTGATAAGGTTAAAGTAGAATCGACTAAAAGATCGTTCTTTTATAAAGGGGCAGATATTTTTAATGATTGTGTATCAATCTAGTTCCAATCTTTTTTCTCTTTTTATTTGTATATTTTAAGATTCCTTAGATAGTTTTTTAAATTTTTGCTTACTTTATCATTTATCTTATTAATAACTCATTTTTCCATTTTACGCAGGACCCATATTGATAGCAATCTTTGTAACTGAAACAGTCATCCTACATAGACATGTTTTATTATTGTTATTATTATTAGTATTATTATTATTATTATTTATTCAGCTAGTTTGTGTACTTTGTGTAATCTAACCGTTGCCGCTAATTTCAGCATTTTTATCACTTGGAACAATTTGGCTACTTTGTGCATTTCGTGCAATTTAACAGTTGTAACTAGTTTGAGCAATTAAACCCATTGAATTAATTCAGCTAGTTTGTGCAGTTTGAAATTTAATCGTCGTAGCTAGTTTGACCATTTTAACCCGTTGAAGCAATTCACTTAGTTTGTGCGTTTTCTACAGTTTAACCTTTCTAGCTTGATTAAGCATTTTAACCAGTTGAACCAATTAACCTATTTTGTGTATTTTGTTCAGGTAGTTTAAGCATCTTAAGCAGTTAAACTGCGCAAAAAGCACAAGCTTTTTGCGCAGTTTAACCATTTCAGCTTAGCTGAGCATTTTAACCCCCTGGACCAATTTCGCCTAGTTTGTGCAATGTGTGCAGTTTAACCGTTGTAGCCAGTTTAACCATGTAACCAGTTTAAGCAATCCGTTTAGTTTGTCCATTTGTTTAGTTTAACCCTTTAAGGAAGTTTAAGCATTTTGAGCAGTTCAATTAATTTAGCCAGTTTGCGCATTTTTAACAGTTTAACCGTTTAAGCTAGTTGCAATATTTTCACCCCTTCTGCAAATTCACCTAGTTTGTAATTTTTGTGGAGTTTCACCGATTAAGCTGGTTTAGTTTGAAATATGTTTCTCGTTTTGTCACAAGCGTCCTCACGCGGAATCGAACCTCATACCTTCGGATTTCCGCGCTCCGATGCTTTATCACTGAGTCACAGGGGCTCTACTGTGAGCGAGGTCTATCACAAAGTTCATATGACACGCGTCCTGCTTACTGTTTGGATCAGCACGTTTTGAGTTCAGTATGAACTTCTTGGCTCAGTGGTAGAAAAATATCTTTCTGTATTTCTTTACCGAGCTCAAAACTTACTATCTCTCTTATTCTATTGATTAATTGAGCTAGTTTCTGCATTTTATCACTGTGTGAGTGATTTTGAGCGTTTTAACCAGTTGAAACAACTTGAACCAGTTGAGATAATTTTCACCGGTTGAAAAAATTTACCTAGTTTGCGCATTTTGTGCAGTTTAACCGTTGAAGGTGGTTTGTGCATTTTTTGCAGTTTAGCCGTTGGAGCTGGTTGTGCATTTTGTGCAGGATTACCATTCTAGGTAGTTCAAGCATCTTAACCAGTCAAATTGGTTCACCAAGCTTGGGGTTTTTCTTGAACTTGTTATTTTATAATTTGGCTATATAACCAGTTGAACCAAATGACAAGTATGACTACCATAACTAATTGAGCCGATTAAGCTAGATTTTTTTCATTTCTGCAATTAAATCGATTGAGATAGTTTTGCTCTTTTCCTAGTTGAGCCTTATCAGCTACTTCTACGATTTGCACTATTTCAGCGAGCTGAGGTAGTTGGTGTATTTGAACCGATTAAGCTAGTTATGTGCTTTGTCCGGTTGAGCCGTTGCAGCTAGCTTCATTTTGTCATATAAGGTAGTTTGACCATTTTCATCATCATTATCATCTTTATTTGCCTTTTTTTAAAAATACAAAAATTTATTTACAGTGTTAACAGCTAGAAGACGAGAAGACACAGGAAGTCACCGGGCTTATGGGAGAGCCACCTCACTTAAAAAATAAATCAAGTTAACAAAAAAGTGCTGCGAATATGCGGCTTGGCCAATTCAGTGATTATTTAAGTAAAAACTCTTACATTTTCGTCCTAAAGCTAAGAAGATTTGACGAACGAGTGACTGAAGCAGGAAGAGAGTTCCAAATTCTAGGACCTTAGTAGAGAATTGTAAATTGCTCGAGATTTGTACGGCACAAATACGTTCGATAATTACTGGCTATTCTGGTACAATAGTTGTGAATTCGCCTATTCGTTACAAAAACATTGAGAATCAATTGGGGCAGTAAGTTATTTTTTAATAAAACATAGATTTGGCGATTTCAAACGTATTGGAAGATATCTAAAATTCCTAGTTTGGAGAATAAGCGAGAGGAATGAGCTCGATAGTCTGAATTGGTGATAGCCTGCAGAGCTCGCTTATGCCAGTAGTAAATTCTATTCAAGTTAGATATGTATGTGGACGACCAGGCGGAGTTACAATAGACGATCTAAGGATAAATTAAGGTGTAGTGGAAAGTGAGTTTGGTTGTAGAGGATAGGAAAAAGCGAGACCTAAATGTAATACATACTGATTTAGCGATTTATTTACACACAGCTGATATGGTGCTTCCAGGTGAGATGATCAAGGAATTTAGTCATATTAGATTGTTGTATGGGGTTTAGCTCCAGAGGAGAGGAAATTTTTGGAGTTAAATTTATTCTGTCTGGCTTTAAAAATATCGTAGTTAGTTTTCTTTATATTAACTGAAAGCTTATTACATTTTAGCCAAACATCAATATTTTAGAGTTCATCATTAAGTTCGGATTCTAAGCAATTTGGGCTTGAGTGAGGATAAAAGATACTGGTATCATCAGCGGAAAGCAGAGGGTCTGTTAATTCAGAGGCACTAGGGAGGTCATTTATGTATAGAATAAATTATAGAGGGCCTAAAATCGAACCTTGAGGGACATCTTACTTGATTGTTTGCATCAGAGAGCAGGCTTGATTGAATTGGACAAATTGTTGGCGGCAAGAAAAGTAGCTCCGCGTCGTGGTTTCCTACGCTTATCTCGTGTTCTCCCAACCTCCCGCGTGTTTGCATCAGGCTATGTAAACAAGGAAACCATTTTACATTTCTTCATTATTTACCAAATGAATTAGCGCGTGCGACGTCGAGTGATTCTTCTGAAATCCAAATTGACAGCGGTAAAGTATATCGTGTTTTTCGGCAAATCTTACAAAGCGATTGTATATGGCTTTTTCGAAAAATTTGGAAAAATTAGACCACGAAAAAATAGGTCTGTAGTTTACCAAAAAACTAGGATCCTCTACTTTGAAGATGGGAATAATTTTAGCGATATTAAGTTTGTCCGGGAAAATGCCTTTTAGCAGAGATAGATTGATAATATCTGCCAAAGGAGCAAGCATAAGGTGAAATTAATATTTAATGACATGCATTGGGATACTGTCATAGCCAGGAGCCTTCTTTGAAGCCAAAAATGCTTTCCAGTTCACGTTGTGGTGGGCTTTAATTTAATGGAGGGATGGTTATTATAACCAAGATAAGAACGAAAAGAAGGATTTGCAGAGTCTGTCAGCGATCTCCATTGGATCCGTTAATGTTCTGCCTTCAGATTTAAATGACGTGGGAAGAGACGATTTACTTTTACGTCTGTTGATAACCTTATTTAACAATTTCCAAGTTGTGTTGAGGTTATTTCTGGCATTCTCAAATTTGGAGTTATAGTATTTTCGTTTGTCAATGCGAACGAGATGGGTGAGTTTGCTTTTGTAGGCTTTATACTTCGTCTCAGAAGATGTTGAAGGTGATGAAACGAGCCCTCTGTAGAGTCTGTTCTTCTTGTCAACGGATTTCAGAGGTCCAGGACTAAGCCATGGAGAATTTGTTCACCTGTTTACCTTGGAGAATCTTTAAAGGGAAACAGGCGTTGTAGATTCTGGAGTATTCTTCAAGAAAATCATTATAGGCTTCATTGGGATCTTTCATGTTGCGAAAAGAGGACCATTTTGCGTTTAAAAGGTTCTGTTCAATTTATGATTGAGTCATTGAATGTACGTGTCCTACTTTTCCTTTCTGTGCTACGCGTTAGAGTTGCGTCGTCAAAGTATGCAAAAACAGGTAAGTGGTCAGATAAATCATTTAGAAAAATCCCACTGATAACATTATGTTCAAGGCTGTTGGTGAATATGTTGTCAATTAGTGCCGCAGAGTATGAGGTAAGGCACGTTGGATTGGAGATGAGAGGAAGAAATGCGTGTGAAAATAAGCTGTCAATAAATTCCTGTGTTGGAACATGGTGATTGTATCGGAGAAGGTCTAGGTTAAAGTCTCTCATCACATAAAAATGTTTTTTTGTCTTTAGAAATTAGTGAGAAAATATTGTCGAAATTGTCAATAAACATAGCAGTGTTCTGATTTGGTGGTCTGTAAATGCAATCGACAATGATGTTTTATTCCGTGGGGAACAATAACTTCCAAGAAAAGTGACTCAAGTACATCTCGATCTGAAAATTTGTATTCTTCGAGAAGTTTGTATTCAAGGCCGTTTTTTAAATAAATTCCAACTACGCCGCCTGTTTTCGATTTACGATGATTGGAGACAAAATTGTATCCTGTGATGTTTACGAGCTCTGCAGTGCAATGAGCTAGCCACGTTTCTGGCACACCAATCACGAAGAACGGCATATCAAAAATTTCTCAGCAAGAAATTGATTTGATCGAAATTTCTCATTAAGCTTCAAGTGTTTAAATGTGTAAAAGAAAAGTTTGTTTTGTCGCCAAAAGAAGCTACTCGATTGTTCAGATCTTCCTCAACCATGTAGCCACTATTGGGCAAGCGAGTGATAAAGTTAGAGTCGGGATTCAGATGACTAGAAAGCACATTAAATAATTCGGGCCTTTCAAAAGGATTAAATAATAATGTTTCAAGACGGCCGGCATCGTAACTCAAGAGACCATGAGAAAATTCATAAAATGCTAAATTAAAGGTACTATCATCCAAGTGACTAAAAGGGAGGAGAGATAGAAAGGGTGTTTCGTCAGCCATCATAGAAGTAACAAATTAAAATTACAGATTAAGTTGCAAAATTCAGCGTGCTTAGCTTAAAGCTAGGCTCTCTTGCCGAGCAGATCTTTCAAGGTCGTCAAGGGTTTTGAACTGGATGGGGCGGGAGTCTTCGATTTGCCACAGATAGATGGTGAAGTTCTTAGACCAACAAAACCTAAAGCCATTACGAGTTTGAAATTTTTTCGTATCCGCCATGAGTTGTTGGATCTGCGGAGTTAGCCAATCAAAAAGCTTCACCTTCTCTAGTGTGCAATCGGCAGGTAAACCAATCAAAGACGCTGTTACCTTGCATGCATTTTTCCATACATTCATGACCTTCTCTTCAGAAATCCTTCTTGTGAACTTGCAAACGACTAATCTCGATCCAGGGGTCACATTTCTGGTGGGAGTACGATGAGCAATATTGATATATTGAATAAAAAAATTCAATTCCTGTGGCTTGAAAGAGGCTAAGACATTATATAGTTGTGTCGGTGGCTGACTCACTTGCCTTTATTTCAGGGAGACCGACGATTGGCGTCGAGCTGAAGCAGCTCGATGCCAATCTCAATGCCAATCTCGATGCCAATCCGATACCCAATCTCTTCCACTCGCTTAGACAGGACATTCAGGTGCGACCAGAGCTGCTGTAAACTTTTATCCGCTTCCTGGCGAAGGTCATTGTAAGACTTGCCATAAAGTTGCAGGGTGTTCGAAGTCTCGTCCTATGATATTCGACTCGCTTCGACTCGCTTCACCGCCATTGCTGAAGTTTGAGCGAATTCTGAAAGTCTTCAAAATTTTTCTTTAAGGCAGTAATCTCGTATTTAAGGCTGTCATTCTCTTTTATAAACGAATTGACGGACGGATTAGGAATAGTTAGAGGGAAAAAAAATTGCATTAACGCGGAGCGATCAAATATTCGTCCACACACCTCGCTCGCATACTGTATATCTACTACTTCTGTGCGCACTGTATATCTACAACAACCAATTAAGATTCATTGTGAAATTTGCGCAGTTTAACCGTTTTCGCTGGTTTGATTACTTAACCATTTTAACCCATTAGTTTTAAGCAAGTTATGCAGTTTGTGCAATGGAACCATGTAAGCTAGTTTAAACATTTGCACTACTTCAAACAAATAACAAAGATTTTGCAATCTGTGCAGTTTAACTGTCTTTGCTGGTTTGACTATTAAACCAATCGAATCACTTAAAATATTTTGAGTCCTTTAACTACTTTACGCATTTCAGCCAGGCTTTGCAGTTTGTGCCGTTGATTCATTGAAGTTAGTTTGACCGTTTGTAGTACTTCAACCAGTTGAGATAGATTGTGCAATTTTTTAAGCTAAACTGTTTTCATTAGTTTGACTGTTAAACCAGTTGTACCATTTAACCTATCTATGCATTATGTCCAGTTAAACCATTTGCTAAATTGAATTAACTGGTTTAAAAGCTCAAAATAGTCAAAACGGTTAAACAGCACAAAATAACAAACTAGCTACACTGGTTCAACTGGTTAAACGGTTAAAGTCACTTAAACCGGTGAAACTGCATAAAATGCTGAAAATAGCTAAATTCTTGCATGTCAAAAAACTTAAACTAACTCAAACGGTTGAAACACACTAAATGCACAAAATAGGTCAATTGAATTGGTTCAACTGGTTAAAATCCTCAAACTAGCGTAAACGGTTAAACTACACAAAACGCACGAAACTAGCTCAATTTGTTGAACTGGTCAAAACACTCAGAGTCGCTGAAACGATGAAACTGCACAGAATACTGAAACTAGCAGAATTAGTTCAAGAATCTCAACGGAAAAAGATAGAGGTTCATGGTTTAGGCAATCTTCGCTTCTCGCACTCGATTTACAACCAAGTTAAATTAAGTTTTGCCGCGGCTTGCTTAAGCCGCTCTAAGTTGAAAAAAATTTGGAATCAAATTGCCATTCAGTAGCATTGAATCAAAGGTCTGTCATGGGTAACTGTTAGATAGTTACCCACTAAATATATTGTTGCTGAGACACTGCAGGATGCTTCTATGTTCCTATTGGCAGTCGGCATTTGGCCTCCTGAAAGAACTTAAATAAATCATAACCATTAGTTTCCTGCACGATTTCTCCTGCGAATTTCACAGTCAACCTATCAACAAGAGCTCTTACGGCATTGTTCACGATATAATTGTTTGCGTGACCACTAACTTTCAAGTCAAAGATCAGTTACAGAGATCCTGGCACAAGGACAACCCCGTCATCAAGCTTTTGAACTGGAACCCTACGTGTGTCATGTGGAGACGCTTTGTTCGGATTGAATGTTACTCTGTGAATTACGCAGTCTGCCTTGACGGCATTTGGAGTCTTTTTTTTTAAAAAATGGGTCAGTTTTTTTCACGCACTTCCACTTCAAAATAATAGAAATGTTATTTAAAATTACTCATTTTGGAGATACTGATCGTTCTTTGGAACACAGTGACGATGATGAAGATGATGATGAATATAAAGGAAATACACTAACATTTTTAAACCTCATTGGTCCAAGGCGTGTAGAGTTTATTGTTGAGAAGGATATTGAGGAGCTGCGGAATTCAATTCGTGAAACTGAAGAGAATGCTTATGACGAGAACAAAGATCGAGCAACAAGAGAACGAGCAAAAGAAAAGGTTGCTAGAGAAACACACCCTGAGTTGTTCTCTCTCATTCTCAAGAGCATCAATCTGTATTGATGCTCCTGAGAATGAGAGAGAGCAATTTTAGACCAAATTATCGCTTTGTGAGAGAGTGATAAACATATTTAAGAAATATGGTTTCACAGTCTCAGCTGTTGTCCTGGCAGTCGGAACAACGATTGGAGTGATTGTGAGCGCATTGAAAAGAGGTCTGAGGTCTGTTGCCATTCTCATTAGTTCAATAGTCGGCTTCATTTTCAAGAATGCTGGACCAACGATCAGCTTCCTCGGTCTAAATGCATGGCTTCTCAAGATGGGAGTCGCCATATTCGTTATTGAGCGCTTTCAGTGGAACAAGCAATGACGCAAGAAGGCTGAGACCAGTCCAGCTGAAATCAATCCGACCTTTACCTTATCATGATTTGTCTCATCTAACCCTGATGGTTTCTTCACCTATACTTCAGATGAAGTCTTGTTAATTGGATTTGAAGGCTGAGAGATCGGCCTTTTGATTGTTAATGAGCCTCCATGTGCCTTACTCCGACTGTTTTCATCTCCAAATTCACTGATTTGTTGACTCCCAGCTTCATGTCAGCACTTGCCTTCGTCGGGCTGCTATTATACCCAAATGTACTCTGTGTGTTCAGAAGAAGATCTGAGAGTATGAGACTTGGTTCATGCCCTCAAACCTGGAGCAAATTGCGAGATCCAACCTGATTTTTGCCTCATCGATCACGAGTGGAAATCTCTGGACGCTCTTTGAAATGTCAGGCTTTTTGATGGCAATCTCAACCAGAATGAAGAACTCACGCTGAGCCTTCTTTGCGCTTCCTCCTTAACTCGAGATTGATGATCTGACATTGACTTGAGAGCCAATACCTCAATCGCCTGATTCAGTCTCGCCATTCCAGCTTGCGTCAGACCTTTTGACTTGTCTTCCATGAAGAATTGCCTCTCAACTTTTGCATTATCATTCCTTATCACATAGATCAGATTTCTTTTGATGGCTTTTCTGCCCTCATCGCTGAACCTGTTATTACCTGGATATGTGATTGAAGTGCCATTGGTCCAGCATTTGTCACATAAATGAAAACAGATCCGAGACTGTTACTATCATCTTCTTTGAGGCGGAAGTCCACTTCAAAGACTTGATCTGTTCTGGAATCTTATCGAGTTCTCTACGAGATATTCCACAGCCTTTCGTTGCACACCGTACTGCGAAGTTGAGCTGTTGAGGTCAGTAGCTCATATTTGGGCCAGCGAGTCATCTCTGATTATGCACCTGAAGAGTGCTGAATTCTCTTTCTTGTGAGTATTGTTCTGAATTTTGCATTGAAGTATTGATCTGGGGTGACAAACATCTTGATCACCTCATTAAAGCGGCTTACAGCATTATCGTTAAATGAATTAGAGTGAGTTCAAGGGAAAAACCTCCAATTCCAAGCGCCTTCTTTATGTCATTATCCCAATATCCTCTGTACTATCCTGAGGTGCTCGTCTAAACTCTATGTGACCTATTTCAGTAAACTTCAGCTGAATTCTGTCTTTTATTATTTAACGACAGTTGTGCACTGAACTTGCTCAGGTCTGCATCTGGATATTGTGCTTTCAAGTTATTCCAAGCCT